ATACTTTTAGTAATTCTTTAGTTTCTTTTATTATCAATCATGGCCTACTAATAAATATGATCTTTTAATAAAAACTTTTAAATATTGCAGTAGGATAGTGAAAATAAATATAGAGTGATATATATTTTTGAGAAGCTTATGGCAAGACAGATCATATAATTTATAAATATACAGGGTGTTCCATTTAAAAAAAAACATAACTTTAGTTCATATTTTCAAAAATATTTTTTTTGGTAGAAAAACAGACTACGCCACTGTATTCTACGTAAAAAGTTCTACAATAAACATTTTTGACCTTCTCGATAGCTTTAACAATAACAGAGATACAGGAGGTGTCCCAAATTGCAAAATTTTCAAAAAGACCCTGTAGCTCGGAAACGAAGAGGGCTATGAAAATTTTGTTTACGGCGTCTTCCGTTTGACAAAAAAGTGAGACAGGTTTGTGCAAACCGCACCCTTCTATCTTCACTAATAACGGAGATACCGTATGATTTCAACCAAAATGGGACACCCTGTACACAGTGTAAATGACTACTATAACTGCATAGTTTACACGTAACTAACTTCGTATTAACAATAAAGTTGTCGGAGCAACGAGTACACACGTGTGTACCCGCTGAAGCCATATCGAACACTGAGATAATATATTTTTTTTATTTTTAGGAACAGTGGTAAACCGTTTTTATTGAAATTTGGTGTTCTTACACACATTTTAATGCCAAAGCGAATGGGGATAGTGTAAAATCCAGTACACAGCCCTGGAAGGGTACTTTCTATAAGGGTAGAGAGTACTACTGGTGGTAGGTACTTCTTTTATCCTCATAGATACAGTAATTTCAATAAATGAAAATTAAAGCCAGGACTTTTTTATGTAAAAAAGGTGTACTTCGTTTAGTTCGAAACAGTGAACGGTTTTTAAGATATTTGCGTTTAAAAGTTCCGATACATCGATTTTAGAGTTAGGGAAATCAGGAGATTAATTTATTTAAATTTCTTTACATTTTGTCATTTCACTAATAGCAAAATCGATGCATCGTAATGTTTAAATGCAAATATCTTGAAAACTGTTCACCTCTTCGAACTACACGAAGAATAGTTCTAGGTTTTTATATCACTTGTTGAAAATTTTCGCAATCTTCATTCGCTTTGGCATTAAAATGTGTGTAAGAGTACCAAATTTCAGGAAAAACGGTTTAACTATTTTCTGGTCCGAACTGTATTCTGGAAACTTCGGCAGCATATTCTGCAGATAAAAATAATTGAAAGAGTTCATATAAATATATGTCCTAAAATGCTTAGTTTATGAGATACAGGGTGTAGAAGTTTCATTTTTATTTTAATTTGTTCGAAATAATTTATGAAGTAACGTCAATATTTAGATGAAAATTGGTATCTGGGAGTCTTTTGACATGAGAAATTTTATTTTGATGTCAATATGACTTCTACTTGTAGAGGGCACCACCTACATATTTTTTAACTGGTCTAAAGAGTAATAAATTTTCGTCCGTACATGTATAAAACGACTGAGTAAAAAAATGTACATTTTCGACGTTTTGTATGTAAAAAAGGTCTCTTGGTAAAAATCACTACGAGTAATGGTTCTCGAGAGATTTAGAATCGAAATTAACCATACCTGTCGTCATAGACATACATTAAACATGTTGACTAAATAGTTATTAGACTGAAATCATAAATTTGAAATGTTTTTGTACGAAAAATTTAACAGAGACTGTTTTATCATCATTTTTTCAACGACAAATTTATGATTAATTTAAAAAAAATCCTAAATTTACCATTTCAGTCAGATTCTACTCTGCTTACTCTGGTTACTCTGTCTCTACTGTTCATTTTTGTCAATAAGGACATGTATTGATTAGTTCCATTCTAAATATCTTGAGAACTGTTGATTGTAGCGATTTTTACCAAGAGACATTTTTTACGTAAAAAATAACGGAAATGTATTTTTCGCCCAGTAGTTTTATACAGGTACGGACGAAAAGTTATTACTCTTCAAAACAGTTAAAACCATAGATTTAGTAAGAACAGGTATAACATTAGACATTTTAACCCGATCAAACAATCGGAGGTTGACTACGTACTGTAAAAACCAATTGAGATAGAGAAGGCGACATTGCCACGCATCTCAAATTTGCGCCTATCTACTCAGTTTGATTTGCAGAAAAGGTGACTTTAAAACCTTTACCGGATATCAATAAACCTCAATTTCTTAATTAAATTAATAGTTTATTTTTAAAGAAGCATGCGTAATAATATGTTATTAACCAGAGGATATATGCGTTACTATTAAAGGACATGTTTACTGTTTAATGTGCTGAAACGTCTAGAACTATTGGCAACGTCGCTGCTAGTCTTCCAGAATGAAATGAGCTGTCCGTCCCACCACCCCTCGCGACGGCCCTTGGTCCGTTATAGCGTACTACGTTTAGCTTACGGTATGTTTGAAGTCGGAATCAAGTCCGAAGTTAACTTTTCAGTGTTTTTCAATAGTTTTTGTTTTTGTTTAATGTACTTTTGAATCTGCGAATTTTCAATATGGTACGACAGTGTCAAATGTGTGGACAAATAAGCTCAAATTACCCGAATTTGTCTTTTCACAGGTAGGTATTGTTCCCGCCATTTTATATTTCCGTGGTAATTGTACATAGGCGTCCCACAAAGGAGCCTCTCACAATCAAAATAATTTATAATTATATTTATAATTAATCTATGAAAACAAGAACGTAGTAGCCGGTAATTGAATTATAATTCGTCTCAATTACTACCTAACTGTTGTAGATCATAACAAATTTGAATATAAACGTTGCATTTGAAATTTAATTATAAGCCAGAAAGTGACTTTTTCTTCTTAAAATTGCGTCATTTTTGGTCATTATATACGATATTCTAAAGCAATTTTGCTCAACAAATAAACAAAGGTGTTCCCCGACCTTTTTACATTTTTACATTTTTACATTTTATTGCTTCATTATATCTGCCCTTATATCTGCCTTGTTTAGACAGTTTTTTTTACCACTGTACAAATACCTCTTCCTAGAGTTATTTGTACGGTGTGTTACCTTTTTTAGAATGGGACGAACTGTAAATAATTCTTAGGCTACTAGTTTTATACATACCTATATACAGAGTGACCCAGGCCTCCAAAAAAGCTTTTTACCTATTACTACTAGCTGCTCTCGCCATCTAGCACTCGCCATAGTAGTATGTTTTGTACTCAAATGCTATTTTCTGCTTTTCGTTTGTCGGATTGAGTGTTACAGCACAGTCGGCCTGACGATGGAGATAAATCTCCCAAACCGGTCGCCGAATGGCTGTTCCCTTCAGTCTGATGAACTTAATGCAGAGAATAAGCATATATGTAGGGGTTAGGCCTTAATAATTTGTTGCTTCTTGTATTTTGTTTATTTATACAAACCCTACCAAGCCTTGAGCTCAATCTGCGGTAACGTATATGAAGAAAACGTAATATTCATTATTATGCGACAGAAATCCCATACTGTAGCACACAGATTTGATACTTTTAATGATAAATGCCTTCTATTGAGAGACTAAAAGGTAATTGCCTCGTATCAGAGCCATCATAATACAAGAAGAAGACCGAAAGTCAAATCTTGTCTTATATTTTCAAAAAACCAATTTTCTCATTAAATATTGATTTTAGGTATAGGAAGTTACGGGAAGTTCTAAATAATGTGGTCTATTCTAAACAAGAAAAAATGATTTATAAGTTTTATAATATCTCTAATTAAATTTGGACGAAAAGAATATTTCTGTTTGCTGTAGGTAATTTTCTCAGGGAAAATACGAAAATAAAAATGACTTTTTAAGTCAAAAAAAGTCAAAAGGACTGTCCTTTTCAAAAAAAGACAGGTGGCAACCCTAGGTATTTCTGGAATGGAAATTTAATGGTAAATCTACAACTTTAGTTTGAAAATATGTTCCGGCCACCTATGTTTACAAAAATGTCTAAAATGTGCTTTACCATTGCCTCCATATTCTTAAAAAAAATTGAAAGAAAAGTCACCAACCACAAACCTAATATAGAACTGTTTCGGAAGTCTGAGTCACCCTGTAAATATTCAAAAGTAACTAAAAGTTTATATAGAAGTAACTGAAAGTTTAAATTGAAAATCGACGTTGGAGCGATTTTCGAAAATTACGTACCAACGTTTCAACATAGGTATATGTGGGATATTAATTATATTATTATATTAGACCTTATAACAAAACTCATCTGACGAAAAAGTGTTAATGTAGTATATTAATATGGATTATAAATTTTACTAATTAATTTACTTTTACTTTACTAATTAAATTCGTTCTAAAAAACGATACGCCACTGGTCATTAGAACAATCCAAATGCGCCTAGTTGCCGGGGTCGGAAATTTTAGACTTCTCTGTCTCTTCTGTCCTTGTTTGACACATTGGAATGTTTGATACACTACCAACGAGTATTTATGAATGAGATGTTCGGTCTATCTTTATAATGTCTTTGGTTAAAACACATGTAGGTGGCGCCCCCTACAACTCGGAGTCATATTGACATCAAAATCAAATTTCTCATACCAAAAAACTCCCAGACACCAATTTTCATCTAAATATTGACGTTACTTCAGAAATTATTTGGAAAAAATCTAAATAAAAATTAAACTTCTACACCCCGTATATCCGAAACTAAGTATTTTAGAACATACATTTATACGAACTTTTTAATTATTTTTATCTGAAGAATATGCTGGCGAAGTTTTCGGAATACAGGTCGGACCACCCTGTATATTATTTTTATTTAACATTTCGAGAGCTTTAACTTCTTCGGGAAGCATTTTAGAGCATATATTTATAGGAACTTCTTGTTTTATTTTTATCTGTCTGTAGAATCATCCACGAAAGTTAGATACACTATTTTTTTGACACCCTGAATAAATACTTCCAGTTAAAAAACATCAATAAATTAGTATCAGTCATTTTAGACAAAACTTACATGTTTTTTTCGTGGTTTCCATTTTCGTTCCATCTCAAGTAGACAGTGGAGAGAAATATAACAGCTAGATTTTGACTCACTCAGTATACCATGTAATACAGGGAATTTTTATAATTAGATTTCGAACGAATCCCTAGATATCCCCCCCTATATATCTAAAAAAAATATTAGTAAAAAGTTTGACTAAAATTTTCGGGTCTGGTGAACTATCCAGACACACGATTTTTGCATTTTTCGTTTTTTATGAAGAAGTAACCATTTTTAGAAAGTAATTTTAAATTAGAAAAAATGCGGATTTTGCACTGAATTTCAAAATATTTTAATTTTGGTAATATTTGACGCATATTTGACTTTACTGAGAGCTTTTAACACGTTATTTGAAATGACAGAGAATGAAGGGAAGTCAATGCTGCCATTTTTTCTTACAGCGTTTTTTTATTGCTAGCACTGTAGATATACAGGTTGTCAAAAAAATAGTGCATCTAACTTTGATGGGTGATTCTACAGATGAAAATAAAACAAAAAGTTCCTATAAACATATGCCGTAAAATGCTTCCCGACGAAGTTACATCCCTCAAAAGCTTAAATAAAAATAATATATTTTGTTCATTTTTAAAAATATTGGTGAACCGTTTTTCTTGAAATTTAGTACTCTTACACATATTTTATTAGAAAAGTGAATGGCGATAGTTTAAAATTCCGTAACAGTCCTGAAAGGGTACTCTCCATTAGGGTAGAGAGTACTACTGATGGTACTTCTTTTATCCTTATAGATACAGTAAGTTCAAAAAATGGAAATTCATTCCAGGACTTTTTTTATCTAAAAAAGGTGCTCTTTGTTTAGTTCGAAAGAGTGAACGATTTTCAAGATATTTTCGTTTAAAGATTACGATGCATCGATTTTAGTATTAGTGAAATGATAAAATGTAAAGAGATTTTACCTAAACAACCTCAAGTACGCGGACGATACCACCCTGATAGCGAAAAGTGAGGAAGAAATGACCCGGTTGCTGGAAAGAGTTACCATCGAAAGCAATAATCTAGGTCTAAAAATAAACACTGATAAAACCAAACTCATGCTGATTGATAGAAGTGGTGCAGTTCGATTACACAACCTCCTCCCTAATATAGAAAGAGTAGATCAATTTATATACTAAGGGTCTTTAATAACAAATAATGGGGGCTGTGAAGCAGAGATAAGAAGGCGTATAGCTATGACACGGACGGCTATGATGAGCCTAAGAAAAATATGGACAGATAGGAGCATTACTAAAAGCACCAAAAAAACCCTGGTTCGATCTTTGGAGTTCTCCATATTCCTATACGGGTCTGAGTCATGGACCGTCAAGAGCGCTGATAGACACCGTATAGATGCATTTGAGATGTGGTGCTGGAGGAGAATGCTCCATGGGATAGGACAGCTCGAAGAACGAACCAGTCAATTCTTAATGAACTCGGCATCACAGATCGATTATCCACCATCTGCCGTAGACGCATCCTGCAATACTTCGGTCATATCACTCGCAGAGGTGAAGACAACCTTGAAAAAATCATAGTACAAGGCAAAGTAGAAGGTCGAAGACCCAGAGGACGATCACCATCGAGATGGCTTGACCAAATAGCAAATATTACAGGTCATCCATTTCAATCAAATCTCCGAGAGGCGGAAGATCGCCAACGATGGAAGATGAAAATCATCAACTGCACATAGCCATAATGTCACGATTCTTCAGACATGAAGAGACGACGAAGAAGAAGAAAGAGATTTTAAATAAATTAATCTCCTGATTTCGTTAACGCTAAAATCGACACATCGGAACCCTTAAACGCAAATATCTTAAAAACCGTTCACTCTTTTGAACAACGTTGATATGCCACATTTAGTATTTTTTTTTGTTTCGGTCATTTGAACACATTAATTTATTTAAACTAATTTCAAGTCCGGCTCTATTTTTTTTTAATATTTAATCTATTCATCGTTACAATATTGATAAGCTTTCAAACTTAACAATGACATGGAGTAAAACATTGAATATGGAAAATCAAATGCAATAAAGTAATAAAATATAATATAAAATAAATAACAACATAATATATAAAATAAATAACATAAATATAATATAATATAAACAATCAAATAATTTCCCCGGAAGATAGATTGAAAATGGTAGAGCAGTATAATGGCCAGCGAGGTTCCTGGACCTGTTGCCAAGGGGGGGCATTACTTGAGGTCATTTGTAAAAGTGAAATCAATACATTTCAATATTTAGAATAAAGAGTACAAAATGCATTCGGAAGTATAGGATCGAGATATGTTCAAAGAGCTATAAATCAGATTGAACGAAAAATAAATGTGTGCATTAAGGAGGGTGGTAACCCTTTCGAACATGTAGAGCATTAGAGACTAGTTTGGAGAAGTTGATTTCTTTATAATAACTACGATTAGATTTGCATATTATTAGATCGTACACTGAGATTTCAAATTCACAATGAAAAAAAAATTATCTTTAAAAAAATTAAAATATAAGAAATAAAATGTTTAAATTGTTGACCTGGATATTATTTATTTGAATCTTTCAATTGGCTTGATTTTCCTTAATCAATGTTAATTAGCGCTGATCAATATTGTTGGGATGAAATATAATCAGATTAAAAACCCAGAGTAGGACTTGAAATAATTTTAAATAATAATTAAATAGTTTTGTTATATTGTTAATATACCCAAAGGAAAAAAAGTATCAAATGTGGCATATCATTGTACTCAAGAGACCGAGTTCTTTCAAAATCTGAAATAAAAAATACAGGTCCATACTTAAACATTTTTTTTTGACCTCTCTATCTCATAAATTGTGAACTAATTTGAAAATCTAAAAATACTATCAGATATCCCTAATAAAGTGGCTATGGGAATGTGCAATTAGTTTTTGATTTTCTAAAAAGTAAGGACGAAAATAAAACTGATTTCCAAAAAAATCTGTTTTTTCCAAAAAACTCAGCAGTCCTTGAAATTTTTAAAACTTTTTTGATGGCATCTTGGTGAACATTCCAAGGAGGCAACTTTGCTCCTATTCAACCATCTTCGTATCTATTACGGTTTCCGAGATACCAATGCTCGTACCTCGAATTTATAGCACCCTGTATATACGATATATTATAGTATATACGTTTGTTAATAGTAAAATACGTTTATTTAGAAATTATTTAGAAAAAAAAAAAGAAATAAAACCTCTACACCCTGTCTCCGAAATGCACCATTTTAGAACATAAATTTATACGAATGTTTTTACTTATTTTTATCTGCAGAATATGCTTCCGAAGTTTCCCGAATACAGTTCAGACTACCCTGTATATTGATAAATACAATTCTTGATCGGACATCGTTTCTTTAATCAAAAATATTTATTTGCTTTAAATTACTTAAAATACTACTTATTTGAAGATTTTTTACAGTAATCACAAAACAATTTCTTGCCAGATTGTGACAGATTCATGGGATGAATCAATGTAAACGTGAATTAATGTAAACGTTGCTGAACTTGTGCAATGTGACCAACATAGCGATAATAAAATTTGGTTTAAACTAATTTTTGCACCTTTTTTTATCTAAATAAAATATCTGCTACAATCATTTGCTCTATAATATACAGAATAGAATTAATACAACACTAATAATACAACAAATTTAAACATTTTTGCCAAAATATCATTTATAGTAAACGCCACGAATGTTTGGGAGTGATTCATTGGCCGCTACCTTGTGAACTAATCTGTTCAAGGTCACATAAAACTTAATTCCAGTGCCGTGGTGTTTCAAGTCATATAATAATCAATATATAATCTGTTGTAATTTGTTGTTTTAACTGTCAAAGTCTTGTCAAAACATATATTTGGTTATAAATATAAAATGGAATGCCCCATTATTGGTCGCACTGCAAGCACACCAATGGACTAACGCACAAAAACGAATCAGTTAAAGAAACGCGATATAGTATCGTCTTTGTCAATCACGCTAACATTTTAGAATAAGTAGGAGGAGCGCAGGTAGATGATTAGACCGGGCCTTTAAAAACCTACGTCAGCGGTAAAAAATTACGCTTTTAATGTAAAAATGATAGCGCGCGTGTCGATTCTAACTTCATCAAGCGCTGAATCACTCCCAAACATTCGTGGCGTTTACTATAGTCAGGTTTATAGGCTTTAGTGTCAATTTCGATATGATTGATGAAGTGCATCGGAAAACGTTTTGCGATTACTGTACGTAGAAAGTGCCTTTAAAAAGGTGCAGTCTGAAAGTTCCATTAAAAATGCAAGAGCCTTGCAGCGAGACCAAGACTACTATTAGACTGCAAGACCAAGCGAGATTTAAGCTTCATTCAGTACCTCGCAATTAGTGGAATAAATTAGTTGTTTCAATTACACTTTATACTTTTTAGTTTACGATCATTCACAATGTTTAAAAAACACAATTAAAATTAACAGAATATCCTAGCAACAGCTTGCGTTAGTCAGATGTATCCGTAGAGAAAGCCTAATATTTAGCTTCCAAAACAATCAACTTTTGATTTCTAACCACAATTCATGACATTTGTGTCGCAACTTTTGAAGTATAATTAGTGGAAAAGTCAAAAGTTTGATAACTTTTTCCACTAATTGAAAATGTCTACCACTAATTTTGACGTTCTGAATGCTCACATTGAAATTAAAGGAACAAACTTCTACGCTAATTGAAACCACTAATTTTTTCCAATAATTGCGAGGTTCTGAATGAAGCTTTAGTATTAGTCTTGCATTTGCTCATCGCTATAAGAAATTTATTTTAAGGTAAAATATGCTTCATATTTCATTTTCTAAAAGAAATTTGTGTCTGGATAGTTCACTGAAACCAAATTTTCGGTTAAGAAACTTATAATGAAGTTTTTTTTTAAATACTGATACTGAGATATTATGTACAAATTTTTAATTTTTTATTTTTCTATATTCTTACGACTAGAGCATCGGATTCAAGAACTTGAAATAACTGATTCCACCAATCCCGAATTTCTGGAGCATTCCTCTCGTATTTGCTCGTGCGAACTAGTCTCTTACATCTGTTACTTCCGCTAAAATAAATTTTAAACTTTAAAATTTCAACTTAGGAACACTAACAAAAATATAATTACATTAACCCTTAAACACACATGCTATTAATAACAACGTAAAAACCCAACAGGAGTCCCCTAAGGACTCCACAGATGAAAAATAAGTCTTCTATAAGTAATTACTTTTTTTAATAATAGTAGTTTAAATGAATTGCATAATTTCAATTATTTTTAAAGTGTAATTATTAAATAATAATTAAAAACAGAATATTCACTAAAAAATTCATTAAAAACGCTAAATGGGAACTAAGTAGAACAAAGTCAAAATCTGCAAGGCAGTAAAATAAATGAATATTAACACTTTGTCCCTTAATTAAAATACTAACTTAATGCCATTACTCGCTGACGAGTATTTGACACGCATCAGAAGATGGTTACGCAAGGCGTCTTTGTTCATGAGATTTTTTGTGACTGAAAAGCCCGATACGTGGTGGTATCTCTAACGCACGCTGGGCATTCAAAAATCTCATTACTTTGTGGCTTACTGTTTGGTGTTAACAGAGTTTACAATTCTTTCCTTTGCGTTCTATTGTTCGCTGCTTCCTCCCACTGATTTTGCATGCTTATCCCTTTAAGTTTTCGTGGAAGATATCCTTGTACCCCCTTTGAGTTGTCTACCCGGTTGCATATTTGTATGTTGCACACAGATTATCAATTCGGAATTAGTCAGGTCTGCGGGTCTGCTGCGATTCGGCGGTATGTAAGTTATACTCGGGAAAGCACTTTCTTGGATAAAGCGAATGCAACGTACAGAAACATTGTAACATATTATGTATGTATACCTACCTATACCAGTTTAATTTTGGCGCTTATAGGAGTTAGGTTGCGCTTAACTAGTTAGGTAAATAACTATTCTTTTATGAAACACGCTTGATATTTTTTATGATATTCTCAGTCTCCTTAAAAAAACCTTCAAAATTGTTGTATATAACGTGTCATAGGTACCTACTTACGTTTATTTTTTATAAGGTATAAGCAGTTAAAACTGTGGTTTAATTAAGTTGTATTTAGAAGGTTACAATGAGAATGATTTAAGATATAAATGTGAGATGCCCATTCATTTGCCTACCATAACTTTTAAAATGCTATAAAAGACATACCGTATGATCGAAAAAAAACGGCGTCCAGTTGGCTTGGAAATGACGATCGATGACATTTCCCATATAATTTTACATATAAAATGACAGCGATCTTCATTTCATAGCCATCGTTGACGCCGTTTTTATTCGATCATACGGTACTTATTGACCTATGTCGTCGTGTACTGTTAGTTTTGATATAATTCATAAAACTTAACTAAAGCTGGTACATGTTTAAAAAATAGTGATTTTATAGAAACTATGTGTGAAAATATAAATATCTATAAATAAAATTATAATCCTGTACAATAAATGTATACAAAATGGAGTTTTGTCAAACACAATTTATTAAACAATAAAAAAAATGTATGCAGTTTGTGCTAATGGGCGTTTTTTCGCGCATTCCTGAAAACAAATCTTAAAAGAACTATTTCATATCAAAAATTCACGACAAATTACTAAAACAAATTACTAAAAAAATACAAGTATATTTTTTGTAATTTTGTATTTGGAGATACATTTGGTTAGTAATCAACAAAACGCTTGGTATAGTCTATAAAATGAATAACTTTGAATTTTGACCGTTATTTTTTACCAACATGGTAAATATAAAATTCTTCTGTCAAAAAAGTTACTGATATTCTTTAAATTGAGTGCCTGAACGAATCAGATAGGTAACTCTTTTTACTTTCGTGAAATAGAAAAGGAAAATAATAAAACAAGTGACAGTTCTTCCTCTTCTTACAAAAATCAACACAAATGACAAAAGTAAAATGTCATCAGCTTTTGACATTTCTAAATATCAGACCAATCCCGTCTCTAATAGAACAGCCTCGGAGCGAGATTTATGACGTCACGCTAGTTAGATACTACGGATTAATAAATGTGTTGTAGAATACATGGAAAACATAATAATTCCTCGTATTTTTGGTTTATATTTTAAAAATGATATAGTTTACATGAAATATACATAATATACAGTTAATAAATACAATATGTATATATATATATATATATATATATATATATATATATATATATATATATATATATATATATATATATATATATATATATATATATATATATACCTATTTATAGTAATAAATAACTTTGGCAAATAAATTATGAACCATACAAATGCAGCAAATGTTTTACAATATACAAATAATGAATAGGTACATAAGATAATGGGTAAAATGTAAAATATATTTTAAATTTTGGGGTTTGAAAATCGATCTAATTTAACAAAAAACATTCAATATCTACTAATAGTGATGTATTATTATTTGCATTCACAAAATGTATATGTATATTTTGCAAGTATCAATGTTCGAAAAATTATATTTGCAAATAATACAATATCATAGAAAAAAGGCTGCAGCGATGGCTATGAAATGATCGCTGTCATTTTATATGTAAAATTATTCTAAAATTTTTTATTTTCTTGGGATTTAGGTTCGGGAAAAACGCTGATTAAATTTTCATTTGTTTTTTCATTATTTTTTTTTGGTTAAAAAAAAACGTTTCGGCTAACATCATAGCCTTCATCAGTGTTGTGTCATATGAAAAAAATAGTGTCGAATATATAATCCAAAAAATTACATATAAAATATTCACACCACATAATGTTTACTGCAATTAATAAAACAATATAAACTTGTCAAAAGATGACCACGTATTTTTTTAAATTATTATTCTTAACACTAAAATTATCTACATTGACTATGGAATACGATTTCAGCCATAGTAAGTAGTAGATATTGAATGTTGTTTGTTAAATTAGATCGATTTTCAAACCCCAAAATATCAAATATATTTTACATTTTACCCATTATCTTATGTACCTATTCATTATTTGTATATTGTAAAACATTTGCAGCATTTGTATGGTTCATAGTTCATTTGGTTTATTTGCGAAAGTTATTTATTACTATAAATAGGTATATATATTGTATTTATTAACTGTATATTATGTATATTTCATGTAAACTATATCGTTTTTAAAATACAAACCAAAAATACGAGGAATTATTATGTTTTCCATGTATTTTACAAAATATTTATTAATCCGTAGTATTTAACTAGCGTGACGTCATAAATCTCGCTTCGAGGCTGTTCTATTAGAGACGGCATTGCGTCAGCATGGTCGCAAGTTGCTAACCTAATAAAATTAACACTAGAAAAACCCGCGGGAACTGTCAAATTCAAAGTTATTCGTTTCACAGACTATATACCTAATCTTTCTTTTAGCTAAATATTTTTAGTTCTCTTCGATATGTAAACTAGTTTGTAAACATTTGTAGTATGTTTTTAGTGAAACGCTTACAATCATCTTAAAGAATTATGTGCTATGGATTTATCCTTAAATCATAAAAAAATAAACTTAAATCTCACCTGTACTTCTTCAGTCGTAATTGAAATGAGTTTTAATCCACTTTTTTATATTCGCAATTTTCCGGTAACGTTTCCATGCTATTTAAATTTAGAAAAATAAAACACTAATCGCAGCGTCTATGATCCTAGCTATAAAGCACTTGTAAAAATTAAGGTTATGTCTAGGTAATGTTGGGCGATAGATATTGATCTTCTAGAGTATCGGTGTTCTTTATTCCGATTCCCTAAATTTTGAATCAGTATGCCTATTCATTCATATATATAATTTATTTTTGCTCCCATGCTATATCGTTAAAAGGGTTGGAAAATATAATATAGACAATACTATGTCAATATAAGTCATCAATTCACAAAACATAATTATTCATAATAACGCCTACGCTACTCTGTATATTGCACTCGGTTTATCCAAGAAAGTGCTCTCCCGAGTATAACTTACATACCGCCGAATCGCAGCAGACCCGACTAATTCCGAATGGATATGTGTGCAACATACAAATATGCTTCCGGGACTGTCAATTCCAGTCCCAAAACGTCGCGTCGTACCCCTAACCCATTCACAGAGCCTGTCCCTTGGGAGATTTTTTGGAACGCTAAGTGTCAGTTCTGGACCCACGAAGGGCGAAGCTGCACCTGTTTTGGCGAAGGAATAGTAACACGATGCAGGAGTTAGTGCGATGTAGGTATTCCAATACAGTTTCCGTCGTTTTTTCCATAACGTTCTATTTTTATCAAAACGACAAAAATATTTCACCAAAAATACAAAAAAATATGTATCGCGTCCCTGCGAGACCCCACGTACCACCAATTCACACTCACTCTTAGATAAAAACCATCACCATGAAACATTGCAGCAGAGAGGAAGAATGACCACAATGACATTGCCCGACACATAGCTAAAACCCGTGATACAAGATATATGCAATAATAAAATAAGTATAATGTAAATTCTCATGCGGGGTCCCGGAGAGGATCCCGCTTGTGTGTTTAAGGGTCAAAAAATATTAAAATACTTACCGATTTAAACTATCAATAACTTTTTGAACGTGCGCTTTTGAGTGAATTATCTTTGACGACATTTCACCTCTTTGTTACACCTTTGTGTTTTTTGACACTGACATTATAAAAAAATTGACACCATTCTACACTGAACTATAATTGAACTGTGAATATGCAAGAATTCTAAGAATGTTGAGATTTTCCTAAAAAAAATCAACAAATTTTCTAGGGATCGTAATGCAATATTCTGTAGTAAAATATATACTCATAGTATTGATCAAACTCTTTTTACCTATACAGGGTAAATCACTTTGAATAAAAAGATTAAGGAAGGGGCAAATCAACAAACTTAGGTTAAACGCGAAGGGGATTAATATGGCTGACTATGAAATTCCGTTTTATCAGTGCCGTACTAATTTTATTTAAAAAGTCTATACATAATCCGTAATATATATAAATAATATATAATAATATAGGTATCTAATGTATACCTATCTATCTATAAGTATGTAATCTTTTAAGTAAAAGTGAAACTTCTTTACGCGTGCCGGGAGTAAAAATTCAAGGCAGTGACACAACACAGGACATGACAGGCGAGAGGAAAAGTGGTAAGAACAGTCTACGGCTTAGAAAAAATCGTTTAATTTAAATGAAATTTGGTATATCGATTGATTGGACCAAGCCAATTTCACCGTAACGACACGTGTCACTGTGACAGAAACGTCAAAGATTGATGACGGTATACACGGTCCCACTCTGCAAAGTTCGATACGACGCCGACGTTTCGTTTACATCTTCATCAGGGTGGGACTAAGGATGCCTCTAAATGGACGAAATCGCCAGGATTTGCATTAATTATAAGTCGATTGGAACCAAACGTGGATAGGGGTACCCGAATGGAGTCCTCAGACGGACAGACACACAGTAGAACGATCGTATGTTTGATTCTGGACATAACACTTAAAATCGTACTTAAACTTTTAATACAAATTTCTTCAAATACATATTTAAAAAGCCATAATTTAATCAACTAAAATCGAATTTTATTGAAAAATTCAACCAAAGCTATAATATTATGGTATACAATATATGCGTTTCTTGTTAAAGATATTTAATATGTGGGAAATTTATAGAAAAAATTATGGATTAAATAAATGACTTATTTCATGTGTCCCATACAAAAGTTTTAGCCCATATTTTAACGAATAATTTAAAAGAAATTTTGAAACAATTTGGTGTTTATTTAACTCTATTCTCCGTGAAAATATACATTTTACAGCGAAATTTATTATAGTATGCGTGTTTCTTTCGTAATTATCAAAAAGTCCCACCGAATCCCGATTATTTGTTGATGGGTATGACTTCTCTATTTTATGCTAAACTTATGAATACAAAGTTTTATTGCAGCCGCTTGCAGCAAAGATAGCTATGGAAAATTTTGTTTAAAATTTAATTTTTTGTGATACACTATACAATAATTAAGACTTTGAAAATTATTGTTATGAATACATGTTGGTATTGAAGAACTGGACAAATCGCAAGGTCATAATTCATATAGAATAAAAATATGATAAAAAGTTTATTAAGTTTTGGAATAAATATGAAATTATGCAGTTTAATTTGTAATAGTCAATTTAATACGGAAATTCAAATAAAATATATATTCTGGAAAAACACCCCTGAACTATTCAGTAAGTTACCTATAATAAAGTTATGACTATTCTTAACAAATTTGAAGATTTTCGAACACATTTATTCAAAAAAATGTCTTAAGTTAGAAATTTTGCATAATTGCTAAATGTCCAGCAAATTACATTGGGTCGATCCACTGTGGGACGGTCCTTTTGATACAAATTTTGTGAAAGCGAATCAAGTTATATGATATGTTTAATTTTTTACTTTTTCAACATATCAAACAACACCTTTTGAAACATATCCTTCAATTTACTACACTCAGATGCAAAAAAAACGCAACCGAGAAATTTTTGGTCAAATTTGTGTTATATTATATACAAGTGTTATATTTTTGTTATTTTTAGCCCTATTTTCATAATTTTTTTAGCAAGTTGTATATAATTATGTCAACTTTAATTGTAAACTCAGTACCTTATAAAGTTTGGTATTTGGCATATTATACAGGGTAAATCGAGGGGTATTTTTTACCCTAATTTTAAAACACCCTGTGCAATAATTCCGTGTGTAAATTTTCCTAAAATATAATTTTACGGTCAGAACCATGTCTCCTGAGCATTTTGTTTTTTGGATCATGACAATACATGCCTTCGTTAATTTTTCAGAGCAAAATGAGTTTGCCACCAACAATTTACAATTTTTTCAATTATCATTTCTTTTTTAAGTTATTTTTTAATATGGCAAGGCGGCTTTGGTGATTATTGTGAACTATATACTACTATGAACCATGGTACAAAGAATACAAGGTATGATATTGCGCAGGTTGGTCGCTACGTCACAGTTGATAACAGACCCTATTGGTCAGCACGCTCCGCGCGCCAGTTCAAATCGTCAAGATATTGTTATAAACGTGTTTTTTTTGTTTATATACCGTCTTTGAATTATCGCTAAGCAAGTTACTGTGGCGCAGTGCGTAAAGAGTCAGGCTAGGAAGCGAGAGACCGGAGTTCGAAGTTCGAATCTCGGCCGGAACATAACTTTTTTATTTTATTTTTTAAAAACATGTCATATTATAGAGTATTCTATAGTTTATTTTTGTAGTATAAAAAAAGAACTATTTATTCTGTAATTTTTTAATCTCCAGTATTAATATAAATTGATTGTTTGTACAATACCTCATTTAATATAAAATAATATTCTACTTTTTGAAATGTATCGGGCCCTAATTGTACCTAAAAGTAATATATTTTTAGTGATATACCATATTGTAAACTATTTAATATTTCAGTCACTTAAAAAGTTAATTTGCATTGAATAATTGCCTACCATTAAAGGAAATTTGAGCTATAATCCTTGATGGGTATATTCTGGGTATGCAAATACTTCCTCTACATTTTGGGTTTCGTTCAACCGATTTATTCTCAAAACCTGAAACATCTACATATAAAAAGAAGCACAGGTTACTAATTATAATAAACTTCACCCTTATAATTACTTCCACTAATTATAATAAACTTCACCCTTGGAATTACTTCTATCACAATTACAATACATTACTAAAATTAAACGAACTAAAAAGTCTTAAAAATAAACAATTCTTAACCATAACCCCAAAAAATACAAAAAATGCAGATCTTCTGTCAACTTTCTTTATTTTTTATTTATTCCTTATTTTCCTAGTGAAATCACAGGTGGTATGCGCGAACTACGAACAAACGAAATTGGTGCCGCTATCGATCATACCTTGTTTTCTTTGTACCATGACTATGAACTGCCCATCATGTTCGACGTTTGGGAAATGCTTGGTACAAGGGTTAGAGGTCGCGAAGCGGTACCAGCTTCATTAAATAAACTTCGCTTGGTCCTTAAAGAAGAATGGGAAAACATAACGCAATATGATATATGCAGCCTCAATGGCAGTATGAATGGACATATACAGGCAATTATAGCATCCAAGGGAGGCAATACAAAGTATTAGGGTATTTTTTACAATTTTTTTTTTCTGTTTGTATACTTGAGTATTACAGATGTTTTCTTTAATATCGTTGTTTCTGTTATCGTTATTAATGTTTATTAAAACCAGGACTGTATCTTCAGTCTTTAACGTTTTTTTTAATTTAGTATAGAGTACCCAAGGCAGCGTAATATGACGTTACGACAATAGTCACCAACACCATCTCGTTATATTAAAAAATTACATCAAAAAGTAATGATAATTGAAAAAAATGCAAATTGATCGTGATCAGTTCATTTTGCTCTTAAAAATTAACGAAGACATGTACTGGCATGATCCAAAAAACAAAATGCTCATGAGACATGGTTCTGACCGTAAAATTATATTTTAGGAAAATTTACACACGGAATTATTGCACAGGGTGTTTTAAAATTAGGGTAAAAAATACCCCTCGATTTACCCTGTATAATATGCCAAATACCAAACTTTATAAGGTACTGAGTTTACGAATTAAAGTTGACATAATTATATACAACTTGCTAAAAAAATTATGAAAATAGGGCTAAAAATAACAAAAATATAACACTTGTATATAATATAACACAAATTTGACCAAAAATTTCTCGGTTGCGTTTTTTTTGCATCTGAGTGTAGTAAATTGAAGGATATGTTTCAAAAGGTGTTGTTTGATATGTTGAAAAAGTAAAAAATTAAACATATCATATAACTTCAACTGAAAGTACGAATGTACTGACCATTTACCATGAAATGTGTTCTGACGTTCATTATTTGTTCAGTATCACTGGATCAGTTGGACTGCGTCAGCGAAACTGACAAGTGAGAACCCGCCTTTAGCTTCAGTCCGTCCGCCAAAAAAATGTATTGAAAGAAAGGATATGGAATAGAACGGAAGGGAAACGGAACGGATAGTGTGCATTGTCCTATTCATTTACCTGATATAATATTTTATGTAAAAGGAAGGGAAACGGTAGGGAGCTGATATGGAAGGTATAGCGGGAATCAACCTTAAACTGCCTAGTTCTTGTTTATAATAGTTGTCGTTTAAAACGATTTCAATGGATTTTCAATTGCGAAACGGTGATTTAACCTGGCGATGGCGTGACTAAATATATCTGGTATTCAACTTGAGACTGCGACCCGATTATATCTAACTAACCTACGTCATTGTCGATAATGTTGCAGTAATGCTGAGCACGTGTAGTCTAACAAAAAATACGCTTCCAGTCGCGTTTATCACCTAACCTCGTTGCTAGTTCCGTACAAAATATTTTAAAAATAATAATTTGGGCAAATACATTCATTTATCGTTGTTATTTTTAGGTACGTATTTTATATATGTATTATTTTTAGACTATATTTTAACATGTGTCATTTTGTAATGCTATTAGAAAAGATATACCGATTGTGAAGGTTATGCGATACCTACATTTATTTGTAAACATGAACTTAACAGAGGCGTATCATTTTTGAGATTAAAAGACGCATTTTGAATTTTCTTTATGTAGTTATTTTTTTCTACAGTCCGTCTATATATGGGTTTATGAAAATTTTGAAAATAAGAGGTTTTTAAAGTGAAACTACTTTACGCGCGCTGGAAACGCGGCGAAAAAATGCAAAAAAGTCGGAAACACTGGACTTTTTGCGGTTTTTTGTTTAACTTTAAAAATATCAACTTTTCGTAAATAATATTTCTATTCAAAATTCAAGTAAATATAACTTTTGTTAAATTTTTTTCTGAAAAACTGGTAGGGCTCAACAACCAGTTGAAAATTAGCGTTTTTTGGTTGTCTTTTTGGTTGTCTTTTTGGTTGCCTCGGCCTGATACCTACCAACTTTTTGTACTCCGATACTCTAAATTTATTATTAAAGTCTAGTATGTGCTTTTTTAGTTTTAAAACGGCCTACACACGTAACGATTTATCGTACTGCGTGTTGAACTGCAGATCGTAAAATCGTACGGCTTGCAGTACAGCCATTTTTTGTACACACGATGCAACACCTTATACTGCCGCAGTTCAAATTATTCACTTTTCGTCGGGAAGGGCTACTGTTATGTCAAGAATTTCAAATAAGAAAGCTGCCGTGCTTGTAGCTGCGGTATTGCTGATATCTATCATCTGAAGATGATGAACAAAAAGAAATCAAAAAGGGAAAATGGTGTAAAAAGTGTTTTCAAACCCCACCCCAGATACGACCCGTTGATACGACATTTTACGGAAGCTCCGTACTGCAAACGATTTGACGACAGCATACTGCAAACCATCCAATTTCCCTACACACGCTACGATTTATCGTTAATGCGGCAGTTTCGATGGATATCGTACTGTATGCAGTACCATAAATCGTTACGTGTGTATAGACCGCTTAAGTTAAATGTCATATAGACAGTGATTTCAACAATAATATATACCATTTCCGATAATAAATGAAAATAAAATTTATCTATATTATATTTAGAATATGTGTAAATACAAGTACAGGAAATGGTTGCAGATAAAAGAATCAACTGTCACTTATTAAAATAGAAAAGTATAAAGCGCATTATGGGTGGTAATTCTTAAACTGTGAAATTTAAATGAAGTGAAAAAGTAAAACTCCTTGCAATAATGAACAACTCTATACAGATATAAATCAGAACTATCATTACAATCCAACTATTGCATCGAATTAGTAAAACATTCAGATAATACATGTTTGCGGTTTGAGCTAGTTCCTATACTCTTTCTCTCTTGTCATTTTTGATACTCGGTGAAGATTGTGGAAGCACCAAGGACATAGAAAGATCGACAAGTATGCAAAGAAAGCAATCCGCTGCAATATTATTTACTAATTCCAGAGTGCCTACTGTCTCACAAAAAAGGCAAAAATTGTATCCTCAAGCTGAGGAGGATGCCGATATCCATATTGCGAGAAGTACACGTTGTCCCCATTAAATAATTACGGTAACAATAAGGGGAATGTAATTTTGATTGGCCTATGTAGCCCGGTATAAAAAATTGCTTCTCTCTAAAACCAGAAAACAGTATCTCAAACAGACTAAAACCAGACAGGTATCTCAAACACCTTGATACTTTTTCTACAGCCAACAAAACTATGCTTTGATACTATATTAATCCTTAAATTATATTAATCCTTCATGCAATAAATAAGTGTCTAATAACTTCGGAAATGTTTAAGTAGGGGAAATTAAATTTTCTTCAAGTTTTAAATAAAAATAATGACTTGGAATCCATCATTAATGTTTTTAAAGATCCCCAAGCAAACTAGAATAACTAATAGACCTATGTAGTAAACAACTACATAGAAATCAGACTGCACTGGACGATTTTGAAATACAGACAATACAAATTTCCTTCTTATAAAAATATCATATAATATTGCTTGACTGCGCGAGAAAACTCACTAAGAGTTTTCTTTCAAGTGCAAAATTCAACCAAACCCCATAATAATTTTTTTTCTTTTTTGCATTTTTTTTCAATGTTGCGTTGCGAAATTTTGTTAGCAAACATCAGATTCGGATTCAGCGCCCCAAATAACATAAAGAACAAAATAAATCAGAACTACCCCAAAACATTCCTCAAAAAAAATACCCAATTTGACCAGACTATTGAGCTACCCCAATTTGACCAGACTAAAAAAAGTACTACTGATCGAAACGCATTTCCTTGGGGAATGTTCAAGAAAATTGAATTTAAAAGAGATTTTGTTACACTTTTCATCGGGTAGGTGAAATCAAAGTAATGAGTACATTTTAATACTTGAAATCTATAAAAAAAACTGTAATTGTCTTACAACAGAATTAAATCAAGCTTATCTTAAAGTGGTTTTACATGTACACACTGTGATTCACAATACTATATTATCTACTAGAAATAATTACTAATTACTATATTTAACTAATGTCAATGTAATTTATATATAATAAAAAAAACCGTTTTTCTCATTGTTTACCTGACCTAAACCCAAGAAAAAATTAAATAAAATTACTATATTTATATATTTTAATTTTAGAAAGCATCAGTAATATTAAATTATTATAACCATACATGGTTTACAAGCGTATAACTTAACGTATACAAGAGCTGGATTTTAATATAAAATGAAATTATGGATTATGGAGAAACTACATTAGTATTTTTAAAAAAGGTAGGTAATTGATTTGCTTCTTACTTAATATTTATACTATTTATTTTCTGATAATTGTTTTTCTTAGCAATTTTTTTTTCATTCATTGATATTAGGTTAGTTACAAAAATGACTTTCATATGAGTATATGTAGATATACAGGATTGTTCACCACATACGACACGGAGTATTGTCGCTAAACGATTAGATTTTTACAAATTTTAAGTTTTGGGTTCGTTGAAGGACTATTAGAGCTACAATTTAAAAATATTTTTACAATTCTCCAAGGGTATCAAAAGTCTTTAATACTAAATATTTACTGAAGATTATTTATTGATCAGATATTGTGTTGCAATAATAAAAATTGTACTACCTTATACAGAGTGTCCAAAAATTTATATTAAATAATTACTAGCTTTAAACGGCAATAACTTCTTTAATTTAAATGGAACACCCTGTATATTTTACGTGAATCATATGCAAAATTTAATTGTATTATACCATTTTTTACCTATCTCTTCAAGTTTTCGTAGAAAATGCATTTTCTTATAATTTAGACCTCATTAATCACTATACCCATGGAATATTGACATTTTAGATTATTTTTAAAGATGTAACAAATTTTCAAAGTACAGATACTAATATTGTCGATAATACAATTTGATAGACAATTACATTGTGCGTTTGATTCACGTAAAATATATAGGGTGTTCCATTTAAATTAAACAAGTTATTGCTGTTTAAAGCTAGTAATTATTTAATATAAATTTTTGAACACTCTGTATAAGGTAGTAAAATTTTAATTATTGCAACACAATATTTGATCAATAAGTAATCTTCAGTAAATATTTAGTATTAAAAACTTTGATACCCTTGGAGAAATGAAGCATTAAATAAAAAGTTTATTACAATTTCATAAAATTGAAAATATTTCAAAAACGGTAAGGTTTAAGTGCGATAAACCTTAATCAAATTTACCTTTATTTTAATCGTAGAATCTAAAAATAGAATAATATACAGGGTGTTCCATTTAAAAAAATACAACTATAATATTTTTTACTTATTTGAAACACTCTGTATCTTGTAAAATTTTTTTAAATTGTAGCTCTGCTCTAATAGTCCTTCAACGAACCCAAAACTTAAAATTTGTAAAAATCTAATCGTTTAGCTACAATACTCCGTGTCGTATATGGTGAACAACCCTGTATATTTGTTAAAAAATATTTTTGTAGTATACTTACTATATTGATAAGAAATAACATTCTTATAATTACTTAGCTATATTTTTGATTTGAAAAATTATTGTCACTACTATAATTATTCTTATAAAATTATATATTATTATAGGTCAAAATTCAAGGTCATAAACAATTAAATCTACTTAATATTACCCGTAATGATTGTATACGTTATAAATTAATATGTGCGTTTATTAGCGTGACTCACTATAATTAACCCCTTCAGGTATTAAATAAGCCAGTTTTTTAAAAGTTAGTTGTACACCGAGGGAATTTAGAATGTAGAGTGTATGGCGACCTTTCAGATCTATTGTGTCCTCCTCCATACAGTCTCAAGGCTTTGATAATAGCCAGTATCTGAGACGGTTTTACAGAGGTTAGCCTCTATCTCCAAATGCACCAAAGTTCATGGCACGAATGGTGGTCGTCTCGGCGTACTCAATGATGAGGTGTTCTGGTGTTTCCCCATTTTCCCCACAGAATCTGCATTCGCCGCGCCGTTGTTTCTTAGCTTCAATATACTCAGGTATTCGTTGAGGAGACAGTGTCCTGTTAAAAACCCCTTGATAATCCGAAGATCGTTCTTACTTAAATGGATCTCATCTTTGATTTTTCTCGGTCCTAATTTCTGAGAAATTTCTTCGAGTGTCTTATGGTACGTTTAGACTTGAGCACGCACGAGCTGAGCGTGTGCGCACCGCATTCGTTCGCGCTCTCCGCTCCGTTCAAATTAAAAACTTATTTTTCGACGAATGAAGTGATCCATTTGTGCGCGCACAGCAGAGTTGTGTTGGCAAAAATAATTGACGACCAAGAAATAGTCGAGGCTGCAATCTTTGTTATGCACAGCTTAATTATTAAAATGGAGAAAAATCGAAAACATCGCCGCTGGTGGCAAACCCAAATTTTTAGAAATCGATATAATTTACTGATGCAACAACTTAGTGTCTGAGGAGGGCTATGATCAGTTCAAAAACTTTACAAGAATGACCAGACCCGACTTTGAATATTTACAAAATTTAATAACACCAAAAATTACGAACAAAAGATACAAATTTTCGAATAGCAATTTCATTAATATCGACATATTCAATATTAATTTTATTTACAAGATCTTGCCATGCGTTTTTTTCTTATTTTCTACAAAGAATGTTTAACATCCCATAATATTGGCAACTTTCCATATTCTTCAATTAATAATAACGAAGATTCATTGATCCACTCCATAATTTTAATAAAGAAAAAGAAAAAAAATCACACACGCACGCACGAACGCAGACAAAACAAATTGCCGGTGCAAACTGAGCGTTCGCGCATACATAAAATCCCTTTGAGCACCGACCAAAAACCGACACCAGACGGCTCACGTTCGCGGCTGCTCGCGCACAGACAGATTCAGAGTGAGCGTGCGCGCACAACCGTTTACACTTGGGCATTCGCGGAGGATCAGTGCATGCGTGCTCAAGTCTAAACGTACCATTAGACCGTTGGGGGATTCCCATTCCAGGTTACGGATGGAGTCTTTTAGGTTCTTGAGGTCCGCTTTAAGTTGATTACTACTTGGGAAACAGAACGGTTCTGGTCCAATTAGTGGAGTGTTTGCTCCTTTTCTAGCTAGATCGTTTGTTTTTTCATTGCCTCGTGTTTTCTCATCTCTTGGTGGGCTGGCACCTAGAGTACAAGGACTTTATTATCTTTGCCTAATTTGTTCAGCTTCTCTAGGTATTCTTTCACCAACTTCGAATTGATGGTTACTGAATTGATTGCTTTTAACGCTTTTTGACTATCGAATAATATGACTCTTGTTTTCGATATATCTCATGGATGTTGGAGCAGGTGCCTATTGGTTCGGAGTATTTATTTTTCGACCCAAAAACTCCTATCCCTTTGCTGCTTGGGTTTTGGAAGCATCAGTATACCATGTGGTATGGTCTTTTACCCGCTAAGCAAAATTTTCTCTCTTCCAATCCTTTTTAAATGCTCAATACTACAGTGGAATGTTTTTCAAAGTTGTACATATTTGGTGAGGTGTGTCATCCACTGCGAGTTGGAGAAGTGGAATTTCCCTTTTAAGGGTGTTTCAAGCTCCTGTGCTGACAATTCTCCCAGTACTGTTTTCGTCAATAACCATTAAAATCATTGTCGCATTGGTATATCTACCGATGATAATGTGCAATGGTGTTATGTCTAGAATGACCTCCATTGCTGCTATTGGGCATGTTCTCATGTCTCCTGTGATCTATTGTGTCCCCCTTCATACAGTCTCAAGACTTTGCCAATAGCCATTATTTGAAATGGTTTTACAGATGTTAGTTTTCTATTGCCAGTTGTACCATAGTTCATGGCACGAATGGTTGTCGTCTCGGCGTACTCAGTAATGAGGTGTTCTGGTGTTTCTCCATTTTCTCGAATGGAATTAGCGCCAGTCTCTGCATTTTGAACAGGTTTATCCTGTTGCTCTAGTTTTATGTACCAAGCAACTGCTCCATATGTAACCATGGGTCTTACTATCATGGTATACATCCAGCGCAAAATGTTAAGAACGCAGCCCGCTAGCTATTTCCCGCCAATCTTCTTCATATCATAAGAGCCTGTGCATATATAAAAATCTTCATATCATAAAAGCATGTGGCTTTTGGCTTTGCTACTAATGTTTTTAATATGCCTGTTCCATAGAAAAGCTTACTATCCAGGGTTATTCCCAGAAATTTGACTTCCTGTGATGGCAGTATTTCTTTTCCATCTAGTTCGATTCTTTTCAAGTTTTTCAGACTTCGCCTTCTGGTGAATGGAACTACCGCACTTTTGTAGAAAGTCATCACATCAATTTTTTGTATGACAACCCTTATTTTTTAACAAGCAATCGCCTGATTTTTATGTAATATATATTTTCTTATATGCTTGAATTCGTTATAGGCTGGTTTAGCAATAGTGGCTTACTACATAGGATACATTCAGTACTCTATATTATGGATAGTTCTGGCTGTGATATTAGATATTGCAAAAGATTTACATTTGAAATCCAAATTGACAAGAAGAGATTTGCATCGAAAACTAGCTACGAATGGCGAAAAAGATGTTATTGGCTCATTGTCTAATTTACCATCATGGGTAAGTAGTTATGTTACGGCTGAAATGGATACTTGGCTAGTTCTAAACTATCCATCAAGTGGGCTGACCAAAAGCCCTGTAAATAGCGGGTAACCAGCAGATAGTTTCGTATATGACTGGTTACTATGCTTATTTTACTCTTTTATAAAAAGACTTAAGTCAGACTGAAAAATGACTTCGAATCAAACAACTAAAGTCATTAAATGATTTAAATAAAAAAAAGACTTGTCTATAAGCTTGCAGCTCTGTTTATATACCAGCTAGAAAACTTGATGTTTTGGGCGACTAAAACTCATGGAGTTATAATATTAGTCAAAATCATAAATGGTTATTAAAAACTAACTGAAATAATTTGTTAATATTAAAACAATAGTTGAATTAATCATGACATTAACCAAAATGATAAAATAGTTAAAAGCATCTTTTGCTATGGCAGCGAGGTATGGCAGCTAGAAGATAAGGCCGTGCGCACCCTGAAAGTGACAGAAATGGATTTCTGGCGACGGGCCGCAGGTAAATCCAGAAGAGAAACGAAACAACTAATATGATATGGCCAGGTACAAATAATGTCAGAAGAGAGGCTTCCAAAACTGATCCTCAGCTGGACATCAGCTGAACGACGAAAAAGGGGTAGACCACGCAAGAGCTGGACTCTAAAAGAACCACGACTCTAAAAGAACGAGAGCTCGAAGACGACCTCTGGTCAGATAGGGAGCAATGGCATCGGAAGACGTCGAAAAACGTTTTAAAACCGATTGATATACAGGGTGATCCGAACTGTATTCCGGAAACGTCGACAGCATATTCTGCAGATAAAAATCAGTAAAAAAGTTGGTATAAATGTATGTACTCAAATGCTTAGTTTCGGAGATACAGGGTGTAGAAATTTTATTTTTATTTCGATTTTTTCCAAATAATTTCTGAAGTAACGTCAATATTTGGATGAAAATTGGTGCCTAGGAATTTTTTTGACATGAGAAATTCGATTTTTTATATCAGTATGATTCCTACTCATAGAGGGCGCCACCTACATGTGTTTTAACTGTTTTGAAACTTAATAACTTTTTGTCCGTACCTGTACAAAACTACCGAGGGAAAACTGTATATCTCTGTGAATTTTTACGTAAAAACTATCTCTTTGTAAAAATCGCTACGAGCAACCGTTCTCTGGATATTTAGAATGGAAATAGTCAATACATGTCATTATAGACGAAAAATAAACACGTTGAGTTAGATAGATATTTCACTGAAATAATAAATTGGTGAAATTTTTACTTTTTTAAATTAATCATAAATTTGTCTGCAAATAAATGATGATAATACAGTTTCTGTTGTACTTAATAATAATAATAATAGCTCCCGTATATAGCGTTTGATGCCTTGGGAGTAGCAAGGTACAGCTTGCCATGCTAGAGCCGTTCGGTATACAAGGAAGGTAATGTGGCTAGCACTACGCTTCAACCGCCTATTATTACCTCAGGGTTGTGAATCCCAAGTACTCATTTAAGGCTCAATAGGTAACCAAACTATTTTTATTTTAATAAAAATAGCCGGCTGATGAAATGCCGGGTGTAGGATTCGAAACCACTACCTGTCGAACTTCTGGCTCAAAATCATTTCAATTTATGATTTCAGTCTAATAACTATTTAGTCAACATGTTTAATTTATGTCAATGATGAGAGGCATTGATAAATTCGATTCCAAATATTTCGAAAACCATTACTCGTAGCGATTTTTACCAAGACACATTTTTTACGTAAAAAATGTCGTAAATGTATATTTCTTTATTCAGTAGTGTTATACAGGTACGGACGAAGAGTTATTACTCTTCAAACCAGTTAAAAAATATAAAGGTAGCGCCCTCTACTAGTAGGAATCATGATCATTGACATCAAAATCCAAACTTCTCATGTCAAAAAACTCCCAGACACCAATTTTCATCCAAATATTGACGTTATTTCAGAAATTATTTATTTGGAAAAAATCAAAATAAAAATGAAATTTCTACACCCTGTATCTCCAAAACTAAGCCATTTTAGGACATATATTTATACGAAGTTTTTTACTTATTTTTATCTGAAGAATATGCTGCAGTAGTTTCCGGAATACAGTTCGGACCACCCTGTATATTAACCAAAATGAACGTATATAGTTTACAAATTAACCAGTTTTAATCCAGCTGCTACGGCATTTTGCAAAAATAGGTGGATTCTTTCAAAATAACAGCGCTTTTAGTGAGTTTACGAAATAGCTGCTTAGTTTTAAAATTGGCCAAGTATCCATTTTGGCCTTATTATAATCAATAGTACAAGCTCACTCTCTTATACTTTTAGGTATGCTTTCCAGACATGGAACGGGCAGAATGGGCGAATAGAATAATTAGACAGTTATGGCCAAACGTAAACAATTATGTTCACGACGTTATTAAAGAAATGTTACAAAACAAACTGAACAAAAAATTGGGAAATAAAAACCTATTTTTCGAAAGACTATTTGTTGGGAAAATCGTAAGCAATATGTGTTTCTTCATAGCGTACCTTTATTGTATATTTTTCAATACAAACAATTTACAGTTAAAAAATGCATATAAAAAAGAACTTGAAAATTTCCGCTCGTTTTCACGAGTCAACTGAAATGATCAAGTCACAGGAATACAACTGACTTGAAAGCATATTTCGAGTTTATATATTTTAGATCAAAAAACTTCGGCTAGTTGAATTAAAATAGCGACATTTGAGATCCTAGAGATTGACAAAAAAAAATGATGCAAATCAATTATTGTATTTAAATTAATCTTTTATATACACGAAATGAATTCAAATGACTTGATCAGTTGGCTCGTGAAAATGCACCCTTATACAATAAGAAAAATATTATCACATGCTACTGATAATCATTCCAATATATGATAGTCATTATAATAACTTTTGCAAATTCATAGTCTGTTAAAGCGATAAAATCCATGACACTATAATATGCCTTTTCTGACAATTTTTGGATGTCAACTATGATGAAATCATCCCTTTTTTTCTTGGACCGGCTTATATTATTGAATTATGAAAAATTAACATTATATATAGTCATTTTCTGCTCAGAACCATCAAGGATTTGTTTTTAGCCTTTTAGAATTGGTGGTATAATTGTTTACGAACATACTTCACAAGATGAGATCGTTTTGGATATGGATATCTCGTAAGTAGACATATATTAATTATTAACTTTAAATTTGTATAACATTAATAATATTTTTTTTCCGTTCTTGGGTATGAGGTTTTTTTTATTAATTGAAAATGGAAACTTTTTTTTTATTATGCGACGTTTCGCCTCATCATGGTGGGCTTTCTATGATGAGGCGAAACGTCGCATAATAAAAAAAAAGTTTCCATTTTCAATTAATAAAAAAAAACCTCATACCCAAGAACGGAAAAAAAATATTATTAATATTATATATACTAAAGGTTTAAGAAAAAGAAAAAAAAATAAACTTTTAAATTTGTATCTACTAGTCAATACTATAATATCATTGAGTGAGAATATGTAAAAAGAACTGACCTGTCCCAAATATCACTTTCTTTTTAATATCGCTTATTCTACTGTCACGGATATGTCCCCATAAAATTATGTAGTGAAAAAAATTCCTTAATTGAATATACAGGGTCCGGCAATAGTGCGTCGGGCATCTGTAGCTCCTAAAATAAAAAACTTGGGAATTTTGTTTAAGTGCAAACCTGAAGTATGTACTAGGATGCATTTCAAGAAAATATTTTGACTTCTATAGAGTGGCTCAAAAAAGTGTGAGTGGATCGGGATGCATTTTTTTAAATGGAACACCCTGTATATTATTGCATTTTTGGCTTCCTTTCAGATCACTTTACATAATCCTAAGACATGAGTAAATATATTTCGATAATTTCAGAGATATTAATAAATAAATAAAAATTATATTTTTTTCAGCCTCTCTTAAAAAAATAATTAATAATACAAAAACAGTCCTGAAATCAAAACTATATTAGATATTTACTTTAGATGGTCTCTACTTACTTTGCTATAAATATGGAAATCGTAAATGATACAGGATGTTTAAAATTCTACGCCAAACTTTCGAAAATATAAAATAATTTTTCTTTGATTTTTTAAATGGAACACCCTGTATATTATTTTTTCAATAGATGGAAAATTAAAAAAAAAAGAACATTTTTTTGCATTTAGAGTATTTCAAAATTTTTAACGGTTTCGCAGATATTCCCGGTTTTGTATTTTATATGGTATTTTCCACAGTAAATTTTTATCAAAGTCACCCAATGATTTTTCTCTCGTATTTTACCATTGAAAGCGCCATATGAAATAATACTGCGTGTATCCGGAAAACTATTAAAAATTTTTAAGTACTTTAAATACAAAAAATGTTCATTTTTTATTTCTCCATGAAATAGAAAAATAATATACAGGGTGTTCCATTTAAAAAAACGAAGAAAAATTATTTTATATTTTTGAAAGTTTGGCGTAAAATATTGAACATCCTGTATGATTTACGATTACGAACAGAACTAAATCAGATGGTCTGTCCTTACAGACCATCTAAAGTAAACATCTAATATAGTTTTGATTTCAGAACAGTTCTTGTATTTATAATATTTTTTTAAAGAAGGGTTGAAAAATATATATTTTTGATTTATTTTTTAATATCTCTGAAACTATCGAAATAGATTTACTGATATCTCTGACATATTCTCCTTAGTTGTCATCTCATCTATTTAATTATCATTGTTTTATAGGTACGCTGGTGACTGCCATATAGTTATTACATATGGAACGTTAAAAGGAAATATTAAGGATTTTCAGGTTAGTTTAAATTTATTGATTTATTTTAGTATAAAAAAGACAATTAAAAATATTACATAGACTTTCTTTCACCCGCGCCCCTATTTATTTTTTTATGATCTAATTGTGGATACAAATCTCAATTTTCCAGATTCTTCACAGAGATAAAATTGTCATCTTTCTATTAGTCCGGCAGCCGCTGCACAGTGGTTTCCCTTAATTAGCTGCGCGGTCATCGGTCATAACTGTTACATATCTAGATATAGCTTGACTGCACCTTTTTTAATAGAAATTGATAAGAAATGCTAAATAAAAGTATATAAAAAACTCAATGTAATATGTATTAATAAAATTGGGCCCAGTTCTGTTCGTGTGATTTGCATTTTAAGTTCTAACTATTCGGAAAAGTATACAGATGATGTTTGCACATATGTACATGTTTTTTCATATTGAAGAGGTCAAATTTATTTTAAATGTAAAAATAAAAGAGACAGTTGTTTCATTTTATAAATACAATTTTATTGTCAATTGATATACAGTGTGTCCACGAAATAAGTTGACACAAAGAGGAAAAAATAAGTTACTTTTATTTTAAGACAAAAAGTCAATCTTTAACCACCCGGTACAAGATCCGGCGGCAATTCGCGGCAGCCAGTGACAATTAATGTATATGCAATATACTTTAAGCAACAATTATTATGATGCCGTTTAAGAGAATTTGAAAGGGAAAGTAGTTAAAAGTCTTAAAGAGTGACAAGCAAAAATGTAAAAATACTATTTTTGTTGCCTTCAAATAAATTGCCATAAACTAATATTACTTTTATTAGGTTTAATTAAGTGCAAAAAAGAAAAAACAGTTCTTTTTACCTTCTTTTCGAACGTCCATTACAGAAAAGACAACAGCTTTTATCAATTTTAATAAAATAAGTAATTAATTGGCGTTATCTGAAAACTGTTTATGTCAGCTTGATACCAGTAGCAAAAATGTGACATTTCTAATAAAAAAAGGGCTACACTAGGCTTACTTGATTTTGTTATTTATTATGTATCGTTTATAGGGGAATATAAGAAAAGTATTAGCAACAGTTTCATGCAAACATTTTGAAATTAATATTTCTAAGTAATGATCTATCTGGGAACCACTGTGCGCTGGGGTAAACCCAAAATTTTGGGATTAGTTTTTTTGAAAACGGATTTATCACCTATAGATGTCCTACTTTGATATCCGAGTGATGACAAAGTGGCATCTTTGGGGAAATTAAGATACAGGGTGATTCATTATCAAGTATGTGAAATCGAGTGTTATTCGAGTTATCGAGTTATTTTGTGTGTTTTTAACGTAAAAAAATGTTTTTTATATTGATTTATTTATTAAAGTAGGTTTTTTTATAGGTATAAGTGATAACGAAACTTCTTATATACAGGGTGATTAAAAAAACATAATATATATTCACGTTAATTGAAGGTAAAGCGAAAAATTAAATTTTTGTATTATGTATACTGTGTAGGTATGTATATACATATACCTAATATATGAGTAAAAGAATAACAAACACATTTTTTATACAGGGTATTTCAAAAATAACATTACTTCCTTTGAAGGACTAGGATAAATATTTTAAACACGCATATCATAAAACATTAAAGTTTATCAGTCGGTATCAACCTCAGAATCAACTGGTTTATCGGAAACCACAACATCTTCATCCTCATTATCATTAGCCGGTACAGCGGGGGTCAGTTCGTTGCAACAATGTTCGTTCCCATGGCACATACAAAACACTGTGCAAGGCAATCTATAGGCACCTTTACACCCACATCTTTTTGTGCTACACGGACTGGCACTTTCACACTGGCTTCACACTGGCACAAATGCTTTCCGTTGGCATCTTTTTAAAAAAAAGTATTACAAGATCGTCAAATTGATTATTAAGTGCTTTAATTAAAGTACTTCTCGTAAGAATATACCCTCCCTGTTGAGAATAAATGTTTTTTATATCAACTGAGTTCCAAATTCTTTCTTTATCTGCCAGTAGTTCTTTCACGGTTTGATTATATGGAATATCTTCTTCGTCGTTATTCTGGCCTGATCGTCGTTTGGCTAACAAAATAGCTTTTTGGCCCATAAATCTGTTTTGACAATCCAGATGGTATCTGGCGTCTACTGTATGTAGGTCTGCTACACAGCCCGTTAAGCTTAGACTATCTTCAGAAGCCCAGGTATCATTCCTTTCTATACAGGTTTTCAAAATCGCTTCTTTAATTACCATTTTCTTAAAGTTGTCTCCTAAATCGCGGAACTGGAAGGCCGCTCTCCATCGATGTGGATGCTTTTCATCTTTTTCTAGTTCACACTTTAGTCCACAAAACAAACAGTTTTCTTTGAAGATAAAGATTGGCACTTCTAAACGTCGCTGCATTTTCTTACTTGAGGTTCCAGCCTTGTTAATATCATTGTCCGGGGATAAGGTCCTTTTCAAATGTGTTTTGGATGTGTACGTCGAAACGCAACTTCTGTGACATATCGTAAACGAAAATCCTTGTCCGTAGTGATCTTCTCTTCCAATTCTTCACATTTACCATCTTGATACACTTTGCTGTACTTTATAATAATTTCTATGCGTTGTGCACTAGCAACTGAAAGTTTTTCACTTTTATTCTGACAGTAAAGCTTCCAGTCAAAAAAACACTTTTCATTCATGTTTAACTAGGTATTATTGTTACAATCAAATTTTAATCTGAAAGAGAAATCACTGTTATCTTTCTGCCTTGGGATAGACCTTTAAATCTAAATTATAAGCTCTGCAGTTTGCAGTCAGTAGTCGCAGTTGGCCGTTCCATCAGATTTAGAATCTCATGAACTTGGAACGGCCAACTATAGCTTGCAACTGCGAACTGCAGGGCTTATAAATTATTAGGCTTTAATTAAGGACACTGATATCCGCAAACTAAGCATTTTCCTTCATCACCCTGAAAAAGATATATTTAGTATAACATAATTATTTAAGTAATAAAATTGATTTAATGGAGCCTTAATGAAATTTTTTATGATATTTATATTATTTCTTTTCACTGATACTTTAGGTTACAAACTAAAAGTATCAGCAACTGTAATGAAAAGTCCTATATTTCTATGCTAACATTTTTGTTGAGACTTCATTAACTCAATGTTATTGCTTTACTCTAAATTATTAAAAATATGTGTTAAACATTTCACAGAATCATTGAAATGGAAATACAAAATCATCGGTAATTCAAAGACCTTCGAACCTTAACCTAAAATTATTAATGCTAATAATGAGTGTTGAATTCAATTTAAGATACAAAGTTCTAAAAACAAGAAAAATATTAATCGGAAAAATGTAGATTTAAGTTTTATTTTTTTTATCACCCTGTATATTGGTAAAGGTAAGCCTATATTTAGTACATATAAATACAATAAATTGACGAACCCACACAAAAATTAAGGCCTAAAGCTTAAAAACCTATCGAATACATTTTTATGTCTTATATTTTGGGACACCCTGTATATCTGGATTTCCCCAAGAGTGACAGCTTGTCATCAGCCGGATATGGAAAATAGACATATAGATCTATAATAATCCGTCATAAAAAAAACTTAATCCCACAATTGGCACTTCAGGGAAAAATCCGGGTTCAGCTGCCGGACTATATTAATTTTTTGAAGATTATATTTGTCATGATTGTATAATGTACCCTGTATAATATTTAATCAAATACTATACATTTTTAATTTGAAGTAACATATTTTCTTAAAGAGAATTGATATAATTTTGTATAAAAAACTGCATTGAAACAAAAAAAATATATTAGGTATTTACTGTTTTTCAAAATTGCAATTTTTTACTTAACAATTTTAAGTGTCTCAAAAGTGTTGAAAGAAAAATTGATAAACTTATATGTGTATAGATTATACACAAAATATGTTTAAAATGGCATGTGGTATCCGAAATGCATACCTTAGGTGGTTTTCCTACTTAATATAATCAAAATTAGTAATTTGAAAAGTAGTGTCTTTTGTGGATGGGTCTTTTTTCTATGTTTAAACATTTTATACTGGATATAATATATAGCAATACTGAAATAAACGAAAAATAATTCAAAATAAGCGAGGAAAAATCACATGCTTTCAAGTTTGTCGACAAAAGCCAAATAAAACACGTTTTGTGTTTGACTCCTAACTTTTATTTAATGATAGCAACCCTTATTTTTTACAGCTCTATGGTAAAATGAGAGTGATAATTAAACCCCTGATAGATGTTTTGCCTCTTGCAGGCGGATTCCAAGCCTTCTTTCTAAATAAACCAGACATCGATTTCGATCTGGACGGCGTAGGTGGACTTCTAGAGTTTCCAGGTTTTAAGTAAGTATTTCCACTTGAAGGGTAAGGTAAAAAAACAACTATGTCCATTTTATAGGAATTTTAAAGTAATTAGCTAAACCTTGTTGTTGAGTATAGCAAGTCCCACAACACAAGCTAAATTGTAATTCAATTATAACACATATGCCCAAATAATAATGCATACAGTAATCACTTTTTGTATCTTTAACATGATATTTGGCAACATTAAATCAGTTTTCTCTGTAAAAGTCAGTTTTGTGACATCGTCTGTTTTTCCCTAACCCTTCATATTTTCTTTCTAAAAAAACGAATGAAGATGTAACTTCATCTATTGTTTTCCAGGCAGCTTCTGAAAAAGATGATTTTAGATAGCATTTCGTCTGTGATAGTTCTACCAAATAAATATCCGATGAGGTTTAGTAAGAAAATCTCCAAACAGGATATTAAAATTCCTCGGCCCAAGGTAAATTTTTAATCAAAGAATAAAATAATTAAGACCAAAGAAACTAAATATGTATACGTACTTTTATGGTTAAAACTATTCTGTTTATCTTTTTTTTTTTTAAAGATACATACTTTTAGGGAGTTCTAAGGATACATTTGATACAAGCCTCCAAACTTGTCAAAACTGATATATTATTGACAGATCCGTATGCTATACTCTCTGTGGGCAATCAAGAATACCAAACTTCAGTAATGGAACAAACTACTAGACCTAAATTTGATTATTGGTGCGAGGTAAAGACGTATTTTATGTAGCTTTTGAAATAAGAAGAAAGATTTAACGCATAACAAATCTCAAATAGTTAAATTAAATCTAGGTTGACACGGGTAGTGAAGTCGCTCGTGTCTCACATTTTCGTGAGCTACAAAAGTACCAAAAAGCCATTGGTGAAAAACGAAAATCGTCCAGCGATCGTATGCTGTTTACACGACAAACGTGCCAGTCTTCTACCGGGTGGTGCACCATCGTTGAAAAAATAGGAAATCCCATGGAAATTTTGAACTGTCGAAATATTGGCTCTCCTATTAATTGTACAGCTAAGACGTATATAGGTTTTTTAAGGGTCCGCCTATGCTGAATACACATGCCAAAATTGAACAATTTTGGACAAGCCAATTTTAAGTAATTTAAGAAAAACTGCATCTATTTTTAAATTAAAACTGAACAGGTAACAATGCAAAACCAGGGAGATGCCAACGTACCTTAAGTTGTCATCCTATAATATTGTAAACGTCAAATTGTATTTTCTAAACATTAGGCTTTTGCCTCTTTCGAATCAATTTTAAATTAGAAAAATACATTTCGGGGATATTAAGCGTAGGTACTATACCGTAGTAGTGTAGATAGAATAACAAATTACATTTGACAATGCTAAAATGCATGGGATTCCCTACGTTTCTAAGGACGATGCACCACCCTGTATAGAGTTTGTAAATTTTTTGTTTGTAATTAAAATATGCGTCTGGATGAGTAAAAATAATTAATTGTGTCATTCATGCCAATATTTCTGCAGAGAGTTGCCGATAATTACGATTTTTCGTCAGACATTTCTAATTTGCTTGCGAGTATCATTACTGTACAGTTCGTCTACTGGATCTGTGTCTATGAAAGGAATGCGGACAAAAAACATTTAAATAAACAGCAATATATTTTATACGTCGTCTTGACGAGTACGTCACCGCAAATCGCTCCGCCCACTCATTTTATTGGTTACTTGCAAATTTGTCGAATTTTTATTGATGGGACGCGTCGTCTAATTTTTTATGAAAAACATTGAGAGAATATCGTTTCCCCTCTCACGGATACCGTAGCTACAGAACGGACAGACGTACTGTATATAAAAATTCAATTTATATTTATTTCAGTTATGGTTTAATTATGGTTTTTTTATGCACATGTAAGTTAATTTTTATAATTATGTACTAAAACATATTAAAAAAAATGTAGTAATTAAACATTCGAACTTTGTTTGTGCAACAAAGATTTTGATCGGAAATCAATCAATATCTTTAATAAGAAAATAATGCAAAATGTGCTTTTTTACCTCAACTTCTTTTGCAAATATCTAACACATTTGATTTGCTTATTCATGATTTTTCGTATTGATTCCCATCGATTCTTCTTTCACGACTCTACTGTTTACATGAGGCGTAATCCACGAAAGTGTGGGACACGAGCGTGCTTGTCTAGCATGTCTCAACCTTAGCATGTCTCAACCTAGCTATAAGTCTAGATACTAATAGGTACTCCTCGTAAAGAAAAACACTTTTTTTCCATAGCAACTGTTAAAATTGTCTTATATCTATCAAAAATAGTATATAAAATAGTACTTTAACCGCAAGGATAGATTAAATGATACTTTAACAGCGAGGATAGGTTAAAAATTTTATTTCTTGTCGCACGGTTTTTAATTTTTGAAAATGTTTGTATTCCTTTTCATAAGTTATTCGGGATTTAAATGGAAGTAGTTTGGATGTGGCGTTTGTCGCCTCAGCCTGAATATCTGTTGGTAATTTAGTTATTTCGTTTTGAGCCATTTCTGGCTCAAATTCAATCAGCAATCGACACGAAAGAGAATTAAAAAATATTGACTCTAAACTTACAACTAAAGAGACAGCTTTATTTATTTGTCATATTACATAGAAACCAACGCCAACCCAGCACAATATTTTTTCTATTCGTAATATATTCCTTGAAATAATAATTTCTGAATATTTTTTAAAACGAAATTCGCTATGGAAAAAAATATTGTTTTATACACAACGATAAAATTGCATTGAGACGATAATGCAACTGACCTAATCTAACGGAAATTAATTCACGAGCGATGAAATCGCTGGTCAAATAATCTTTGCGGTCGACGATAAAATACCATTTTATCGCCTTGTATAAAAATAATTATTATTCAAATGTTATTAAATTAGAAATATTGTCTGGTGGCTGTAGACCAATCAACAACTTGTATAATAATATTCGGCAACTATTCGGTATTCGGCCATGTTTCTTAATATTCGATATTCCGTCAAATATTGCACAATATTCAACCGAATACCGAATACAAAATTATGAAAAGAATATAATTCTAAAAAATATTCGAAAACATAAATAAAAATGACATAATAAATAGTTCATTATTGCTTCAGTTTATTGTTGAAGAAATAAGGAGTGTGAATCTCCTTATCAGTCTTTGGGATTGCAACACAATTCAAGAAGATGAATCTCTGGGAAGGTTAATATAATTTATATTATTTCTAATATGTTCTAATAATTTAATTTTTAATTAAAGCACAAAAGTGGATTTAGCAGACCTGGTTAACAACCAAAATAGAGATATGGTATGACAATTTTTATGAAGAACTACAATAAGTTTAATATTAGTATTTTTTAGTATCTCAATTTACGTGGTGTTAAACATGGGCATGTCCATATAAGGAGTACATGGTTAACTTTGAGCTCTACTCGAGACGATTTACAGCTGGTATGTACTGGAAGGTATTTTATTTAACAAGCATAAAATAAACGTAAATTTAGTTAGGTTATTATACAGAGAATTTAATGAGAAATACCAAATTATCTTTTACAAATTAATGTCCATTAAAACTTGTATACCGCTAATTAGCACAACAATAGTTCCCAAACAAATAGTATATTGTTTTATTGAATTTTCTGTCAATTGATGGATCTCGTATATCGAAATCCTCGAATCTTTTGAACTTGAATTATTATGAGTAGATTAACAGATCAAGCAGCTATGTCCTCATTGATAAATAAACGGTGATTTATTGCTTATTTATTTATCAAAAAAAAGTTAACTAAGTAACACCACACCTTAATATCTATACATGTACGCAGTTCTACTAATAAGCATTTATAATAAATACCCGGCGCCACTGTTAATTCTAGTTTAATGATTAATAATACAGAGTATGTTTTATTTGCAACGACGAATGGGATATAATTGGTATATTACGGTCCATGGCATCATAAAATACCGGAAATTATATCGCAAAAATGCGATAATCTCCAAAGATTAGAAGCGATAACCCCAAAGCTGTTTACAGCAACACTAGAAGAAATCTTCCGTCAACTAGACAGGACAACTGGACTAAAAAAGTATTAAAAATAGATGGAGAATATCTTAACTAGTGATGGGATAACTCGAACGAAAATTCGCTCGAGTACTCGATTATTGAAATGACCGACCTCGCTCGATTATGAACGAGCGATGCAAGTGACGAGTACCAAGCGACGAACGCAAGCGATCCTAGAATGAAATAAATTGAAATCCGATTTTAATGTGACCTACTCGATAAAAAACCGAGCGAATTTTCTACATACATTGCAGGTAGCAAATTTATACGACGCCGTATATACCGAGGTATATACCGGGTGCGTCTCAAAAGTGGCCTATTACTTTTTTATTTTTTTAGATAAAAAAAATGACATTTGGTATGTTAGTATATATCACATAAATTAGGATTTATTAGCGTATTCAATTGTTTTCTGTCACTTCCTGTTTCACCGGAAATGACTACAATTTTTGATTTTTAAATGACACCCTCGGTATTATTTTTTACTTTCTTCGATAGAAAATGACATGACGTATCATATGTCAACTTTTGACATATTCGCTTAAAAACAAATTGTATTTTAAATGTCAATCTACAGTGCCATGGCTGTGTTAAAAACACTAATTTTTAATCAAGGAGCATTGGAAAAATAGATTTGATCGTCTAATGTGTCTTGCCCTGGCCGGTTAAAAGATGCCCAAATCGTATTTTTGATCATATCTCAATTTTTTTCAAATGGAACGAGGGTGGATCATTAGAATATTTCGAAAAAGATTTTTTTTACGAATAATCTGATACCACACACTTGGTACTTCGAGTCAAATTGTCTTTATGAATCGCATGTTACAATTTCAAATAAACCATAGGCGAAAATGTCAAAAGTTGACATGTGATATGTCATTCTATTCAGAGTGTCATTTTCTACCGAATAAAGTAAAAAAATACCGAGGGTGCGATTTAAAAATCAAAAGTTGCAGTCATTTCCGGTGAAACCAAACCATAATTGGAAATTGTTTAATAAGCTGAAAATGATGATGATTATGATATCGGAAAAATACAACTTGTTTTTTTACAAATCGATGTTTTAGATTTCGGATAAGAGCTAAAACCATAATTGCAAACAAAAAGTCGTTAAGGTTTTCTTTTTAGTGGATGATTGGTTGGGGTTTTGAATTGGTACCACGTACTACATCTTCTCCGAACCTTAAACTCCAAAGCGAGAAATTATGGAGAAAAACAGTTTTAACTTTCCAAAAATAATTTAATACAATTTTGAGCTAGTGAAGTGGTACCATTCTAGATCTCCAAAAGATGCGTCGATTGATATAAAAATCGTTTTTAGCTTAACTTTTTTTCAAAATTAAAATAACTCGAAACGGGTATTTTCTTTAAGTTTTATATATGAAGCATATATGTAAATACAGTGCAACCTCTTTAGGCGCGATTCTCACTATAAAGGCCCCCACAGACGTCGTTCTTTTTCGGCAGGATTACTCGACGCGCAAAGCTGTTCGGGTAATCAAGAACTTGATGGCGCCCACATACTATTCAGTATTTTATTCAGACTTTCTTCAGTATTGCCGTGATTATGGATACAACAGTGGCGTTAGCAACGGTTTTAGCTATAAAAGCTAAATATGCTAAGAGAAAACGCTCTAAATGGGCAAAAAAGTGGCTTCTAAAAAGAAAACAGTTCTCTCACATTAATTTGTTGGAGGAATTGCGATTAACTCCTGACTTTATCGATGCTTTTACTTTTTTAAGTTCTTTTCTAAATGATCCTCGAATCGAGTCAATTCTCTTTTTTACCATGTCTATTGTTGCAGCTGAATCAATTTCTTTTAGTTTGGTTAAAATAACTTCATAAGCCTTTTTGTTCTTATCTCTGTCTGCGTATTCACTAGATTTAATTTTCCAAAGACACGGAAAATTTCTGTACGTTTCTATAAATTCACTTAAAAATTGTTTACTGCATTGCCTCAAATCATCCATTTTATAAAATACATAAATCACGTACAACACTGCCAATTTTTAGAAATATATATCGTGATTACCGGTACGCATACCACACACGGGCCGACTTGCACGATCACGTTCAAAACCGACGAGAAAAATCTGGTCAAAACAGATTATTTGGAACGCCGGCAATCACGACGGTTTTCAGCCACACACCGACCGGATTACCAGAACAGTTTTGCACGTCGAGTAATTCTGCCGAAAAAGAACGACGTCTGTGGGGCCCTTTACGTCATGTCAACGTCCATCTCCAATTTACTTCATGTTTTTTGTCGAGAGAGCGCGGCGGCTGTGATGGTACGTTACGTAACGGTTACGGTACGTTATAGTGAGAATCGCGCCTTAATCAGAACAGCTAATTGTAACGACCTATTTCTATTAAGGTGTGGTTTCAATACTTTTTAGATCAAGAATGAAATTCGACAACTTAAAGTTCCGTCCTTAAGTTCCGCTATTCTAACTGTGTTTGTGGACTCGGCCTCAAATATATATGTGGTAAGTTAACAAAACAATGAGAAAGGCACAGTGAAATAAAAAAATATCTACTAATTTTGTAGGATTCGGACTCCACAGAGAAGCTTTATACTTACGTTCAAATCGAAGTGGGAAAACAACAAAGAACGACAAAAACATTTAAGAAACAAATCGATCCCGTTTGGGAAGAGGGGTTCATATTTTTAGTCCCTAACCCTGAGGATGATTATGTAGTATATAAACTGTTTAATGAGAAAGAAGAAAAAATAATAGGTTTGTACACGAGATTATATATTATTGCTATTTTTTAGTATTTATGTTTTATTTTTTGTTAATTTGATATTTAATTTGTAGGTTCGGTAATTTATAGCATCGATACTTTGTTTCATGAAGACGACTTTACAGTTCACAAAAAGATTTTTAAGTTGTCCCAATGTGAAACTGATAGCGAAATATACATTTCTATGAATTTGAAGGTAAAGGGATTTATGTGAACTTTTGTTTCAAACATTTGTTATGCGTTTTAATATCATTTTGAAAACACATCTTGTTTAAGTCCACAAAATAACCTCCTTTAGAACTTTAACTTACATGTCGTGAAATGAAAGGAAAAGAAGAATGCCATTTTTATTTTCATAATTAAAACATCCAAAATCAAACATCAAATAAATATTCCCGTTCAAAATAAAACGAAATAAAAATATTGACAAATTTTAAATACAAATGAATATAATTTATCAGATAAAATTCAAATAAGCGACAAGTAGGGCCCCCTTCAATTGATACGTCAAAAATTAATACTTTAATGACTGAAAGATCATCTGGTGACTGTTCCCAAAGTTTAGCTTCTATTCCCAGTTATTGCCATTAAAGAAAATGTTCTAAAGGGGGATGTTTTGTGCTGAAGTCGATGTGTGGTCAAGTTTATTGCCAATAACTGTCACTGTCCAATGTCGGGCAAACTTTTGTAAATAATCAGCAATAATTGTTCTCTTATGAAAGATGTAGTACGAGAGCTAGCAACGTCGGCCAAACAAGTATTTTTAGAAAGCTGGCTCTTTAATATATTGTTTACTATGCTCTCTGGAACGGCATGTCTGGCTGCCGGTAAACATTGCATTCCCTACTGCGCATTGAAAGAAGATTCTATATTTTTATTAGTTCTTTAAATTCTAGTATTGAATATAAACCGACCAAGTCTCCATAGCTCCGCGCGTAGAGGTTTCGCCTTTCAAGCGAGGAGTCAGAGTTCGAGTGCAGGTCAGGGCAAACGCTTTTTTATTTTATTTTCGTTTATATTCTGGTAGCAAAGTATTAAATAATTCTGGTGATTCAAAAAAAAACAAATATTTAATACTTTACTATTAGAATATAAACGAAAATAAAATAAAAAAGTTTTTGCCCTGACCCAGTCTCGAACTCTGAATCCTCGGTTCGTAGTCGGAAACTCTACGCGCTGCTCTATTGAGACTTGTTCGATTTATATTCAATTCTTCTTATCACGCCTTCTCCTGCCGAAGGTTGACGATCCAAATGGCAATTGTGGCTCTGGAAACGGCAGCCCGGAAGATTTCCGCAGACGAGCATTCAAACCATCTCCTTAAATCTTTTAGCCATGAGTTCTGACGTCTTTCTACTGATCTTTTCCCTTTCACACTGTGCCCTCTATTGCGAGGCGCAGTATTTCGTATTTATCACCTCTCATCACATGACCCAAGTATTGCATTTTTCTTTGCATGATTTTATTCAGTATCTCTTTTTGTTGCTGCATGCGCTGGAGGGGTCAATCATGGGTAATCCTTTGTACCCATGAGATTCGCAGCATCCGTCTGTACACATACATTTCGAAAGCTTCTATTCTCTTTTCGTCTGTGAATCCAGTGTCCAGCTCTCGCACATCCATAGAGTAACACAGAGAAGATGTAGCATCTGGCCATTCGAGTTCTGAGTTCTGCACTGAGGTCTCGTCTTGTAAAAAATGATTTCATACGAAGATTTTTCTCACTTGCTCAATTCTTGAAAATATTTCTCTTTGCAGGTCGCACTGACTATTGATGTTAGCTCCTAAATTCAGCATATTCATGGTATACATTATATTCAATACTAGAATTTAACGGACTAAATAAAAAATATAGGTTCTTCTTCCGATGCGCAGTAGTGAACGCAACGGGTATCGGCAGCCAGACGGCCTGCACGCTGTTCCAGAGAGCATAGTAAAATATACATATATCAAAGAGCTAGCTTTCTTAAAATTAAAATGCTTTCTCGAAAACGTTGCTAGCTCTTAGACTAATGGATAATATTATAGTAATAACCTAGGTTACCTTAATTTCTAGATACTGAAAAATGAATCAACTAAAAATGAAGATGAGACTAATATAAAGATACCCAAACAACCAGCAGGTAAATTAATATTCTTAATTTTTAATCGCTATGGTATACAGGGTCCAATTTTTACTTTGTTATAAACGACAAATAATTTAAAATATATTGCTATTATTTTTTCGTATAAAGTATGAATTTAAGACAAGAGAGGTTAATTTTTACTATACATTTCTGTAAAGATGACAGCGCTTAATTCCATTGGTAAAGCTTCTTCACGTCACAACCAGGTCCATAACTGCTCTCACTGGTATAAAATAAAAATAGAGTAGTCCTGTCCTGTAGGTATTCGTCGTCTTCGAGCTTGGTTGTAAAACGGGCTACACATTATACGATTTGTCGTACTACGAGTTGCACAACACCAAATGGTTTCGACCGTTTGGATCAATGATTGAATAGTTAATGGCATTGTAGTACAACTTACAGTTAGACGGTCGTATCACACGGAAGTACAGCATGTAGAAAATCTGTCATATAACGCAATAGTAGATACGATAGATTGATAGTTTGTGTGCAAGCGCTTCTTGTTGAAACCAAATTTAAACATTTTTCGTGGTAAATTAATTACAATTCAGTTCATAAAAATAGAAAATGAAAAGTTTTGGTTAGATTTTATAGAAATATATTGTTCCCATACATGTTTGTCGGATATAAAAATTAACGAATACTTAAACAAACATAAAATTAGTGCAAGTTATTAGAATATGTTAGAAAAATTAAAAGAAATAAAAGCAAATGCTACTTTGGAATATTTAATTACAATATTTGGGAGGATTCTTCATCTTCGTCTAAAAAACGAGCACTATTGCCATGGCGAACAAAACAAAATCAACTGTGAAACTACTTACTCTACGACAGACATTAAACCAGTAGTGTAAGTTTGTGGACAACATTGCACCCGATCTGTCAAACGGTCGAATCAAATTTGTGTTGTACAACCTGCAGTACAATAAATCGTATAGTGTGTGGCCCGTTTTATACAAGTTGGTCTGTGGTTGTACTAATGTCTAGATAGTGTCTTATTTTACATTAATAATTCAATAAATAGTATATTATATATACTATTTATTACTATTATATATATATATATATATATATATATATATATATATATATATATATATATATATATATATATATATATATATATATATATATATATATATATATATATATATATATATATATATATATATATATATATATATATATATATATATATATATATATATTATTCAACGAGCATATAATGGTGGCTGTTATTCACGCGGATGAAGTTTATGTATATCATATTTATATATATCATAAATCATCCAAGTGAATAACAGCCATTATATACGAGTAAAATACTATACTTTATCCAGAACTATGAAAAAATTTAAGTTATAATAATATAAATTTTTATTTTTAATGTCAAAAAAATATTGAACGAGTATAACGAGTAGGTAACATGGAAACAAAACATTGAAATCTTCTTTAACTAGGTAGCATAACATAACTAACTAATTTAGCTTTAACTAATTAAAACGAAAATTATTTATTTACATTAATGTTAATGTTTGACAGCTCTTGTTTGGAGTTTGGATCGAGATATCCGTGGAAGCGGTGAATAATGAAACCATTATTCACTAGTGAATAATGAATATTATTATTATTTCATAAACTCATGTATAATAATCAAATTATAGACGAGTCGTGGATCTCTCTCTCTGTCTTTATTCCTACAAGAGGAATGTAGTGGTTAGGTGATATGTGAGGTTTGTCTCCATAATTCCCTGTCTTGTGCTTCATGTACAAGCCTGTGCAGTGGCTTGTGGGTGATCTTGTGGATGATTATCGACAGGCAAAACAACAACAAACCTGATGTTGTGAGCATTGGTCGTTTTGAGGTTGTAAGTCAATATATATATATATATATATATATATATATATATATATATATATATATATATATATATATATATATATATATATATATATATATATATATATATATATATATATATATATATCTTGGGTCACTTATAAACAACACGGGATCGTTAGAAGGGGAAATAAGAAGAAGATGTGAAATGACAAGCGTGGCAGTGAACTCTCAAAGATATGGCGAGACAAAAACATATCTAAACACTTAAAAAAAAAGGCTTGTTCACTGCCTAATATTTCCTATATTAATATATGGCCTGAACGATGAGACAGTCAGAAATGAAAAAAATTGACGCAACTGAGATGTACTGTTGGCGACGAATGCTCAGAATTCCCTGCTCTGCCCGTCGAACCAATCCATAATCCAAGAACTGAACATCACAGAACGCCTCTCAACTTCTATACAGTCACGTATACTTAAATATTTCGGTCACGTTATGAGGAGGGATACTGACTGTATGGAAAAACTCATTATACAGGGCAAGGTTCCGGGAAGAAGACCAAGAGGCCGCTCGCCCTCCCGATGGATAGACCAGCTATCAAAGAGTCGTGGATAAAATATTTTAAATAACTCCTTTTTTAGATAATTTCCTTGTAACATTTAAAAAACTCATTCTGTAGTTTTTTTTTAAACCAATGGCTAAAACGAATGTCATCTTTATAGTGCACGCATACTAGTTCGTATTGTTTTCTCTCAAATACTTACTATTTCATAATAATTCTTTTAGGAAAGCCAAAAAATGACAGTTCGACGGCTAACCACTTAACGGAACACTCGAGCTTATCTAGCTCATCATCGTCTTCAAGCAACAGTAGCGACAGTGACAGCGTAAAGTAAGATAATATTTTTTTTAACATAATATAATTTTAATATCAGAGGTACTACCTAATAAATACCAGGCTCGTTCTTACTATTTAACTGCATCTTACTATTTAACTGCACAGACCGCAGATTTGGTCGGAACTGTACTAGACTATACACTGACGAAATTATCTTTTATAAAATCTGAATGTGAAAAGATCGCTATCGATTTAACATCTGAACTGCGCGATTTGGCATGCAGATTAAATCGTTGCGTGTAGGGCCCCTTTAAGTCTAAAAGGCACCCTACACACAACGATTTGATGGACTTAGTGGGTAATAACATCAGGAGCAGACTGCGGGGGAGAACCTAACCAAACGCTAAACACTTATAGCGTCTGGAAAATTATATTGGAGATTCTACTTAATTTACTCTAATTGTCTAATTTTTATTATTTATATGGACTGATAAAAGAATCTGTATTTTAATAACAATTTCCAAGTAAATTACTGTGGAAAACACCTTGAAAAACACCGTATCTTTATGATACTGTTTACTTTTAATTGTTTATAAGAATATTGTAAACACGCGTATCTGCATTGTAGAATTTATAAACAAGTTGAAATATATTTAAACAAATACCTATGTAATCGATAAAATTAAATTATTTTTGCGAATTAATTAAGATTAATATCACAATAATTTTATTATCAATAAAAAATAATTGTTTTAGCTTTGATAGCTATGAACTCGACGATTTGGACTAATATTAAAAAGATCCAAAAATTTTTAGGCGTAATAAGGCGACAAGCACAAAAAGCCGCAGTGTTTTCAGTATAATCCCCCTTCCTTCCGTTATAGACTGTGGAAGGGTATACACCCATGTTTAGGGGGGACAGGGTATTTCCCATCCTCCTCTGAAAACAGATGTTCCTCCTCCGAGGGTATACCCCCTCACGGTTGGGGTTGCCTCCGGTTGAGGTCGCCTGTGAAGTGATCTGTCTCTATTTTCTCCACCTCTTTAACTTGGTCTCTCCTTAGACCTGATACCGGTGTTGTCCCGAATTTATAATAGAGGATATATCCCTCTTTCTCTATTGCCTCCTTGTATTTGAGGTCAATTCCTATTGCCCTATTCCTGACCATGATCCTCCTCCCTCGAATTGATGACTCGCCAACTCGATGTCTTTGCATTGGAGTTGGATAAGGCTCAGCAAGTAGGCGGTGTCTTTCCCCTTGCTTCTCGGCAGAAAGACCGTGATTCGGCTCTTTTGGGATGTTTTCTCCCTTCACTGCAACCAGTCCCGACCCTGCCAGTTCTTAAGCTTAGGTGCCGTTTCCGCCAAACAATCCGCCGATTCTTGAGATACACAATATAAGCAGCATGCTCGCCCGAAAGTGTATCCCCGCAAAACGCAGCTGACCCACATGTTGCGGACCGTTGCGTTAAGGTAAACGCGCATTTGTTCGCACCAGACGCAACGGACGCATCCATCGAATCGCAATATATTTTAGTGCAATCCTCGAAGCGGGCTAGTACGAAACTTCTGTTTTTCACGTTCGCTTCCTAAATTTAAAACGAGTAGTAGTTCTGATGAAGAATTATTTGCAATTGCATGTGCATTTGAAGAGGAAGAGCAAAGGAACAAGAAAAAAACCGAATTTGGGGCCATAATGTAAATATGAAGAGGAAATTCTATAGAGAGATTTCATACCTTCCTTGATGACTTGATAAGAGATGAAGCAAAATGTTTCCAATAGTTTTGGATGACCTATATGAAAAATTTAGAGGCGACAATCAAATTCTGCAAGTCGATTCCTGTTTACATCGCGCATTTCATCGAATTTACGAATGACGTCATCCGCACGCATCGTTTGCGGATTTGCACAAATTTAATTCTTTTCTAATAATTAGATATTCTGAACATATAATTAGATATTCTTAATAATTATTATTCTGAACGGATTTCCGTGTCTACGATGCGTCCGATACGTATGTATGTGCGTTATCTCATTTAAAATAAGGCAAATAATTTTCGTCCGTTCCGTGTGTCCGATACGTCCGTCCGATGCGAATAAATGCGCGCTTACCTTTAAGGTACGCGCACACTGATCAGGGTACCTATTCTTGACCACTCGTATCTTCAAATATCGCTCGCATCTCCGAAAACTCCATATAACAATACACGTGATGCGTATACGCAAAGTTGCGAACGATGTCAAGTATAGGTACCCAGAGCCGCACTCGCCGCACGCGCCGCATCACCCGAAGAAAAATATTGTTTGTGTTACTTTCAATGACGGTGCGCACATTAGCCAGAGCTGCACGAATCGCATCGACGAAAATGCGACTAGCATTGTTGGGCCTTTTCGGTCAATGCGGCTAGTGCTGCTGACGTCACACGCAAATCCTTCTACTCTACGCGGGTAGCCTAATCGAACTACCCAAAGAGGGATTAGAAATTCAATATTATGCTAAGAAAGTTCGCAAATTTTTTTGGCTCATTTTGAAATATTGAAATGTATGAATATGTTTAGTTCGTCCTCAATTAAATATGATAATAATGTGTGGAATTCCCCTCCCAAAGGTAAAATTTTTGCAAATATTGTGATTTAATGGCCATAACTTTCAATTTTTTCTCGTAATTTCTTCTTCTATTAGCAAGGAGTTCAAATTATATATTGTCATTCATTGTCGAGAAATATTAAAAAAATAACACGCTTATCACTGCAGAAAGGACTCTGGAAGCGACTGATGACAAATTCGATTGGCAAATACGGATATAGTAGGGGCAAAAAGAAACAAAAGAGCGAATAATGCGGTGAGTGCGGCGCGTTGGGTACGGGTCAGTGTGCGCGGCTAGAAGAAATGTGCGATTCGTGCGGCTCGTGCGGCGCTGGTCAGTGTGCGCGTACCTTTACAATTCACTCGCTACTACTTCATCCTGTATCGCCTCTTCTAACTCCTGACTAGGAGCTTCCCCACCAACAAGGTCTTGCATCTCCTAGGAGAAGAAACCTTCATTTGACCTGTAAATGACAGTCTTATATGACAAAAAAAACATAACTAAAACCCTACCTAAAGGGAAATTAAAACAACTTTCGTTGCACGTCATCAATGACACCATGGTGCCTTATGGGGTCTTATGGAGTTTGCTTATGGTCATATTTCGTATTATGATGTGCAACCTAAGTTATTCTAATTTCCCTACAGCCAGGTCCCAGGCCAGATCACAATTTTTTGGTATGGCTTGATATATATTTGGACTCTGTTAGATCTTAGATATTTCCATTTGATTTGTACTGTCAGTGGCGGATACAGAGGGGGGCCCATGGGGCCCGGCCCCTCCCTAAAATCTGGAAATTGTGTAAAATATTAGGTTTTTGGGTAAAAATGGTACCCTAAAAAGCATATTCTAGATTACTTTTTATTTTGGCCCCCCCCTAAAATAAATTTCTGTATCCGCCCCTGTGTACTGTTATGTACTCTAGTTGTTAAGTCGTTCTCAATACAACGTATTAATTTTATATTATTGTAAAATTATATATTTATACATATTTACCCAAATAATGTAACTGTTATTATTGACAATTAATTTCTTATCAACGACATATCCTATTTCAAAATAGAAAGATTTAATGGGTAATAATCCAAATAAAAATCCTTATAAAATTGTGTCTAATATTAAGAGATAAAAAAATAATCTATATCTTCAGCACACCGTACTGAAGTATATCTAAATTAAGACAAGCATGTGTATATCCTTCGCGGTAATCGGTTATCACATCTTTAGATAAAAAAAAGCTATTGAAAATATTTTGTAGGTATATTATCATGAAACAATAGAGAACTTATTTTTTATTTAAGTTGAAGTTGTGTTTCCCAGTGTTTCAAGTATGGAGATCATAGGAGGGTAAAGATAGAAATTTAGTGCTTTGAAATTTAAGTTTGAGTTGGGTTCAGTGCAGATGCTCGTAGAGTTCAAGTGAACTTAGTTCAGTTTTCAGTTCAGTTTCAATGTGTTTTGTTTGTAAAAGAGTTTTAAATTAAAGCTTATTAAAAGCGTTATTTTTATAAAGCAGGAATCAGATTTGTAAAACGTGTCTATATTTTTGTTGATTTTAACACGGTATATTAATATTTTAAGTCATAAAACAATTTAAGTTAATTCTTGTTAGTAGGTAATTAAAAACTTTACAAGTGAAATACTCCATTAATAAGATTAAAGTCCGTCACACTGAAAATGTGATTTAATTAATAAAATTAAATTTTTGTATTAATAACATTTACCAAAAAATATTCTCGTTACATTTGAATGAAATCTTGTCAAAAAAATATAAATTTTATTAATATTATATAAAAAAAATTGGCGCCGGGAGGCACGTATAGCCGGCCATACTAAAATATGTTAATATCTCGAAAACTGCGACTTAGACTGATTTTGATGTTATTACAAATTTTGTTGCAAATATTATTCGTAATCTTAATTTGAAAACCGCGTTTCGCTAGCTACTGTAATTTTGGAGTTGCGATTTTTTTAAATTTTTAACCCCCTCCTATACCCCCTTACCAATCCCCCACCCCCACCAAAAACTAATGGCCAGATTGTCGGGTGCCACAGTATTTTTGTGCCAAATTTGGTTAAAATCGGTTCAGCGGTTTTTGAGTTATCGTGTTACAGACGGACAGACAGACAGACAGACACCACGAAAATATTTTGTATTTAGGTCATATATGACCCAAATAACTCATTTTGAGTGAAATTAAAAAAAAAACTTTTTTTTGCCGATCCTAATAAATTTTCAACAAATGACTAAAACATGAAACTAACTACTTTAACATTTAGTGGATTAACCAATTTTATATTAAAATTTTAAGACTAAATGTTATAGTAAATTTGTCTAGTTTTCGACTGTAGCGTCAAAGTTTTCAATGCAAGTCGTATAATTACTAGTAATTACTACTCCTTCCGTGTAAATAGGTCAAATAAAACAGTGGACTAATTCTTAATAATTTAAAATGAACACATCCATAATTTATTATTTTACTCTATTTACTACAAAACTGATAGTCAATAAAAATTAATTTTAGTTCATAGCTATAAATAATTAATGATACTTTGAGAGCTGTATAAAAATTTAGATAAAATTATTTTTTATTGGACTCACATGTCACGACGTCCATATTATATTTTTTATAAAAACTATGTTCCCTATTATATTATTTACGTGATAAATTGGTTTAATCGTTTCTTTAATTTAATTTAATTTGAATTAGAAAGAAAACAAATTAACTGTAACTAATTTAGTAAATAATTATTAAATGGAAAAATCCTAAATATAAATTAATATACTTAGATAATCATTGTTTTTATCATGAATTTCCAATATTGAGGTTTCATTTATATTTTTTTATGAAAAAAAAAACTTAAAAGAGATATGTATTGGAGATGAGAAAAACTGCGATTCTCCAATCGCAATTAAGACTGCGATTGCGATTTTTAAATCACTGCGACTGTAACCTGCGATTGCGATTTTAATATTTACTAAACTAAATTATTTGTAAAAAAATGCTTTTTCTAAATATGCCAATGAGCCACATTCGTTCCATTTGAAAAAACTGAGATATGATTAAAAATACGATTTAGGCATCATTTAACTGGCCAGGACAAATCAAATCTATTTTTCCAAGGCTCCTTGATTAAAAATTAGTATTTTTAACACAGCCATTGCACTCTAGAATCAAATTTAAAATACAACTTTTTTTTAAGCGAGAATGTCAAAAGTTGACATATGATATGTCATTATATTCAGAGTGTCATTTTCTATCGAATAAAGTAAAAAAATACCGAGGGTGTCATTTAAAAATCAAAAGTTGTAGTCATTTCCGGTGAAACAGGAAGGATTAAAAACAATTGAATATGTCAATCAATCCTAATTTATGTCATATACAACATACAAAATCTCGTTTTTTTTATCAGAAAAAATTGGCACCGGGAGGCACGTATAGCCGCCCATACTAAAATATGATAATAAAAAGTTGGTAGGCAGTTCTTTTAGTTTCAAAGTAAAGGAATTTTTCCAATTTTTTATCTCAAAAACTGCGACTTTGCCTGATTTTGATGTTATTACAAATTTTGTTGCAAATATTCCTAATCTTAAATTGAAAACCGCGTTTTGCTAGCTACTGTAATTTTGGAGTTACGATTTTTTAAAAATTTTAACCCCCTCCCATACCCCCTTACCAAGCCCCCACCCCCACCAAAAACTAATAGCCAGATTCTCGGGTGCCACAGTATTTTTGTGCCAAATTTGGTTAAAATCGGTTTAGCGGTTTTTGAGTTATCGTGTTACAGACAGACGGGCAGACAGACAGACACCATGAAAATATTTTGTATTTAGGTCATTTGTGACCCAAATAACTCATTTTGAGTGAAATTAAAAAAAAATTGCCGATCTTAATAGCCTATACCTGTTGGTATGGTCGACTAGAAATAAAGAAGTTTTAGGGTTAGTTGAACCACTCTTGAGAAGTACCCGGTGTATTATGATCGTGGCCCTAGAAAATACCTTGTCTATAAATAAATAATGTCAGAGAGAAAATTTTATTTTTTTTTAATTGAGAAGTTTACTATAAAAAATGCTTCATTAGACCACAAAATTACATTCGCAACAATATGGCAAATCTAAAAAATCAAACTCAAAGACAGAAATCACGGTCCCAGTATACAAAATCACAATCGCAAATAGCAACAAGAGTAATACTGGTTGCCTAAATGGAAACTCGCAAATAGAAGAAATCGCAATCACAGGTTGCCATTGCGATTTAAAAATCGCTGATATTGAATCTCAATTTACGATTTCTTGCTCATCTCTAATGTATATGTTGGAGGCAGATGCCGAATTCGGCCTATGTCCGAAATAATTAGACATATGGCGATATTATAATTAAATATACCTACCTATATCCACAAAGTTACGCGGAAGAGTTTTGATTGCATTGGTTTCAACTTCTATGCGGAGGGCGTTAATCTTTTGTTGTTATATTATAGCAAAAAAATTAACCCCCTCCGCAAAGAAGTTATATAAAGACTATTTATAACAACGAAGTTGCACGCATCTGGCAAGTTTAGTATGGACAAATCGCCATATGTCTAATTATTTCGGACATAGGCCAAATTCGGCATCTGCCTCCAACATATAAATATATAGTGTGATAGCGGATTTAGTTATTTATTTTTTTTTATTACTTATATCCTCTATAACTATTCCATGTAAATGATCATAAGTCAACTGGTTGTAATAACTACAATAACACTACTAGCGATACTTAACATAAGCCATACATTGTGTAAAATAATTAAAACACCAGTTTTCCAACAAATATAAGAACTTAGGCTAGGTGCTGACATGCAATTTTGAGTCGACCGATTAGTTAGTGGCAAAAGTTAAAAAAATATATTCTTATGGAGCCGATCGCTCGACTATTTGATTATGCGTATATGTGCGCAACTTCATTAAGAATTCTGCAACTAAATAGTCGGCTGTCTCAAAAATGAATTCTATGCAAAATAGCCTATCAGCGCCTAGCCTTGAGATACAAAAAATCTAAGATCTTTTAACTATGCACTATATAAATTTAATTTTATTTAAAAACATTTATTAAAGAAAATATACTATTTAAGAATATATAATTATCTAAGCTGTGAAAACTATGCATATCTAATCACTGACTTATCTATTTTCTATATTAGATAAGTTGGCAATTATCGGCATTAAGAGATTAACTATTTTACAGTTGCCTAGTGGGTAAAGCCTATTATTGTTATTTGTTTCTTAAATAATTAAAATCTTACAGAACAAAAAAGATATACATATTTATATTATAGTACGAGAGCTAGCAACGTTGGAAAAACAAGTATTTTAAGACTCTTGGCTCTTTGATATATCTTTTACTATGCTCTCTAGAACAGCATGCGGCTACCGTCTGGCTGCCGGTAAACGTTGCGTTCACTACTGCGCATCGGAAGAAGACCCTATATTTCTATTAGTCCTTTAAATTCTAGTACTGAATATAAATCGAACATATCTCCATAGCGCAGTGCGTAGAGTTTCCGACCACGAACCGATGATTCAGAGTTCGAATCCGGGTCAGGGCAAAGACTTTTTTATTTTATTTTCGTTTATATTCTGATAGTAAAGTATTAAATAATTCTGGTAATTAAAAAAAAACAAATATTTAATACTTTACTATCAGAATATTATTATCTGATAGTCAAGCAGCGTTAAAGGCGATCAACTCAGTATCAATCAATTCGAAATTGGTCAAAGAATGCATAGAGAAGCTGAATAAATTAGGCAAAGAAAACAAAGTCCTCCTACACTGGGTGCCTGCTCACCAAGGGATAGAAGGCAATGAAAAAGCAAATAATCTAGCTAGGAAAGGAGCGAACACTCCACTAACTGGACCAGAACCGTTCTGCTTTCCAAGTGGTAACCAACTCAAGGCGGAACTCAAGAACTTGGAAGATTCCATCCGCAACCTGGAATGGAAATCTTGCAATGGTCTAGGACACTCGAAGAAGTTTCTGAGGGCTTATGATCAAGAAAAAATCACAGATCTTCCTGGGTCTGAGTAAGAACAATCTTCGGATTGTCACGGGGTTTTAACAGGACACTGTCTCCTCAATGAACACCTCAGTAGATTGAAACTAAGAAGAAACGGCGAATGCAGATTCTGTGGGAAGATGGTGAAACACCAGTACACCTCATCACTGAGTGCGCCGAGACGACAACCATTCGTGCCATGAATTTTGGTACGACTGATATTGGAGATGGAGAACTACCCTCTATAAAACCGTCCCAGATACTGGCTTTTGTCAAAGCCCTGGGACTGTATGATGAGTTATGATTCAAGAAAGGGGGACACAATGGATCTGTAAGGTCGAAGTGATTAACCCCCCTCCCACTCATTCTAAATTCTAAAAAAAAAAATCAGAATATAAACGAAAATAAAATAAAAAAGTCTTTGCCCTGACCCGGATTCAAACTCTGAATAATCAGTTCGTGGTCGGAAACTCTACGCACTGCGCTATGGAGACACGTTCGATTTATATTCAATACTAGAATTTATAGGACTAAATTAATAAAAAAAATATAGGATTTTCTTCCGATGCGCAGTAGTGAACGCAACGGGTATGGGCAGCCAGACTGGGCCGCATGCTGTTCCAGAAAGCATAGTAAAAGACATATCAAAGAGCCAGACGTCTTAAAATACTTTCTCGAAAACGGTTCTAGCTCTTAGACTATTATATTAAAATTATAATATTGAAATATATTTTTATAAAAGCGGACTCTGACGACTCGTGTACTTTTTTACGCAAGTATTTTTATAGGCATACAGGGTCCGGCGAAAATGCTCCTATAATAAATAACTTAAGAATTGTGTATAGATGCCTGAAGCATCCTGTATACCCTGTACACCAACTACAAATGTTTGTCAAGTACACGAGTCGTGAGAATCCGCCTTAAGAGAGAATACAAGTAATTAAAAAAAAACTGTTTTTTAGGTCTGATATTCTATCACCAGCAAAAATAAAATTAACCCTTAGATACAGTGTCCAGAGACAAAGACTTATAGTGGTTGTGCACCATGTAGAGTAAGTATAACAATTCCAATTTGTAATTGTTCTTCTAAGTATTGCTAAAATATATAAAAAAAAGTTTGAAATTAAAATAAATATAATAACAAACTTAGTTATACTTATAGGATTTTTAATTCTGGGAACTTTGGAATAGTTATTTGTATTTCGTCTGAATGAAAGCATTACATTATTGTTAAACACTGTATTGCTAAAATTCGATGGCAGAATATTTATAACATTTTTGGTTAAATCTGTAGACAAAAGTTTAGATTTATAATGTCAAAATGTAAAATGATGTTATCTTATATGTCATAAATATATTTGATAGTTTTTCTAATCTTCATATAAAATTTAATATTCTTATAATAAATATTACTAATTATTATTTTACTTTAATTAATTTCTTAAAATAAATATTACTAATCATAATCTATGTAATAAATATACTAGGTATACATATTTCATATTATTTTTAAATTTATATTTCTAACTGAATTTTTTGTATATATTTACAGAGACTTGCGTTTTGATGAAACCAAAGGAATATACGTAAAACTGTATTTATTACCGGAAAGACACAAAGACACAAAACGTAGAACAGAAGTAAGTAAAATATACTCTCCGGCACAAAATTCAGCCACCCTAAAAATTTGACTAAGTTTGATGTTTCATAACTTTTTATTTTGTAATCCAATTTTTATGACTATGGTATCAGTGTGAAGATAAATTTATTCGCATTATTTTTTATTACTTTAATGGCTTATATTTTTCGGTTAGGTGGGTTTCTATCGGGGTAAATCAAAACGGTGTTTTTTGCAATAAATTCAAAACACCCTGTGGAAACAATGAAACGGGAATTTTGGATAAAAATATTTTCCTGTAATCTTAGATGTATTCCTAACATTATATTTTTTTAATTATTCCATTATCTCTATTATTTTATGAACTATACATTTTTAAGTAAAGTATCGATTTCAGAGACTCTTTTATTGACAAAATTATTTTATAATAACTTTAATAGCGTGTATGCCCACCTCTCGCAGCAATAAGAGCTCTAGGTCTTCGTCGTATCGAATAAATAAGGGTAATTATTCTTTCTTGATCTAAAACTTGATGAATATCAAGCTATAGATCAAGAAAGACTTTTATAAGATCTAAGGCTAGCATTATCGGAGGAATCTCTGTTAATGCTAGCTCATAGCTCAAGCTCTTGTAAAGTTTGTGGTGGAATAGGACGATAACGAACAGTTCAGTACATCGCACAAGTGTTCAATTGGATTGAGGTCGGGACTACAAGAAGGCTATTCCAATCTTCGTAGTCCAACCTTATCCAGGTACTCGTTCACTACTCGTACACCTAAGCTCGTGGTTACATTGGATGCGTATCCGTGCGTTTTTTTGGTCGTCCGTGCTCGGACGTGCACGCAGCAAAAAACAAACAAATGATATCTACGCAGGTGGTTACATTGCATCGGAGTTTGCGCGTCCGTGCATGTACGTCAATTTCCGTTAGTCGGATGAAAACAAACTGGTTTGTTTTTTTAATACGTGCACTTCCGAACATTCGAATTTTTATATCTCTGGGCCCAATACATTCCCGAAAAATTTAAATATTTTTGAATACCAGGTTTATTTTTATTTAGGATATAATTAATGTTGCTGGAAACATTCTAAAATATTCAAAAAATTTGACCGGTTGCTGTTTTAATTCACCAAATATTTTAGATATTCATTTTCTTCCCCTTTTCTTGCATATAAATCATTTACCAATATTTTCTTCTGTTCATAAGTAGTTATTTTAACATTAAATCTTCAGACAGCATCAAAGTAGTGGCGTCCGTTTTGACAAACTCGACACACAGGATACCATGAACGCGCATCTATAACCACTAAAATAAAATAGTCGTGCGAGTAAATTCCGTCAGAGCTCGCACGTTTAAAAAAATGTACGGACCCGCGACCAATGTAACAGCGGGCTAACTCGTTGCCCCGCGCAACGTGGGGCCTGGCATTATCATGCATCAGTATAAACTGATTTCCAATGAAAAGAGCAAATGGAACGACAACTTCTTGAAGGATATTCTCAATATAACGGTGAGCATTGAGAGGTGCATTTTCAAGAAATTCAAGATTGTAAAAATATCAGTACTTTATTTAAAAATGTATAGCTTATAAAAGAATAGAGATAATAGGATAATTCAAAAAATTAAATTTTAGGAATACATCTCAGATTACAGGAAAGTGTTTTTTGTTCAAAATGCCGTCCCATTTTTACCATAGAGTCTTTTGAATTTCTTGCAAAAAACGAAGTTTTGATTTACCCCGGTATAAAACCCACCTAACCGAAATATATAAGCCGCTAAAATAATAAAAAATAATGTCAACAAATTTATCTACAAATTAATACCAATATCATAAAAATCCCTCGGTATTTTTTTACTTTATTCGATAGAAAATGACACTCTAAATAGAATGGTATACTTTTGACATTTTCGCTTAAAAAATCTTATTTTAAGTTTCAATCTAGAGTGTCATGGCTGTGTTAAAAACACTAACTTGTAATCAAGATGCCTTGGAAAAATAGATTTGATCGTCTATTGTTTTTCGTGTCTTTTCCTGCCTAGTTAAAAGATGCCTACATCGTATTTTTAACCATATCTCAATTTTTTCAAATGGAACGAGGGTGGCTCGCAATGGTATATTTAAAAAATAGCATTTTTTGCGAATAATTTGATACCACACACTTGGTATTTCGAGTCAAATTTGTCTTTTTCTAACGACTAAAGTGATAAAAATACCGAGGGTGTTATTAAAAAATCAAAAGTTGTAGTTATTTATGGTGAAACAGGATTGAATACGTCAATAAGTCCTGGTTTATATCATATACTAACCTCCAAATCAGTTTTTTTATCTGGAAAAAAATAATAAAAAAGTTATAAGGGTAAAATTCTTAAAAAATCGAAAAAACAATTCTTTTAGATTTTTTAAGAATTGGATAAAGAATTAGACAATTGAGAACCGTAGAAAGAGTACGTATGTGTAGTTGCAGCATATATAAAATTTTAATACCTATCATGTGTTGCCAGATGTTAAAAAAAAACTTAAAAACTAAGCAACTGATTATTATTAACTCTTTTGAACTATTAAGCTATCAATACATACACAGACAATTGGGAAATTAAAACAACTTTCGTTGGACGTCATCAATGATACCATGCGTCGTCTTATGGAGTTTGCGGGTGGTCGTATTATGATGTGCAACCAAATGTGCAACCAAAGTTATTTTAATTTCCCATTTAAAAATATTAAAATCGCAATCGCAGGTTACAGTCGCTGCGATTTAAGAATCGCAATCGCAGTTTCAATTGCGATTGGAGAATCGCAGTTTTGCTCATCTCTATTATTTAATGTTATCACTGTGATTTCAGATTATGATCTAAACAATCTCAAATACTATTCTTTATTAGTAAAATAATAAGGCAAACTGTGTTTTTTTAAATAAATTCAACGCATTTTACTCAAAATACAAATTTTGAAAGATCTCACGTGAGATTAGGGGTTGAGACAAATAATCACATCTCATCAGGGGGGCATGGGGGGTCTAAAAATCCTTAAAAACATCTCACGTAATTAACATACACCTCCTAATATGTAATTTTAATTATAGGTAATTCGGACAGGCAAAGATCCAATTTTTGATGAGAGTTTTGAATTTTTCATTCCCCAAGAAGAATTAGGAAAACAACACTTAGAAGTATCGGTGTGCGAAGAGAAAATGCTAAAAAATGAGACTATCGAAAAAGTACGTTTCGATAACTATTTTCTTATAATTTTTCTGAATAATATTATTTTAGGTGGTCATCGATTTGGATAAGTTGAGCCTGGTACTGCCCCACACGAGGCTGTTCAGATTGTACCACAAATCACACGAAAGCTAAAAAATTTTATATATTAAAATTAATATTTATGTATGCTTTTCTCGACAAAATGTTCTATGAACATAAGTTAACAAGGACATTTTTGACAAATATACGCTCACTCTAATATAAAATATTTTGTATTTTATGTGTTGCTTTTTGGCATAAAACTATATTTTGTATTAACTCTTTATAAAGGAATAGAATATTTGATTAAATAACAATGTTTTTTATTTGGTAAATACAACAGATGAAACGGATATCCGGTAACTATCCGGTATCCGGACTAAATTTATTATCCGGCCGGATACCCTAACTCAATATCCGGCCGGATACCGGATATTCAAAAAGTAACATAAATATCAAGGAATAATGTACTTACAGTTTAAACTGCTTTTATTTAAAGTTAAAAATAATAAAAACTTCAAAAAACTAAAGATGTTCATTATTCACTTTAATGAAAAATACAAAAATGAAAACTTCATATAGTGACATAAATAACTAATAATAAATGAAAAAAACTTAAAAAAATACATTGATTTGTATTTACTTATATACTATTATATACTTATATATATTTTTTTTTCCTTTCTTGGGTATGATTCTTTTTTATTAATTGAAAATAGAAACTTTTTTTTTTAATTATGCGACGTTCATCATGGTGGGCTTTCTCAGGCACTTTATTCTTGAAGCCGCAGCCGCCTTGCTACCACCAGTCTATATAGAAGAATGTAAGTGAATTATATTTATTATCTATATTATTATTATATTCACTTACATTCTTCTATATAGACTGGTGGTAGCAAGGCGGCTGCGGCTTCAAGAATAAAGTGCCTGAGAAAGCCCACCATGATGAGGCGAAACGTCGCATAATTAAAAAAAAAAGTTTTCATTTTCAATTTTTTCAATTAATAAAAAAAAACCTCATACCCAAGAAAGGAAAAAAATATATATGGATATAATTCTAAAGGTTTAAGAAAAAAAAAATAAACTCTATTATATACTGGTATTTACTAAATACCATAGTATCGAAAAAAAGACGGCATTAAAGACGGCTGGGGAATGTAAATCAATGATAATTTTGGCGAGGTCAATATCGAGACTAAAAATTGACATAAAACATGTCAAAAATTAACACTAATGATAGAAAGATTGAAAAGGGATAGATTTCTCGATTGTGGTATAGTGCACCAAGAATCTTATGAGATAAGACATTGCACATGTAGCTGGCGGAACTTAACAGAAAATTACTATTCAGGTAGAAAACGAATGACGTTCCAAGAGTTCATCATGAGGGTAGCCTAACAAGGATAATTTCCATTTATTTTAAAACTAAGAAACTTGAGAAACCGTCGCTGGACACCTTCGATGTTATTTATATGTGTCTGGTAACATGGTGACCATATAACAGATGCGTACTCCAGTTTAGACCTAACAAATGTAAAATATGATAGCTTAAGTGCGTCAGGGCTGGAAAATTCTTTTGCGTTTCTAATAATAAAGCCCAGGGCTCTAAAAGACCGCTGTACAATCTCCGATATGTGTGGTACAAAAGACAGACTGCAATCATGTACTCAATCATGTACTCAAAAACACAACTCGGATTTTTTCATTATATAATAAATATTTATGCAAAATTGGGTTTTGTTTTCAGCTGTAAGAAACGACACAGCATTTTTCAATATTTAAGGGGAGTTTGTTATCTGTACACCAGTCCGCGATTATTTCCAGCGATTCCTGAAGCATACGACAATCATCAAGAGAGCTCACCCGTGAATAAATCTTCATGTCATCCCCATACAATAAAATGTTGACATTCGAATGCTCAACAACACCATTCATAAAAATGTTGAATAAAAGAGGATCCAAAATTGACCCCTGGGGAACCCCAGAGGTAGAATTCACTTCAAAAGACATTTGACCACAGCATTCCACAATTAATTTCCTGTCACTCAAATACGATTTAAAAAAAATTAATAAATTGAGGGAAAACCCCAAAGTTTCTAAATGGGAAATCAAAACGCTGTGATCCAGCTTGTCAAATGCCTTTGAGAAATCGGTATACAGACTATCGGTATACAAACTACAGATGCCCGACGCACTATTGCTGGACCCTGTAGAATCAAGGTTATTACATTGTTGGTGATAAATTAAATATTAGTATTGTGAACATTTTATTCCACCCGACTCTAGTTCGACATATACTCAACGAATTGTGATCCTAAACCGACCAATCAAATGTAAAGTTTCAGGCATCCGCGTCCGCTTCTCGCAAAAAACAAAAATTTTGTTTTTTATGCCGGATTCTCACGACTGGCGTACTTGACAAACATTTGTTATTGGAATATACTTGCCATGTCGTGAGAACGGGTTCCTTGGTCACTTGTCGCGTCCCCACTCTCTGTAGGTAAATATAGCCCGAGTCAAACGATTAATCGTACACTTGCCAAGTATACTTGGCCAGCCTGGGCCAGCCTTGTTTACACTTGCCGAGGCGCATAAAACGACTGCGCAAATAATGTTTCTGTTATAGCGTATGTCCGATTTATTTCCGGTCGTAGTGTTTTTCGAGTTAATTGTGGATAATTTAAAACGTTAAAACAATAATAGATTATGTAATATCAAATTTACATTAATAACTTCAATATTCGTTTTCACAGCAATAAATGGACTGGACAAATAAAGACTACACGGGAAAAACCAGATATGTCACATTTTCATAGAAATTAAGATACAACTTATAGACAAATGTTAACGTCATTCGAAAAAAGAAAGCAATAATACGCTTAGTCCCAGAGATATTACAGCTTGGTTATTTTGCCGTACAAAAGAAAAACCACAGTAGTCTACGCGTAAATGGCAAAAACCAGAGATGTACTTACGCATGGGCGACAAGCATGCATCTTGCAATTAGTATTATATTATTAAAAACAAGGGATATTACAGAAAATAAACGTCGAAAATCAAAAACACAAACAAATTTATTCCGCTCGAAACTTGCCGAAGCTTACAATAAACAACAATAATCTCGACTGACCGAAAAACATAGATGAATCAACAAATCTCTCAAAAACATCATCTGACACGATCGATAGAAAAATATTATCCTTATGTAACAATCTTAAAGGTATACACATAGGTAATTAATTTATGTACGTATATACGGAATATTTTTTTCGTTATCAATATGGTTATAAATTTATGTATTGTAATAAAAACCTACTTAAATATAAATTTTCAACCAAAAAAATAATAGTTTATATTTAGGTTTTATACAACCTTTAATTAATTGAACATCTCTGGTTTTCTCCTGTTTTGTTTTGCATTTTGTCTATTGTTTTTTAGATTATCTATTTAGATTTTTATTTCAATATTTCAGAATATGGCGATAATTCGCAATATTAATAATTCAGAATTGGTACTAATATAAATATTTTTCTAATTATTCAACCGAAAATAACATATTTCTTTAAAAACACTAAATTGCATTTTTCTCGGCTCCAATTAAAATGGACAAAACTGGGTTTTCCTTCAAATGATGTTGTTTTGGAATTTATGGATTTATACGAAAATGAGCCCTTCATATGGATGGCCAAAGATAAAGAACCGAAAAATCGTATTGCAATGTACAGTAAAAGAACTTAAAAAGAAAAAAGAATCACTAGCAACGACAATTTCGGGACGACCAGTATCCCTCGATGCGACTATACTGTTTACTTGGCAAGGATTGTAGGGGTACTTGGCAAATACGCAAATATTGGCGTACTTGCCAAGTACACTTGCCAATGTAGTACAAAGTGGGGACTAGTGGGGATACTTGCCAAGTACGCAAATATTGGCGTACTTGTCAAGTACGCCAGTCGTGAGAATCCGCCTTTAGGAAGCATCGCGCTGAACATCTAGGTGCGTGGCGAGGTGCGACGCTCCAGTATGTTTTGACGCATAAATTTGTACATGTTTGATTCAGCATCGCCGGATGGCGAGGCGAATGGCGCGCATCGCATCGAGATGAAATGCCCCGCACTATGTTTGTACGATAGTCGCGATGCATCCTACGCCCACTTACTCGCCGCGGCCGTTTTAAAACAGTGCGCGTAGGATGCATCGCGCGGCTAGCATCCTGGCGAGCAGCGCGGCCAGCATCTTGGCGAGCATCGCATCGAGATGCCTTACTATGTTTGCGCCCTAAGAGTCGATCAAGCATACATCAAGGTGTATAGGCCGCTTTAGATCTCGACTTATTACATAATATATCTAACTCACCCAGAAGGACAAAACATTTTTAGTCACAACGCGTCCTGTATATCTGCTGCCGTGCATATTTGGTAGTACATAAAACATGGCTTCTGTTCAAAACACAATGCTTTTATAAAAGACAAAAACGTTTTTGCCCGAGACAAAAACTTTTTTGAAAACAGTTTTGCTCTTTTTGTGTGCGTCCAGCTTAAAGATTTTAATAAAACATAATAATACGTAGTAGGTATTAGTAGGTAGGCACTGTAGGCCGATTTCCAGTCAAATGATCGTAGGCACAATCGTAGGTCGAGTGGTGCGACAAGCGAAGATGACAAGCTGGTAGCGAATAAGCTGTGGAATTAATTCAATATTCTTTCAGGGTGCAGCCACACTATCCTAAAAACGGCGTATCGGCGTAACGGCGTAATGACCTTGAATAGATTTCCATTAATTCTATTGGCTGAAACATTCATCTGTCAGAAATTTTATCTGTCAAATTCATCTGTCAAAAATTTCAGCCAATAGAATTACTGGAAATCTATTCAAGGTCATTACGCCGTTACGCCGATACGCCGTTTTTAGGATAGTGTGGCTGCACCCTCAATGTTTTGCTATTCGCCAGTTGATAAATTGGTATTATGTCTAGATGTTTGTAATAACATTTGATTGTCATTAATATCAATTAATTACTCATCCATTAATATAAGATTTCGTTATTAAGTAAATATGTACCCACCTCCCACCTTACCCACCTATTTCACAGCGCCTTCGGTATTTACCGTTGGAATTTATTATCGACCTTGTTGGACCGGTGCAGATCAGAATATATCCGTTTCTGTCTTTTTCACTGCGTGAGTAGTAATTTTTCTCACTCAAGAATACGGCGTGGTTATAAACATCTGTTATGTCACGTTTATTTTGATTCGTATTACCGCGGCGCCGGATGGTATTGTATTTTGCGACTAGTTCATGGTATAAAATGCTGCATTTTGCGCTGTAGAAACTATAAAAAAAATATTTCTAAATTAACTATTGTGACAGTGTTAATATTTACATTAAAGAACACTTGGTTAGTGATTTAGTGATACACAGTTTTGTTTGGAAAAATAATATAGGTCAGTATTGTTTTGAATGTTGAATGTTCTTTAACTTGATTTTTCACAGTGTTATTCATGGGCGCTGGCCCAGGGTGCAGTTTTTGCATCCCCTTGTCGGAATAGAAAATACCAAAAATGATTAAGAAAATTATTTTTGAAGATATTATTTTAAATAAAAATTCAAGGCGTCTGTTGTACAATTTGTTTACAAGTTCATCGATAAATTTAATGTCCTTTAATCTTTACCTGCGAACTCTGACCGCGACATTATTTTTTATGTATTAACATAAACACAGAACACGACACATTTCCACTAATTTATACCGGGTGCGTCTCAAAAGTGGCTCACCCAGTATGCATTAATTTAGATGAGCAGGTACTTATTTCTTTAAAAAAAATGTTCTTGTAGGTATATACAGGATAACCCAGTGTTCCGGAAAAGCTTCAAACTATAGGTTTTCTATTTTGATATTTTCACTCATTTTTTTTTTGTAAAATATGCGGGAAACACTAGCGCGCATTTTATTTATATTTTAGGATTTTTTTTTAAATTTCGGAACTTTTTATTTATTCTATTTAAATAACCATAAATTTTCCTGGAAAATATTATGATAAAACTGTTTCTGTTACACCTTTAGCAAGGAAAAAATACTGATTTTATTTCAGTTTCATAACTATCTAGTAAACATGTTTAATTTTTGTCAATAACGAGAAAGGAAATTGCAGCTCATATACGTAATAACTTGTCTAAATGGTGTCTCACTTCTGGCCTTTTCTTCTCTCCTTCCAAATCGTCATCTGTGCACTTTTGTAGTAAACGCAACTGCCCGAGGCTACATAACTCTCTCTTTCTTTCTCTCTCTCTCAAACCTGTCCATTGCATCAAAATTTTCTGTCAAACTGACTTCATTTTGACTAGAGAGTCTCATGGAACGAACACATAACCAATATAAAAACAGACTGCAGTAAAACCATCAACATCATTAAATGGCTATCCCACTCAAAATTTAGCTGCTCCCAGTCCGCGTACTCTTTCACCTTTACATCACTTTGATAAGATCTAAACTGGTCTACGGATCCATAGTCTATTTATCTAGTCCAAAATCATATCTTGCTAAACTTGACGTAATTCAAAATAACTGTCTTTCTCATTTCTTTCTCATTTCTGGAGCATTCCGTACTAGTCCTATTACTAGTTTGCACAGTTTATTGGGTATAATGCCTCTTAAACACCATCGGCTCAATTTGCTTTTTCAATACGCCATGTCACTTAAATTCAAACTATTTATCCCAACGTATAGTTCCTTTTTTCGACCACTTCATTCTCCAAACATTATACGAGTACTAGATTCAAAATCTGATAGTCCAGGGCAAATTTTTTTCCAAATTTTGCAAACATCACAACATCACTATTCCTGAATGCATGCCACTTCGAAATGTCACCACTCCTCCCTGGAAATTAATTACTCCATCAATGAATAATACACTCATCAAATTAGACAAAAAGCACCCCTCTATCTTTAATCAAAGCGTCATTTTACGCTATTATTCAAGATCTATCTCCAGATAATGTAATGTTTGTTCCAACCGGACGAGAGAACCGTCCTAGAACGGTAATTTCCTATCAGTCAATTCATTTGTTAATCTTGACAAACGATCAAACTTTTCAAACACTAAACTAAATGGGCGACTAGAAATTACCGTACCAGGATCGGTTCTCGGTCCGGTTGGAACGAACCTATAATATACACGGATGGTTCCAAATTTTCCCAGGCTGCAGGATGCGCTGCCGAACTTTTTGCTATTAACGAATCACTAAGAATAATCTCCAATAACCTACCGCCTTCCAAATGGGTGATATGTTCAGAGTCACTAAATGCCTATGCCTGAACGAATTGTCACCAAAACATCCTCTAGCCATTAATCGCTCGACTTGTATCACTCCTCAATATCTAAAGGTTCAACTGTGGATCTAGTAGATAGTAGATTCCTAGCCTAGATGGGCATAAGAGATAACGAAGATGCTGATAAGATTGCTAAGACTGCGGTGAATGATGGAGATTTTATACCACTTGCATTTTCTATCTCTGAACTTAAATTTCTACATATGTCTACAATAAAAAGTGGTATTCAAGCAGAGTGGGAAGCAACAGGAGATTCAAATAAACTATATAAATGTAAACCTCAATTCTTCCAAGCTTCTGTAGCTCGGTTATTATCAAGAAATGAAGAAGTCATTTGGAATCGGCTCAGATTGGACCCCCCGCCTAACTGCTCTCTTTGTGGCAACCAATTAACAGTGCACCACCTCCTAATAGAATGTCCCTTCTTCATTAACTTAAGACAATAATTTGGTCTGAATCGCGATCTGGTTTCCGTACTTGATGCTAATAATCTACAGTCTTTGTTCCAATTTATTAGGGCATCTAGTTTGGGCTCATTAATATAATATTTTTTCTACAAACGTCAGTAAAAATGTAATTTTTAACGCATGCTGTCAGTGCCTGAAATGTGACATTATGTCACTGATGGTAAAAGTCATTTACTTTTAGCACTGGTGCTAAAAGTAAGTCACGTGGTTTACTTTTAACACTTAAGCGAATTAATTACACTAGCAACTATAATCTTCCTAATTAATTTGATTTTAGAATGACTTAGAATTTGCTTAGAATTTTAGAAATAGTGTATGATATGTGTGCTAAAAGTGATTTTATTTTGTTTGAAGGGATGGGACACTCCGCTTTCGGCGTCGGCGTCGCCGCGTCGTGTCCCAAGCTTCCCTTTTCGCAAAATAAAATACCACTTTTAGCACTTATATCATAAATAACTATTAATTTAACTTTAATTTGATCAATGCCGCTAAATGGCCCAACAGCTGATGCGGCTTATACAAAATCCTTCCTTATTCTTCAATAATGACATAATATATTGATTATTTCGTTTTCAAATATCCTGAGAACCAAATTACTCGTAGCGCTTTTTACCAATAGAACTTTTTTATGTAAAAAACGGCAAAAAAAAATATTTTTTCCCTCACTAGTTTAATAGCGGTACAAACGAAAAGTTATTACTCTTTAAAACAGTTCAGAATCATGTAGTTGGCGTCCTCTACATGCAGGAGTCATAGTGACATCGAAATCAAATTTCTTATATTAACAAACACCCAGACACCAATTTTCATTCAAATATCGACCTTAGTTCAGAAATTTAGAAAAAATAGAAATAAAAATGAAACTTTAATCTGTATCTCCGAAAGTAAGAATTTCATAACATTATACGATTTTTTTACTTATTTTTATCTGCAGAATAATATGCTACCGAAGTATTCCAATTACAATTAGAACCACCCTGTATTTTTAGACCAATTCATAATTTTACCAGTTTTTTTTTCAATCATATTGTATTGTAATGCTATTATCGACGTTATATTTAGAAATGGAGGGAGGGAAAATAGATGCGGCGCCGGAAAATGAACCGGCGCTGACGCCGACGCCAAGTGACTCCGAGGATGTTGACGATGAGGACAAGAGCCAGTCAGAGACGTCGCTTAAAGCTGGCGAAACAACGGATTTAGCGGATGAAGCTAAAGCTAGAGATAACGCGCGAAACGGTACTGTGAAAAAAGAAAACATGAAAATGAAAATTGCAGTAATTTTGTTCAAAAGGGTAAGTTATTATGTTTCTACTTATTAATATGTTTCTTGTTCTCTTTAAATTAAATAATTTAAAGAAACAGAAAGATACGCTATTGTATACAGTAATACAGTATGTCCCCGGATTGTCTTTACAAGAGGAAAAAAAAATTATTAAGCTTCATTCAGAATCTTCATTCTTCTCGCAATTAGTGGAATAAATTAGTGGTTTCAATTACACTTTATGCTTTTTAATTTACGATCATTCATAATGTCTAAAAAACACAATTAAAATTAATAGAATATCCTAGCAACAGCTTGCGGTAATCAGTTGTATCCATAGAGAAAGCCTAATATTTTATCTTATATAACAGTAAACTTTTGGTTTCTAACAACACTTTTTCTTGACAAAAATCAAACACACTTTCTCTTGACAAAAATCAAAGGCCAAAATGACATTCCTTGCTAATTTTGAAGTATAATTAGTGGAAAAGTTAAAAGTTTGTTAAATTTTTCCACTTTTTTTGAAAATCCCTACCACTAATTTTAACGTTCTGAATGCTTACATTCAAATTAGAGAAACAAACTTCTACGCTAGTTGAAACCACTAATTTATTCCACTAATTGGCAAAGTTCTGAATGAAGCTTAACACTTTATACTTTTTAGTTTACGATCATTCACAATGTTGAGAATGTCTAAAAACACAATTAAAATTAATAAAATATCCTAGAAACAGCTTGCGGTAGTCAGTTGTATCCTTAGATGTTGTATCCATAGAGAAAGCGTAATATTTAGCTTATAAAACAATAAACTTTTGATTTCTAACCACAATTTTTCTTAACGGTTGATAGCCAAAGGCCAAAATGACATTCCTCGCAACTTTTGAAGTATAATTAGTGGAAAAGTTAAAAGTTTGTTAACTTTTTCCACTAATTGAAGATTACTACCATTAATTTTGACGTTGTGAATGCTTACATTGATATTAGAGGAACAAACTTCCACGCTAATTGAAACCATTGATCTCGCCATTGATTTATTCCACTAATTTTGAGGTTCTGAATGAAGCTTTAACATTTTGAGAAAACAGTGGCGGCTCGTGATTCGTAGAATACATTAAAATACGCAACCAACCGTCCAATCAGATGTAAAAGGTACGTACCCTATCGTTGGGTATTGTGCAATCACATGATGTTTTTGTCGTATGACGGTTAAATCTTTGGTTAGAGTTTTTGTTGTTGTTTTACCTTTTTTACCGAAGAGTTTTTACCTGTTTTTACATCATATTTTTCTATTTACATCAGATTTATATTTTGTAATTGCCTATCAGACAATACGTATTTAGAAAAATAATAAGAATTAGAATCGTGTTTTTTTTTTAATTCTGGATATTAATTGGAACCCTAGTAACATTACTGCTTTTGATATAAAAAGTGCATTTTTGATTATTTACTTGGGTTAGGATATGTATGTACTTATAAAGCTTACTAACTGTTTTGCATTTTCAGTTTTTGATCAGACTTTTGATTTTATTTGTGAAATGCCCACAAAAAAGCTTCCAATGATTCAACCTCAGTGTGTTTGTTGCATAATGGGTCATTCCTGCTGAATTTTTAGATCATTTGAAGACTACACAGGAAAAACCAGATATGTTACATTTTCATAGAAATTGATAGCGACACAACTTTATAGGCAAGGGTTAGCATTATTCGAGGCACCATCAAAGAAAGCAATAATAATACGCTTAGTCTAGGAGATATTACAGCTTAGTTATTTTGCCCTACAGGAGAAAAATCAGAGTAGTCCACTCGTAATTGCATTTTCTCGGCTCCAGTTAAAATAAAACAAAGCTGGTTTTTCCTGTGGTCTTCATTTGCAATAACATAAATAAATGTTTATACATATGTATGTGATGACTAAATTGGTGTTAAGGAAATAAAAGTTTTTCGATATTAATATATACCTATATATATTTATTTTGAAATAAATTACACTTTTAACAGTTTAATGGACTTTTTAAAGCCAGTTGTAATATTTATAATTTAAAAACTTGAAATCATGTGAATGTAATCACGCATTAAACCACAGAGTAGATTTTAGTGTTAACTTTATATAACTTGTAAGTAAAATAATAAATAAAACAAATATAAAATAACCAACAATTCTAATGTATATATTAAAATACAGTACAATAATAGACCCTCACTTAACATAGAATAATATTCTACCCAACTCAGTACTACGTCCAACATGAGTTTCAAATATATTGGGCTCTAATCGTTCCTGAAAATAGTATTTTTTACATTGTTATACCATATTCTAAACTATTTAATATTTAAGTCACTTAAAAAGTTAATTTGTATTGAATAATTGTCTACCATTAAAGCAAATTTGGACTAGTATTCTTGATGGGCATATTCTGTGTATGGAAAAAGGTACCCCCAGATTTTGCGTTCAACCAATTTATTCTCTAAACCTGAAACATCTACGTTTAAAAAATAGACAGGTCACTAATTATAATAAAATTTACCCTTAGAATTACTTCTATTACAAGCAATTTCCATTGGTATACTTTTCCATGACAAGTAATCAACTTCCTAACATTTTTTAATTGATGTAATACTTCCTCATGATGCGAAAAGAAAATCTTTTCGTTAGCACACAAAGAACAAACGATATGTTGGCTTACTTTCAGATTAGTTACTTTTCCATAGATATCCTCATGTCAATTCAAAGACGATGAACATGAAAATGATCATCACATGAAACATCACAAACTAAAAACCTAATAAACAAGTTTATATCGAATATAGAAATAAATTTAGTGTTCTTACCTATTATCGTCCAAATCCACGTTAATAGATAATTAATGTTTGGATTTTTATCTTTTATTTTTAAATATATTTTTCGAACTGCTGGTTTTAGTAATTATTAAATTAAATGAACTAAAAAGTCAAAAATAATAAATAATAAACAATCCTCAATTCTCTTGTCAATTTTCTCCAGGTACCGAACATCATCGATACCGCACGATCTACGACGATTACTTCTTTGATCTGATTGGACGGTTCAAGGACGGTTGGTTGCGTATTTTAATGTATCCTGTGATTCGTGTGACTGGGTAGGCAACAAAATTTTAGTTGCGTCTATTGCCCCCCCTCCTAAATTTACATAATACCCTAATCCAGTTCGTAAATATATGTTATATCTGGGTTAAAAACATAGCTCAAGAAAATTTAGGGCAAAACTAAAGCAGAAGTGACAGCATTCAACGTAATGATATAATGATTGACATAATGTACAAGTATATGTTTGTTTATCTATTCCTATGGAGTTACTATGGAGTACATCATGGGAGTACATCATCATAGAATTTAATTTGATTTATTTACACAAACTTAAAAAAATGGTAGTATTGGGAAAAAGAATAATTATGTTTTATATATTAAATTGATGAGTCGGTCTCTTGATAAAGAAAAGTTATTTAATATTATATCAGTAAAATCATCAGATTGTTGAAGAGCTGTGAAAAGATCTTTTTAGATTGAAAGTAAGGCAAGTGGAGATAAAAGTTTAGTTTTCATGGAATCTCTACTATAAATTTTAATGCATTTCAAACATGAAAATTCTCTCTTAACCCAAGTACTTGTAAATAGTGTAGTGATAATCAAAACCAACAATTTGAAAGCCTCTGGAAATATATTTCCAGGATTATTCTCCTTAAATTAGTTTATAATCGAAATTGTCATATCTATTATTAATACCTGCAATTTATTCATTAATTTATGTTGGTCAATAACATTTTATGTTTGTTAAATCAATATTAAATGCGTTAGAAATGTTTTATAGGATTATTTAAATTTCGGAGATTTATTAGGATAAATAAAAATAATTGAGACATACGAGTGCCTATCTGCAAACCTTATTTCTAATGTATAACAATGTTATCTAATATTTCATAAAATAGGTAACATTTATTAACATATCGAATTAATTAGCGCACTGAGACTTTTCTGTAATATCTATTGTATCATCTTCATGCACCGAATAACGCGCTCTTTTATTTCGGATTCTTTTATTTCTGTGGCGTGTTCTGAAAAACAACCGGTTATATCATTTTGAATAACGTTTCCAATTTGTTTTAAATGTTTTTTGAATTTTCATATAAAAGTTTTAAATCCTATGTATAATGAATCATATGAAATATCCCCTTAACAAAATATGATATATCCCCTTATAAAATATCGGTAATATCCCCTTAACTTCTAAGCCTACCGAGCCTCCACGACTTCATGCGAAGGCGACCGAAAATTTCGCCTAAGCCACGCCTTAATACGATACAACTCCGACTTACGTCGCGTCGCTACCGATGAGTTAGATAGAGACAGAAGACTGCCTTACGTCGTGCATCGACTCTGATAGTAGGCGATGTAGAAATCGCCGAACTATGGCGTTTGTTCCAACGGTCAAAATTATTTTATTAGTTTTCTAACGCAGCGGACCCCAGCGGTACCGAATATTTTAATATACAAGACCACAAATATTAAGATAACATTGATTATTATAACACACTTCCGTGAATTAACAGTATTTTTATGTATTGGCAACATCAATAGTAAATAATGTAATTGTAACAAACCTCTTAAATTCTGCCAAAATTTTAGGGTAGGTGCCGCCTACCTTGCCTACCCTGACGAGCCGCCACTGTAAGAAAAATGCATTCTTCATAAAAATTTTTGCTTGTTCTAAAATGGTTAATTCCGTTTATACTTTTCCAAATTTCTATACCGCTTTAGAAAAAAATACAAAAAACAAGTCCTAAAAATTGAAAAGCATTTCTATCGTAATACAATTTCGATTTTATTCTTTGATAGATGATTATTAATTATTTTGATTGACGTCATATTTTTTGCTGTTGTTAAAGTGTCACATTTTCCAATAACTATTATTACCAGGATTATTACCCTTTTCGTAGCATTGAACTGAATAAATTTTGTGCTTTTTTAACATTTTAAAACAGCAACAAATATAACATTAATTAAAATTCTAACCTAACCTAACAATCTATCAAAGAATGAAATCGAAATTGTATTACCATAGTAACGCCTTTTAATTTTTAGAAATATTCAAGCTTATATATCTTTTCATGTTTTTTGTAATTTTCCTCAAAACGGGATAGAAATTTGAAAAAGTATAAGCGGAATTAACTATTTTAGAATAAGCAAATTATTTTTGAAGAATGCATTTTTCTAAAAATGGTAATAATAAAAAAGTTTTTTTTTCATCTTGTAAAGACAATCTGGGGACATAGTGTGGATTGAACTAAAAAGTGAAAAATAATTATTAATAATTACTATTAAGACGTTGTTCATCAGCAACAGAAACTCGACTAACTCAATAAAATAAAATAAGGGTTTAAAATAAAGCCATGTTAAAAACAAAACAAAAAATACGAAAAGCGTTAGGTGCTCGATTTTGTTATAGCTATTATTTCATTAGTAACGATTTCTAAAACTTGGAGTTCGTATGAAAATACCGTATGGTCGAATAAAAACGGATCATATGACAGCAATCTTCGTTTCATAGCCATCGCTGACGCCGTTTTTTTATCATACTGTGTATAACAAAGCACCCATAATCGGAAATGAAGATTTAAAGAGGATTGTATCCAAAACATTAATAATATATATATACAGGATTTCCCAGTATTCTTTAGACATAAAATAAGTTAATTGAATAATATTTATTTCTATACAGGGTGTCCCAGAAATAAGTGCAATTATTTTAAGGGGTGGTAGATTTGGTCAAAAGAAACATTTTTTCTCTTTACCCTTTTCAAAATAAGTCCAAAATAACCGAATTATTTTACTGTGAAAATTTAAACAAAAAATGCTTTTTTGCTTAAATTTTGAGAACCACTGTATTTTTTCTGGATTTTCTATCATGTAAATTTAATCTACTACCTATGTTGCCATATTATCATGAATTTATGTTTTTTAACTTAAAACTAAAAAAGTTTCCAAAATTTTTTTCAAAAAATTCCAAAATTTAAAAAAAAAATTCACAAATAAACCTCATAGGCGTGTTTCTGAGGCCGGAATATACTATCTGTTAAAATACTTACACTTATTTCTGGGACACCCTGTATAAAACTGCTTTGTCAGTTAAATGTCATCAAATTTTAAATTTTATGATAAAATATTTCAAGGATCCAAAGATTCATTCCGATTTGAAAGAGGTTTGGGGTATCTACGAATTGCTAAGCGTTTTAACATTTGATTTTCATAAGAAAACACTGGGTACTAAAGGGTGAAAACTACCCTCACCCCTACATAAATTCGTTCTAACAGACATCTTTTGCAACGACTGATTAGATTTCCTAGTATATACTCCATTGCTTGTCCCTTATAAAAACTCCACCTCACATAGTTTTGAGAAATAAAATGTTTCTCAGAAGCTCACCTAAGTACAAATAATATCTCTTGTCACATCAAGCATTAAAATCTAGAAGGCGATATTAGTCTAGGCGAAAATGTGGAATGTTATGTCAATGTCACAAAATTATTTTTGACAATAAGCTTCATACATTTTCAATTAACTTTTATTTTATGCATTGGCGTTACTACAGGGGTGCCGGGCCCCCTCCAGGTACTGCTGGGCACCCCCCAGAGAAATCTTGAATTATGACTCTTGGTTACGTATTAATTTTATTTGCTTGTGATGTAGTAAAAATGACGTTTTCTAGTTTTGTTTAGTTAATAGTTAATATTATTTTGTTGTGTTCAAAAAATGTGTTGATTTTTATTTTTTTAGAAAATTTGTAGGTATTTAAGTAATCTATGGGAACACGGTTTGATAACCAAGTCTATGAAATTTATTGAGAGAGACATTCATGTAAACGTTTTATTCAAAAAAGGTGTTTTTTAAATTATTCTTCATTTTTGAAAAAAAAACCCCCCCCCCCCCCCTGGGCTCAGCTCCAGGCCCCCCACCAGGATGAATTGCTAGTTACGCTAATGATTTTGTGATAGATGCTATCTAACGGACAAATGAGGCACTTTTGTACAGAGATAAATTATTGACTTTTTTTGATTCCAAAAATACGTAGTAATTCTATGCCCACAGAATATTAGGACGCTCTGTAGTTAACTATCCAAGCACTGATATCCAGAGCATAATCTATCTTTAATCTTATAATCTTATTTATCATAATTTAAATTTACAGTATGTCCCCGTATTGTTTTTACAAGAGGATATTTTTTTTTATTATTGACTTTTTGAGAAAAATGCATTCTTTAGAAAATTAAAAAACATGAAAATATGAATTTTCATTAAAATTAAAGTGCGTTTCTATGGTAATATAATTTCCATGTCATTCTTTGGTAGATGGTTTTTATTAATTTTGATTAACGTCATATTTTTTGCTCTTATTAAATTATCACATTTTCCATTAACTATTTTCGCCCTTTTCGTAGCATTGAACTAAATAAATTTTGTGCTTCTTTAACATTTTAAAACAGCAAAAAATATGACGCTAATTAAAATTCTATCAATAACAAATGTATCAAATAATGAAAACAAAATTATATTTCCATTACTTATATTAGGTACCATGGAAACGCGTTTTGATTTTTAGGACTTTAGGAAAAAATTCAACTAATATTTTCATAGTTCCGCGAAAACGGTATGGAAATTTGGATAGTATAAACGGGATTAACCATTTCAGAACAAGCAAATTTTTTTATAAAGAACGTATTTTTTTCAAAATGTCAATAATAAATTTAGGGACATACTGTAGATTTTTAGTTTCTTAAAAAATCTAGCCATTGTAAATAAGTCTACAATTAAATGTGCAATTTTAAAATTATTAACAATTTCGTATTATAGGCAAAATTAAGAAAATATAGCTATATAATTAATATATCTAATTATAGATCAATTTTTCCTTATAATTACATTGTAGTAACAAAAACACTCGCAAAACAGTACCTTAAATAGGTATATCTATAACCTTTAATTAACTGAAAATATATAGATATTTGTAGTTTTAAATCTCATTTTTTACTATCGAAAAAAAAGCATTTATGAAATTTTGTAAATAAGTAAGTAAATAAAATAACTTCAAAATAAATATTTATTATTCCTTAATATTCTGTGGAAAAAAATGCATTTATAAAATTTTGAAAAAAATAACTTAAAAAACAATCTAAAAAATGTTCCAAGACAAAAATATTAGTGATTCATAAAAAAAACATATGTACGATTTTCTTTTTGAATACTTTGACAAATATATATTTTTATCTAATTTTAACTCAGCTAAAAAAAATATTTATATTCGCACGTTGTAATTTTACTCTGTCCACTTTTTCAGATTAAAGTGAAAATAACTCATTATAATTTTCCGAAATATATTTTGTTTAAGAGATTTTTGGATAAATAAAACAGTTCGAAGAACAGGTTATATACATATTTAATCCCTGGCAATTTTTTTGTTTTATTTTTAGATCTCCCTCCTGCTATTGGGTTACTTAGTATGCTACATTAATCTCTCGTTAATCTTACCTATCATAGCAGTATGTTCTTTGGTTTGGTATGAAAATATCAAATCGGAGAAAGGAGAAAGGATACGTAAAAAAATTGTAACCAGTACAATGACAAAGGATGAAATTCAAGATATTGTTAAGGATTTGCCATCTTGGGTAAGAAGCTTAGATCCTATTTTTTTAAATAAGGTAAAAGAAATAATGAATTAAACAGCTATTTTCAACAATTGCAGTGTGGCGAAAACTCATGTAAAACACACAAACGAGAAACTCTCTAAAACACACAAAAATGGGACATCTACAGGGTGGGCCAAATTGGACGCTTTCAAGGGGAAACATCCTTTTCTATAGGAGATAGACGAAAACTAATATGTGTCTGGAGCACAATTTTTATCAAAAATGTGATGGTGAAAACCGCACATCGATATCTATTACCGTTTCGGAGTTATGGGGTGTTTTTCTAAAATGTGTATTTTCTTTAAAAATCTCTGTAACTTTTTTGCTATGGAAAATTTTGTTTGAAAATTTTATGAAAACATTTCCAAATCACCTTTTTACGTAGAATTTAATGGTTTGGTTTGGAATTTTTTTTTTAATTTTTTTTAAGAATTATCAACAGAAAATTTGATTTTTTTATATAGGACACCCTGTATATTTTTAATTAGCTGAAAAGAACTTAAAATTATCTTTCCAAAAATATAGCACACTTGATATTTTGTTACAGTCCCCTACACATTACAGAATTTTTAAAAGTTCGCCACTTTTAACTAGTAGGTTTTGGACCCCTTATTGATGATCTGCCCCTAATGGAACTCGAAAACGTATTTTTCCAGAAAGACGAGGCGCCGCCGCCGCTCGCCGCCTCAGACCGCTGAAGTTATCAGTAAATCTTTGCAACCAATTTCGAGAAAAATTAATTGAATAACTAACCAAGATCCCAGCCGTTGGCCGTCGAGGCCTCCGAGGCGGCCGGACTTGGTGCCTATAGATTTTTATCTTTGCGGAAGAATCAAGTTTCTTATATTAAATTGCCCGTATAATCTAGACTAGAATTAGAAGTATTTAGCGGTTATGCGAGGGTATACAGAGCACCCCTACTGAGTTAATGAATTCCGCGAGAAATGTTCAAAGACGGCCCTGTCTGTCCATAACAGAAGACGGTCGACATGTCGAACACTTGTCGAACACTGTCGTGTTATTAGATATAGTTGAAATGTGTTGATGTTGTTAAATGTCGTTTAAATTGTTATACAATTCTGCAACTCTCATTGCAAATATTGTTTTCGTTTTAAATGCTGCTCAAAGCTAGAATTTTTTTGCTTTACAGCCGGCACCATTCAAAGCCTACTTATTCAAAGTGGGCGAATTTTTAAAAACTCTATAATATCTCGAAGAGGAATCGAGCAAAATATGAAGTATGCTATATTTTTAGAAATGTAATTTTAAATTATTTTCAATGAACTAAAAATATACTATATTTTTAATAGATAAAAAAAAGTTACAGCGATTTGTTAAAAATGCACATTTTTGAAAAACACCCCGTAACGAAACGGTAACAGATATCGATGTGCGGTTTTCACCATCATGTTTTTGATAAAAATTGAACTCCAGACATCGATATTAGTTTTCGTCTATCTCCTACAGAAAACGATGTTTCCCTTTAAAAGCGTCCAATTTGGCCCACCCTGTACAATTGCTAAACATCAGCAGATTATTAGAACTGAACGATTCTGAGTTTTTTGGTTAACAAAAAAATTGGTTAACAAAGTGCGCCAAAAATACAAAAGTAATGTTTTGTTTTGTTGTATAGTATTTCCGAAGTTAATTGAAAATAATAGGACTCTTAATTTGTTTGTCCAGGTCTATGATACCGAAATTAAGAGTACTAACCTATTTCAATTGACTTCGAAAAAACTATAACATCAGATGTTCCAGGTTCCACTGTTGACTTATATAACAAACCCAAAAAAACTCTTTAAAATAGAATCGCCTCCGGAATTCGTTTGCAATCGAATTTCATTTACATCCTGTATATTATTTAATCATGAGTAACTAAATGGTCGTGTTGTTAATTAACTGACTAGATTTATTGATTTGCAGCTAAATTTTCCTGACAGAGAAAAGGCTGAATGGTTAAATGAGGTAATAGATACTAATTGATAGCCATCATAATTTTCCAGAAAATTTACAATTTCATTCTAATTTGTTTTCTCCAGATCATTGCACAACTTTGGCCAAGCTTGAATTGCTACATAATAAAATACTGTAGAGGGAAAATTCAAACTAACATAAGAAAAAAGTTTGAATCGTTCAGATTTGAAGAACTGGACTTCGGAAATCAAGTAGGTTTTAATTTTACCCTTTTTTATTATAAGATATTGAATAATAGAGATAATTTTAGCCACCGAAAATAGATGGAGTTAAAGTTTACAGTAATGCTGTTTCGAAGGATTCAGTTATCATTGACTTCGAGGTCTAGTAAGTAGTAGTAACATATTTTAGGTAACTAACATTTTAGGTACCCTAAAAAATAAGGATGGTTGGCATTTTATATGTGAAATTATATACTGAATGTCACAGTTATTTCGGCGTCAAAGACGGCTGAGGAATGACAATCGATGATAATTTTGGCGAGGTCAAACCCTAGGCGTCATGCATTTACTTGGCCTGCATTCTTCTTTATTATTTTACGCGCTTACTGCCATTTGGCCTTAAGAACGTTGTAATTTATTTTATATTGACATAAAATGATTTTTAAATGATAAAACAGACTTTTGTGTGTCTGAAACCTTCTATCCTTTTTAAATCTTCCTATAAATAATTAGTGTTAATTTTTGACTTTTTATAATATAATAATATAACTGTCATTCCCAGCCGTCTATAACGCCGTTATTTATTTAAAATTACCCTAATTTGTTGAACTTATTATCAGTTAAATAGTAGATATTTATTTTAGTTATGATGGAGATTGTGACATAAGTTTTTCCATGTCTGGCACACAAATAGGCAGGATAAAAGATTTCCAGGTAACTATATATGTATACAGTTATACCATCCTGGTCGCTTCATCTGTATGGTCTGTATTTTAATGCATGCGATAAAGATAAATACTTATAAATAACCAGTTGACAGACAGAGAGACAAGTAATATAATATTGCCGGTTTTTACGTGCGTAGGAAAATGTGTTAGGTTAAGAAAAAATAAACTATTTTAAAAACTTTCATGTATACTACTGTAATGAAGATAATATATCTAAGCTAAATATAATCTATTACAGTTGTAGTAAAATGAGTAACTAATTGTGAAACATCTTTATTTTTCCAACCCTAGATGCAACGTTTTTCCTCAACGCCTACTTGTGCGGTTTGAAATTTTGATGCAAAATCCAGCAATGCCGCATAGAAGAAATGTATCAACCCAACTTTTATCTCTTTATAATACATCTGATTTGTCATTAAGCTGTCTACATCACTGTCTTACACGTTAAAATCCAGACCACGCAGTTTCCATGACCAGATCTGTATATACTGCAGGACATATAGAGGGTTTCTTAAAAAGTTCGCAACTAATGAAAAAACATTCTTTACAAAAATAATAAAACTCAAATGCCTATATTCACTATGCATCGATGCGTGGATTTGATTCGTCCATGCATCCATGCACGCATTATATGATGCGGTTCGTCGATGCGATTTGTCGATGCGATTCGTTAGTTTGTTTGGAAATTCATCCATTGTGATCATGGTATTTCTTTTGATGATTCGGCGGATGGAATGATCGATGGCATCGACGCGACGTATAAGCGCATCAAATCGATGCATTCACGAACCGCACCAACGCATAATGAGTATGGGCTTAATGCAATAACTGATCCATAGAAAAATGAAATTAAAAAATATGATTATAGATGGGAGTCGAAATAAGAGTAGTTCTTAAACCCATCCTTTACAAAGTACCAATAATTGGAGGAATGCAAATATTCTTTCTGAATATACCAGATATCCATTTTGAACTGGAAGGCATAACTGGAATTCCAGGCTTTAGGTAAAATACATCACCATAAAAACTCCTAATCTTAAACTAATTCTATTCATATTTTTAGTTACTTAGTAAGACAAAAAATTGAAGAAATTATCAACAAGAAATTAGTCTTCCCTAATAAAATATCAAAAAGGTTTTCAAAATCAGTCGAAGCTGCTGAATTAAAATCAATTGAAGCTGAGGTAATACAAATATCTTATCCACCAGAGTAGCGCCCCCACAATAAATATTACGTAACTTAAATTTTGGACATTTTAATAATATATATTTATATAGTTTGTCTCACAGGAGAATAGATTTTGATAGACGATTTCTTTAAAATTAGAGGTCATTGTTTGAATTGTCTTGAAATTGTTGTTATGTCACGTAGGATAATATAACATGTATAATTAGTCCTTTTCTAAATAGGGAGTGTTAAGAGTTCATGTTTTCGAAGCCCGAGATTTAGAGAAAAAAGATATGACTGGAAAATCCGACCCATATGCAATTTTAAACGTTGGAGCACAAGAGCAGAAAACTAAAGTTATTAACAGGGAACTTAATCCACAATGGGACCATTATTGCGAAGTAATGAAAAGCAAAATAAAATAATATCAATCAAAAATGTTTTTAAAGAGTTGTTTTGTTCTAGTTCATTATTTTGGATCCAGTGGCGCAACAGTTACATTTTAAATTGTTTGATCAAGATGAATTTAGCGAGGATGATTTCCTAGGAAGGTAAGTTAAAAAGATAATTCCCTATTTAGCCAGACTATAGGGAATAGTCTGTACCATATAAGAAATAATGAATAACAAAGTATGTTAAAACTAAAAGCTACAAAATTCATTCACGCATTGATATTTTGCGAGTATAATAAATCATTCAGATTGAGATTGTGTCACATTTGGTTTTCTTTAGATAGTTTTCTCAGTCGTTCGTACTGTTCTATAATATAACCGTTCAATAGTTAATTGATTAAAACTATCATTGTTAGTAAACGTTCATACTGAATCTGATCATGATTTGACCAAGAACGTTTTGCGGTTCTTGGTTATGAAATAAAGGTAGCGCTTATAAAAATATCTATGTATAAACATAAATAATTCTTAACACAAATATATGCATGATGCCAATGCCATAAAGACCTCTTGTATAATTTTCAATTTTATGTCTCCAAATTTCAAAGATCATGGACTATATCTTCATTTTTTTAAGCTTTAATTATTCGAGTTCTTCAGTCAACAATATGTGATTCAAGTAGGTCTTTACATCTTCCATGCAAATGCAAAATCATAAAATTCCTCTCCAGGCAACGACTTTCCTAGAGCAGCAATTTCTTTAATTTGATCTCTGATATCAAACGCCTGATGTGACCAATATCTAAGTTGTCATTTCTTATCGTAATATAATATATTAAATCACATTAAACCGTTGCAATTAATTTTATTAATATTCTCCATGTATCCAATATGTACATATTTTATTCTTCGTTACAATTGCATTGGGGGTTGGAACCTTTGGTGTTACACAGCAAAATACAACACTAAATCACCACAATTCACCAAAACACTTTTACTTTTACACTGGACGCACGTTTCGCTAACCATGTTAGCATCATTAGCAGATGATTAAAAACTAAACTACAACTTACAATTTGGGCGTTTATAATATACTCGCTCAGTGGGTACCGAGTGGGCGTGGTAAGATCTAGCCAACCGAGTCAGAGCCCAACGAGCGTAACAGTTAGATTTCCGCCACTAGAGTAGTAGGAACAAAGAACTTTAAGGAATTGGACCGTTGTCTCTTTTCATACTATCTTTACATTAATTAATTCTGCTGCTTTCATATGCATCTAATTGCCTGTAATTTGAGACTTGTTTAATTAATTTTAAATTATTAAGATCTATACAATGTTCTTTATCAACAATATGTTCAGTTGGTATATTCCTAATGAATCATATGATAGTGTTGGACATAAAATGGCTAGTTTAAATTTCTTAGTTCATAGATTACTTAGTTTTCCACATACCAACGAAAGATATGAAATAGAAAGAGATTACAGTAGGAATTTAGCTGAGTGTAATGGATATTATCCTTCACTATTTAATAAAATAATTAGAACACGTAGGTATAGGTTAATGATTTCTGAAAATTCGACTTTTCAAGTGGAGAAAGATACGTTAAAATATTTTTCAATACCGTTTGATAGAGAGTTATCCCGTGGTCTAAAAGGAATTTTTAAGAATGTCAATTATAAACTCGTGTATAGTGCTAATAATAAATTACAACAATTATTAGGTAATCCAAAGGATAAAACACCTCCACTGGAAAGGTCGGGTATTTATGAAATTTCTTGTAAAGATTGTAATCAAAAATATGCAAACTAGAAGATCAATTTTAACTAGATTTAAAGAACATTTAGCTCAGATAAGATATGGTAGACCGGAAAATCTTGCGTTGCTGAACATATTGTTGATAAAGAACATTGTATAGATCTTAATAATTTAAAATTAATTAAACAAGTCTCAAATTACAGGCAATTAGATGCATATGAAAGCATCAGAATTAATAAATTTAAAGATACACTGTTATTTTAAATTAGGGCACGTATTTAAATACTTAAAAAAATAATTTTAAATAAAGTCATGTTTTGTTATAAATATAGGTATCCGAATATCTTTTTATACGTAGGTATGTTTGTATAAACCTATGAATGTTCCGAATTTTTATGATTGAACAGTTAAAGTGTCATTTGTATGTATTTAGTAAAAAAAACAAAATTATTAGGAAAATACATATTTATTTATATTGATTTCAGATTTTAACGGTAAATATACTGCTTAATAAAACTTCTGATATATTTCTTTTATTCCTATATTATAAAAAAAATTATTCTATTTCAAAATTAATACAAATAATACAAATATTTTATAACTATAATAAATGTTGATTAAATTACACTGATGCTGAAGTTAATTATAAACTAACAGATATATTTTTCAAACAAAAAGTGCGGTATGAAAAGAGACAACGATCCAATTCCTTAAAGTTCTTTGTTCCTACTACTCTAGTGGCGGAAATCTAACTGTTACGCTCGGTGGGCTCTGACTCGATTGGCTAGATCTTGCCACGCCCACTCGGTGCCCACTGAGCGAGTATATAAACGCTCAAATTGTAGACTGTAGTTTAGTCTTTAATCATCCGCTGATGATGCTAACATGGTTAGCGAAACGCGCGTCCAGTGTAAAAGTGTTTTGGTGTATTGTGGTGATTTAGTGTTTTATTTTTTTTTTTGCTATATTCTTCATGTTAAGGAGAGCAATGTCTTACTTTCACAAGCCGTTTGTATAAATTATAAATGAAATTGAGACATCTAATATTATTTAAACAAAATATTTACTTAACTAAATAAAATTTCTTAGTCCCCTAATAGTTTTCTGTCCTTTATAAAGTATATTTTTGAAGAAATAGGCTTTTCTTACTATAAGACCTCCTAGAGCGTGGAATGTGTTTTTAGATTAATCTATAAATGGTGCAACAAGTTCTTAGAACTAAGAGTAAACAAGAATTACTGGAATGGTGATAACATGTTCTTGAAGTTTTACAGTTTTCTTCACTCACAAATATTATTTTGCATCCAATTTTATTTGGGTAATTTAGAAAGTGCTTTGTATAAGCCTTGTATGCATGTATGTATAATAATATATCAATGAGTATAAGCGAGAAAAACACAAAACATTTGAAGCCTCAATATTTTACCAATTTACATTAGATATACAACTTGTTCTATTTAGAAAAATTGTTATTTTTTCAGTGGTGCGGTGGTAATCGCCGATGTTATAAAACCCGATAGTGATGACCAATGGTTCGAATTAGAAAACGTAAAACATGGAAAAATTCACTTGCGATTCAGTTGGCTTGCTTTGTCTTGTGACAGGAATGCTATAAATGCCGTAAGTTTTTAATGAGTTAATTTTCTAGTATATGCATCACATTCTTGTAAAGTAACATAAATTGCCTCAAATAGGTATGTAGCAAATTAATTTGTTCCCTTTTTATAGGCAGCAGAAGAAACAAGACTTCTCAAGATAGAAAATATTCACACAGCTCTATTAACCATTTACATAGATTCTGCTTTGAACTTGCCAGTAAGTATTTATTAGCATTAATTACTTTGCTAGTTTTATAATAATTAAAACTAGAATGAATTGGCATTAGCAGTTTAAGGACCAACAATTAAACAACCTTTATTTAAAAAATTGCCGGCGTTTCGACATGTATTTTCGTCTTTATCAAGGCTGCAATACAGAGAAAAAAACCCTACTTAAAACATATAAATTATTATGGCTCAGAATTCTTATTTTTATTTTTTTATTAATTTTTTATATACCTAATCAATATTCATAGAAATAATATAATCAATAAATTAGAAAATACCACCAATATAAGTAAAACAGCAACCAAGAAAGAGATTTAAAAAACAAATAATTATACACAAAAATAATTAAATATATGAAAAATACAAAGCCATACCTATTTGGAGCTAAAAGGTTCTTTTGTCAGAAGTTTCCTGTTTGGTTAAAAATAGGTATGGCTTTGTATGTTTCATATATTTAATTGTTTGTGTGTATAATTATTTATATTTTTAAATCTCTCTTTCTTGGTTACTGTTTTACTTATACTGGTGATATTTTCTAACGTGTTGATTATATTATTATACAGGGTGGCCCGAACTGTATTCCGGAAACATCAGCAGCATATTCTGCACTTAAAAATAAATAAAAAAGTTCGTATAAATGTATGTCGAAAATGCTTAGTTTCGGAGATACAGGGTGTAGAAGTTTCATTTTTATTTCGATTTTTTCCAAATATTTAAAAGTAATGTCAATATTTGGATGAAAATTCGTGTCTAGAGGTTTTTTTGATATAAGAAATTTGATTTTGATGTCAATATGACTCCTACTTATAGAGGGCGCCACCTACATATTTTTTAACTGGTTTGAAGAGTAATAACTTTTCGTCCGTACCTGTATAAAAGTACTGAGTAAAAAAATATACATTTACGACGTTTTCTACGTTAAAAAAGTCTCTTGGTAAAAATCGCTGCGAGTAATGGTTCTCGAGATATTAGGAATCGAAATTATCAATACCTGTCATCACTGACATAAATTAAAAATGTTGACTAAGTAGTTATTAGACTGAAATCATAAATTTGAAATGTTTTTGTGCTAAAAGTTTAATAGAAACTGTTTTATCATCATTTTTTCGAAGAATTTATGATTTATTAAAAAAAAAGTTCCCAAATTTATAATTTCAGTCAAATAATTTATCTACCCAACACTTTTTTTGTCAATAATGACATGTATTGACTATTTCCATTCTAAATATCTTGAGAACGGTTGCTCGCAGCGATTTTTACCAAGAGACATTTTTTACGTAGAAAATCACGGAAATGTATATTTTTTCACTCAGTAGTTTAATACAGGTACGGACGAAAAGTTATTACTCTTCAAAACAGTTAGAACACATGTAGGTGGCGCCCCCTACAAATAGGAGTCATATTGATATCTAAATCAAATTTCTCATGTTAAAAAACTCCAAGTCACCAATTTTCATCCAAATATTTACGTTACTTCAAAAATTATTTGGAAAAAATCGAAATAAAAATGAAATTTCTACAACCTGTATCTTCGAAACTAAGCATTTTAGGACTTACATTTATACGAAATTTATTACTTATTTTTATCTGCAGAATATGCTGCCGAAGTTTCCGGAATACAATTCGGACTACCCTGTATATTTATACTCTACCACATTATTAAAATTAGAATATCAAAATTTAAACTGAAATCTCGAAACTTGTAAAAAATAGTAAACGATTATATTGAATTATTATTAGCATCACAACAGCTGAAATCTGATCTTTTTAATATCTAGAAACCCAAGAGTTATAAAAGGCCTGATCCTTATATGATTTTGACGGTGGGTAAAAACCAAACAAAAAGTAGAACAAAGAGGCATACGTGTAATCCAGTATGGGAACAGGGATTTTACTTGCTAGTAAAAAATCCGGAAAATGATTCTTTAATTATCAATATCATGGGTAAGTGGGCAAGATATGTCGATTTACTAAAATACAGATTAGTAATAATAATTCCAAAACATACGTTTTAATATAATTTACAGATAAACAATCTGATACCAAATTGGATAAACTGGTATATAATATAGCGACTTTACTTGAGAAACCAGAAATGCAGATAAGTAAACAGGAGTTTAAATTGCAGCAGAATTTGAATAGTTCAATAATAGTATCTTTGCAGTTAAGGGTAAGATATAAATACTCGTATTGTAAAAATATTTCTCAATATACACTGACGCATGACGTAAGGAACTCATATTATGTTATCGACAATAAAAAAAGCAAAATTGTTCTATTATTACATATACACTTAATATATTTTTAGTTCATTCCAGCATACATAATTATATCTATAGTATTTTAAAGTAGTTCTTGATGTTAGATATGTATTTATTCAATAACAGATTTCCTTCATTCTGCCTATTAAAAAAGGTAAATATTTTCTGAATATACCGTCCGCTTTGAGCAAGCCGGCAACGCCAAAATATATCATTGTATTCTGAAATCAACCAACCTGATTGGTGGAGATTCTCGCACGTTCCGTTGCCGGGAGTTGTCATGCGCATAACGCTTTCCTATTGGCCAATGCTACCCTCAAGTTTATGCTCTTCCGAGGAAATAGGGCAATTATTGACTAGTATTGAAAATATTCGGTGTTGGTGTTAAAGTATTCAATAAATACCTTTAAATAAATAAAAAATATATTTAAATTTAAAGAATAAGCATATATGTAGGGTTTTTTTGGACCCTTTTTCCGCTTCTTGTATTTTGTTTGTTTATATATACCCTACCAAAACTTTCAGCTCCATCTACGGTAACGTGGATGAAGCAAGCATGAAATACCTTTAACTTTATTTATGCAGAATATAATTAATACCACGGCATTCTAACAAATATTACTATATTTAGAAACTCAGTCGACAAAAGATAAAGACATAATATGAAGTAAAACAATATAATAAAGTTTACTGAAAAATGTAGATATTTCTGATATATTTTCATAAAACGCCGCACGCCCCTGGACATTTTATGAATAAAATCAACCATGATTTATGAGATCTGCTTTCCCTGATGCCTAGTTGTATCAGACTATATTAGGAATAATCTTTAGACAAAAAAAAATAATTGACTAATCTAATTTTTAGATATTACACAAATCCAAATTTGAAATCGAAGAATTAGACTCAGATTCAGATGATGAATGTTCGGAGGACATAATCAACACTGATTTAACAAAAATAGTCAAAGAAAGTCGCTCAAGTAATGCTTCCACTCCTACACCTCCATCGCGTAAAAAAAGTGTAAATGAAAAACCTGTTGAAAAGACGAAACAAACGGAAAATGCACAAGAGCCAACAATACGGACATCTTGTTTTGTACAGTAAGCTAATTATAATACTTTAATAGAAAAACAATTAAGATTTTTTCCTTTGTAAATGCGTCCATATTGCTCGCAAGCAGCCCGAACAAACACGCCAAATACGAGAAAGCATGGCAAGAAGTCGAAGCAAGATGTTCGCAGCGCTCGCAGTACTCCACGTGGTTGCGATCACATGAAATGTCTGTTTCGACTGTTCGGTGCATCAAAGAGACGCTTTGGAGCCGTGCGAGCATACTTGACGGCAGTTTGAAGCGCTTGAGCTATTTTTGTTTTTTGTTTCGATGTCCGAACCATACGAACGCAGGCATTATACTAGACAACTTGCTTGTGAGCCGAAAGATCTTGATTGTATATTTAATATTCATTATCAATATTCTTTATCTATGGATTTTGAGAAACACGGCAAATAGGAGCGCAAGCACAATCAGAAGCAAGAGCGCGAGCAAGATCACGAGCAATGTGGACGCACCTTAATACAATTTAATGTTCGTTTTACATATATCTTTTCTGAATAAAACAGATTTTGAACTAATCGTTTTTTCAAACGTTCTCGTTTTTTTTTGTGTAAGAAAATGTATGAAGTAGTAATAATTGCATTGAATTTTTTAGAAGCCCGGAACAATTGGGAAGAATTGAACTGTCTTTAAGCTACAGCGAATTAAGGCAAAAATTACTAGTCATAGTACATCGAATATCGTAAGTAATAAAACGGATGTTATTTAGTATCCTATTTATTTAAATGCAATTATTAAATTCACTATCAAACTCTTATAAACATATAAATCTTTTCTAAATAATTATTACTAGTTGGTGTTTTGATCATTTTTAGGGCTCTGCCATTAAAAGATCCCAATCACATTCCAGATCCTTATGTTAAATTGAAATTAAGTGGTAATGGAGGTTCAGCTGTTAAACATAGAACAAAGGTAATAATTCAAAATAGTAATAAAGAAGTTTTATATCGGCAAATTTGACAAACCTAAAGAGGTTTATATGACTGATTTGGCTCAGTGTTGATCAATGACGATTTTTTAGCCGACCATACCAACAGGTATAGTAGGCTAGTAAGATCGGAAAAAAAGTTTTTTTAATTTCACACAAAATGAGTTATTTGGGTCATAAATGACCTAAATACAAAATATGTTCATGGCGTCTGTCTGTCCGTCTGTCTGTAACACGATAACTCAAAAACCGCTAAACCGATTTTAACCAAATTTGGCACAAAAATACTGTGGCACCCGAGAATCTGGCCATTAGTTTTTGGTGGGGGTGGGGGGTTGGTAAGGAGATATAGGAGGGGGTTAAAAATTTAAAAACATCGTAACTCCAAAATTACAGTAGCTAGTGAAACGCGGTTTTCAATTTAAGATTAGGAATAATATTTGCAACAAAATTTGTAATAACATCAAAATCAGTCAAGGTCGCAGTTTTTGAGATAAAAAAAAGAAAAAATTCCTTTACTTTGAAACTAAAAGAACTGCCTACCAACTTTTTATTAACATATTTTAGTATGGGCGGCTATACGTGCCTCCCGGCGCCAATTTTTTAACATGATTGAATATAAAGTTAGGTACACTCACAAAAATTGTTGCATTAATTAATGTACTTAGTCTAGGAACCATAACACACTGCGCAAAGAATTACTTTTGAGTCCTTAAGATTTACCGTATGATCGAAAATAACGGCGTTCAGTTGGCTTGGAAATGGCGATCGATGACATCCCCCCATGGATTGTCGCCTATACATACAATGTGTGGGAATTGAAGCCTTATCAGAGACAACTAGATAACCGATCCATGTATATTTCACATAAGTTCTTCTGTTAGGCAAGCCGTGGCGCAATAGCGCAACTCCAAAATTACGAATATCGATTAGCCCTTACTGTGAGGATTAGCCATTGTCAAACGGAAGCGCAAACGAAAGCCGTACGAAGCTGTACGAAGCCGAACGAATGGACAGCTACGCTATTGGTCTAGTTATCCGATCTATAATTCAAAATCCAGGCTTGCGCACTATGCTTGAGCTCGCCTAACTGCGACTTGTGCAAATTCCTTCGGAAGATTTATACCCTGCTGGCAAGCGAAACCTTGGGTCGGCGTTTACATGTATAGGAGTGAATTGCTATGGCAAACTAGTAAGTCGGAGAGAGCAAAAATACGAAGTATTTGTTATATAACCACTTAATCTGACGCTAAATTTCATGCGCCATGGGAAACTACTTGTCTTCTGTCTTTATTCAGTACATCTTATTTTGCAAAACGTGTTGACCGCACTCTTCGTACACAGGAAAATCGGCACCCAAGACCAGAAATGCCAGCCCTAGTATACCCATTTCACCGGTTTGGCTTCGCAGAGTGCAGTTTGGAGTCGATATTCTTTAGTTAATAAATATATGCATCCCCCATATAATTTTACATATAAAATGACTGTGATCTTCATTTAATAGCCATCGCAGACGCCGTTTTTTTCGATCTTATTGTACAATAATCTCATTGTAATTCAACTTCTGACACAATGTCTTTCATGATTTATTTGTACCGGGTGTCCCACTAAGAATAGCTCTCGGCTGTATCTCGGAAAGTATTAGCCGTAGGGTTTACGGAAAAAATATTTATAACCAAAGGGGCTATGGGAAATTGCTGGAAATTATTTTCAAGTTTGTAGAACGACCGCTAGGGGGCGCAACTGCAACAAAAAATATTTTTTAAACCTTTATTATTTGAAATAGTTGAAGTTGTTGGCATTTTGAAAAAGCAATCAAAGATAAAAAACGCTGATAAGACTATCAAAATGTTGATCTAATAACAATTTGACGTTTATACTATTACGTCAAAAGCAACTTTTTTCGAAAGCCTACCATGACTTCACTGAATCATCGTTTCTTGTTCACTGTTATTAATATCTTAACTAGTAGATATTAATACCTCTGGTATTATGGTATTCTCGTATTTCGTCGATTTTAAAATAAACTAACTATTTCTATCTTATTTTTTTGTTAGAATGAGCATAATTAAGAGGGTTACTGATACCGTGTTGTAAAAATAAGGTAATTAAGGGCTTATTTTTTGGTATTTATTATAATTTTGCTAATATTTTCGGTTTGAAAGAAGATATCAAGATGCGGTTTTCGCTGACTTTTTAAGCTTTTACTACTCTTTACTATCAGCTAAAATTACATATACTATTGCATCTATTTTTTTTGAAAAAACGCGCAATTTTTGTTACATTGTAAGACAATGCCCCCTAGCGTCTACTTTCAAAAGCTTATTATTATTGTTTATATGGTACAATATAGAGTAAGAAACGCTCTTTTAAACGAGCCCTCGCTTGCTGGATTCCGATCATCCAGTCCAGAGTTATTAATATTTAAATAAAAAGAGATCTAACCTTCCCCCACTACTTTATTTTGGTAGATAGGGGAAAATGGCTTTAACAAAAAAAAATTCAAAATTTACTGAAACTTATGAAGCTATTACTTATAGTACACCTTATCTACGCAAAATTGTGTAAAAACTCCATTTTCTTATTTTTTGTTGCAGTTGCGCCCCCTAGCGGTCGTTCTACAAACTTGAAAATAATTTCCAGCAATTTCCCCTAGCCCCTTTAGTTATAAATATTTTTTTCCGCAGCCCCTACGGCTAATACTTTCCGAGATACAGCCGAGAGCTATTCTTAGTGGGACACCCTGTACATAATTTTGCATTGTGCATGAACTCAATTATAAAACGTACAAGAAATATTATAAACCAGATACAGAAGAAGTACTGTGAAGTCATAAAAAAATATAATCAGTCAAGTGAAACCTATAAAAAACTGACAAAAAGACGTTCCAAAATGGTTGCCGTGTCAGTGTAAGAATATAAAATTACTATTTGACGCCTTTGGCAAAATAACAACAAACAAAATAAAGCACAACTACACACCAAAACGCTTTTAAGACTAGACGCGCGTTTCACTAACGATAAGCATCATCAGCAGATGTTAAAAAAAATAATTCGTTGTAAACTAGTGTTTTATTTTGCTGTTGTAGCACCAAAGGTTCCAACTCCAACTGCATCCTATCTTAGTCTTATTATTCAATAGTTTATATCATCAAATCTGTTTTGATGAAATATCAACATGTGCTCAACATCCTTTTGAATTTTTCATTTATTATTAGGTAATCGTGGATTCCTGTGACCCAATTTATGAAGAGACTTTCGAATATCTTTTGTCAGTATCCGATTTGCCATCCTATACTCTTGTAGTCACCGTGAAAAATAAGAAAATGTTTAGCTCGAGTATTCTGGGACAGGTAAACATCAATTTTAATTGTGGACTTTTGTAATCATTTTTTGTGTTTTCAGATTACCATAGACCTCAAGCGACTACAAAATTCAGTAGGTACTATTCGGAGCTGGTATGAATTATTAGAAGAACAAGTATCTGATTGATGTAGATGCCTGTGCATTAAGTATTGAAGGTTGTGAAGTACTTTTTAATGTGATGTATGTAGAGTATACCGTATTTTACTCTTAAGTCCAAAAAGTCATCTCCCACATGTGCATTAATAATATATCTATCTAATAGGTATTAAAAGTACAAATTAAAATGTATATTAAAAAATGGACAAATATTTTAAATAACTTATTTTCTATAAAAGCTAATTATTTTAATATAAGAGTTGTTGATAAAATTGCAGCGTGAATGCTGCAGAACAAAAATCTCTATAGTTTGTAATGTCTACAGTCAGTTTTTGTTAAAGTATAAAATTTAGTATTTCATTGTACAATATATGTATAATATAATCAAAAAATTTCAACGCCAAACGTGCTTTGTAAGAAGATATATAAGAATTAAAGGAATTTTCATTATAATTTTTGTTAAATGCCAAAGTTAAATGCCACTTGATCACAATTTTTTTTATGGTGATGGTATTTTTTACTGTAAGATACCTTTTTTAAATCCTTATAATTTTTCTAATTCTTTTATATTTCTTAATTTTTAATCACAGATGGACTTTTGATCCATTATTTTTTAAAATGGATATTAATATTAATTCATCTCCTCACTTATTCCAAAAACAAAAAAAATTATTGCACATTTCAACGTAAAAGCAAAGCAAACCAAAAAATTAAACAACAATTGAACTATATTTTACATAAACAAAAGGATTAAAATAACTTGAAAATACGCTTTAATTTACTTCAATACCTATGTATATTTTATTAACGTTTTTATAAGCTTTGTTATATTTTATACAAAAATATATTTATTATATACAAAATCACTTTAAAACAAGTGTTTTATTACAAGATAGACAAACGATATACATACACGGGTCGGCAAAGGCTGGCTTTGGTGTGCCGATTTTCGTAAATAGGTACAGTGAATGTGTTCAGTACAGTAAGATGTACTGAACAAAGACAGCTGATGAAGTATTCCCAAAAACATGAAATAAAGCATCAGATTAAGTGGATATGTAATAAACGCTTTGCATTTTTCTTTTTCCAACAAAATCGTCATAACGATTCACTCTAAACATGTAAATACCAACCAAACCAAAACGCTCCCTTGCCCACACTGTATAATGTATATGTTACGGTTAAGGTCCGATGTCCGGTTAATGTCGACATTACCCGGTTAATCTCGAGAATAACACACAACAAAATAACCAAAAACATAACCTAACCCAAACATTAACATGTTAATGTCGACATTAACCGGACATCGGACTCTAACCGTAACATAATATACAGGATGGTCCGAATTGTATTTCGGAAACTTCGGCAACATATTATGCAGATAAAAATAAGTAAAAAAGTTAAATGTATGTCCTAAAATGGGTTTAGTTTCGGAGATACACGGTGTAGAAGTTTCGGTTTTATTTCGATTTTTTCAAAATTATTTAAGAAGTAACGTCAATATTTGGATGAAAATTGGTGTCTGGGGCTTTTATGACACGAGAAATTTCATTTTGATGTCAAAATCACTCCTATTTGTAGAGGGTGTCACTTACAATGTGTTGTAACTGTTTTGAAGAGTAATAACTTTTCGTCCGTATCTGTATAAAACTACTGACTGAAAAAATATACATTTCCATGACTTTCTATGTAAAAAATGCCTCTTGGTAAAAATCGCTACGAGCAACCGTTCTCAAGATATTTAAAATGGATATAATCAATACATATTATTGACAAAAAATAAGCACACGTGAGAATAGTTATTTGAATGAAATAATAAATTTTTATTTTTTTAAATTAATCATAAATTTTTTTGATAAGAAATGATGATTAAACAGTTTCTGTTGAACTTTTGGCACAAAAATATTCCAAATTTATGATTTCAGTCTAATAAATATTTAGTCAACATATTTAATTTATGTCAATGATGACAGGTATTGATAATTTTGATTCTAAATATCTCGAGAACCATTACTCGTAGCGATTTTTACCAAGAGACCTTTTTTATGTAAAAAAAGTCGTAGATGTATTTTTTTACTCAGCAGTTTTATACAGGTATGGACAAAAAGTTATTACTCTTCAAACCAGTTATAAAATATGTAGGTGACGCCCTCTACAAGTAGGAGTCATATTGACATGAAAATCAAATTTCTCCTGTCAAAAAACTCACAGACACCAATTTTCGTCGAAATATTGACGTTACTTCAAAAATTATTTGGAAAAAATCGAAATAAAAATGAAACTTCTACACCCTGTATCTCCGAAACTAAGAACTTTAGTTTATGACATTTATAAGACCTTTCTTACTTATTTTAATCTGAGAAATATGCTATCGTCACACCCTGTATATGTTATGGTTAAGGTCCGATATTCGGTTAATATTGACATTACCCGGTTAATCTCGAGAATAACACAACAAAACAACCAAAAACAAAACCAAACCCAAACGTTAACGTGTGAATGTCGACATTAACCGGACATCGGACTTTAACCTTAACATATACAAGATTATAACTAAATAACTTCATTTTTGATTACATATAGAGCTGAATCAAAGAAAAGTTATTACAAACAAAAATTAAATTTAATAATTTCCTTCAACATAAAAAATATGCAATGGCATAACAATTTTACATAATTATAAGTCCAATATTAAATAAAAAATATAACTGCAAAACATCAATTTCTTCATTAATTTGTATACTTAAATATTTAGGTAGATCAGTGAATGCATTTTCCAGTATTTGTTTGAATGGACATATTCCTAAAAGATTCACCTGAAATTCATTTTTTCCCTAAAAACACCCAATAACATTAATAACTATGAATGTATATACAAGGTGGCCCATCGAAAACGTTCCGCAAGACATAACGGCCAGGATTTTTTTTTTCAAAAAATCCAAAAACACGTCAATTTTGTTTGTGAGGGGGACAACTTTTGCCCCAAAAATGATTGCAAAATCTTCAACCCTCTAAGCGGGGGTGTCATCCCCCAACTTTTTTCAAATGGAAAGGGGGGTCAAGTGGCGCCGCAATGAAAAGAGCATTCTCTATATTTCCCCGCTTGTTTTTGAAAATCGGTCGAGTCATTGAGAAAATATGAAGGATTGAAATTTGAAAAGTTTATTTAAACATTTATCAGAGTAAATGATAAGGATAAATTCGTTCGACCAATTTGCTGTTTTTTCTTATTATTTCTAGATGTTTACGCATTTTTCACTTGCCACAAGGTTGAACGATCAGGTGCGGTCTCAATATCGTTAAACTGACCTACAATAGAGTTTCCAAAAATACCAGCCCGCGACGATCAAAATCGTCTTCGTTGAGTTCTTGTACCAACTGAATTTTGTACGGGTGGAACTTGTGTTTTCTTAATATCGTTTGGACACTTGTACGATTCACGCCGGTCGCGGTCTCATTGGCTAATTTTCTTGTACTCAGCGTACTACCCATGGCAACTTGGCCCAATACGAATACCTCCATAGCTTCATTTACTACAGGATTTTCCCTCTGCCTCTTTTTATTCACAACGGCACCAGTTTCGTGAAATTTTGCTACTAAATCGCGAACAATTTTGCCATAAAGGTGTTTGTCAGGATGGCGTTCATTGAATATCTGCGCAAACCGATTGCCACATTCATTATTTTTAAAATAAAGTTCGATTATATCCACTTTTTCTGCAAATGAGTACACCATAATTGTTAAAAAGTTTAACGATATTGAGAAGAACTTCAACGCACAAGTCACAGAACAGTTATCTAGCAACTACCGCACCTGATCGTTCAACCTTGTGGCAAGTGAAAAAATGCGTAAACATCTAGAAATAATACGAAAAAACAGCAAATTGGTCGAAGGAATTTATCCTTATTATTTAGTCTGATAAATGTTTAAATAAACTTTTCAAATTTCAATCCTTCATATTTTCTCAATGACTCGACCGATTTTCAAAAACGAAGCGGGGAAATATAGAGAATAGAAAGCTCTTTTCATTGCGGTGCCACTTGACCCCCCTTCCCATTTAAAAAAAATTGGGGGATGACACCCCCGCTTAGAGGGTTGAAGATTTTGCAATCATTTTTATGGCAAAAGTTGTCCCCCTCACAAAAAAAATTGACGTGTTTTTGGATTTTTTGAAAAAAAAATTACCCTGGCCGTTATGCCTTGCGGAACGTTTTCGATGGGCCACCCTGTATGCTTATGTGTGTGATACCAATTAAACTTACTAGTTACGTAATCGAGGGCGCGATTTTTAAATTCATTGTTGCTAACCATGGACATATTCGGCGCCGGGCTGACTAACTGGAATTTAAATTTTCCGCTGGGGATTCAGGTGGTACCTCTGCTGTAAAAAATGTTAAATTGCCATTTATTTATTTATTTCCTGGCATTGTCATTAGTTTTGACGCTTTAACTTTGTATTACGAGTTTTTAGTTTAAATAAATAGTGTTATGATACTTTAAGCTTAAAAATGTTTACTTGCAGACCTTCCAGTCGAACATTGTTCTTTTTAGAACCTCTTTTAGTGCGAAATGTACAAGATAGCTTAATAGCTGTGTTAATAGCAGTAAAAAACTTATCGGCTATTATGTTCCTTAAGTGCTATTATTATGTTCCTTAAGTGCTGTTAAGAAGGTGAGTTCTGTTGACGTAAATAATAACTATTTATATGTACTTATATTTATAATTAATTTTTGTTTCATAAAATATTTTGATTAGAAGACAATATATAAAATTGGGCAACGCTGTGCCGGTCAAGTTTAATTGCATGACTAAAAGTTTATTTAGTATAAACCTTAGATCATTATATCATCTTCATAAGATGTAAGGTATAAACTATAGGTACATTTTCATGTTTTTTTTTAAATTTCTCGAAAACGCTATAGAAATTTAGAAAAGTGTAAACGGAATTAACCATTTTAGAACAAGCAAATTTTTTATGAAGAATGCATTTCTCTCAAAATGTCAATAATAAAAAGGGTTTTTTTCTCTTATAAAGACAATTCGGGGACATACTGTACATTGTTTGATTGTAGGTAAAAAAGTATGTTTCTGAGATTTTCAAGAAAAAATCATTCACTAATACTAAAAGTCATTTGTCTTACTTATTGTTTCCATATCTCCATCTTCTTGAAAAATATCAATTGACTCATCTGTAGTACAAACTATAAGATCTTCATGTTGCTCAAACAGATGTTTTTCTAAACCACTACTTTTAAAGAAAGACATCTGGCAAATCGAACAGATATGTGGTTTGATTTTTATATGGCTCTTCCTATGAAATCCAAGGTTTGATGTGTTTGTGAAGGATTTGTTACACTCAGGACATGTGTATAAACTATTCTACAATAAGTTATCTCTAATTAGGTGAAAATTATTACTAGCACTGATATAATGCATATTTTAAAAAATATCTTAGTAATACAGGTTAAGTCAAGTTAAGACCATTCCAGAATGACGTCACTGACAGATTGGTTTATATTGGCTGGCCATCGAATTTGACAATGACACAATCACATTTTTGCTGGTATTTTAATTGTAGCTTTCTCTGGGCCGTATTATAAATTTTACTAATTTGAAGATAGATTTTTCCAAATACCTTTTAAATAACTATTCCAAATGAAACGAAATTCTACACAAAAGTACAACTTTAACACCTCTTCAAAAAAGTCTAATACAACTTTTGCATAAAATCATCTTGGGAGACATTTTTTGACACTTTCAAAATTAACATGGGATTTCCTTTCCCGTGTATGGATGTAAAGATGGGGAGAAATATCTCTTATGGGAGTTTATTTGAAAAAGTGGTCACAAAAATGGGAAGAATAAGGGTTCACCAAATAACCACAGATCTATACTAATATATAAATAATATCGCGCTAATCTATACTAATATATAAAATCCTTAAGTGACTGACATACTGATTAATCACGATCCTGCTCAAACCACTCAACGTAAGAAGCTCAATTTTGGCATACAGGTTGATTCTAGGGTGTAGAAGTTCGATAAGAAGGGATTTTTCGAAATCCCAGTTCCAAGGGGGTGAAACCACCCCTCAAATATTACAATATTTTTTATTTAAAAAACGGTCAAGTTCCCGAAAAAACGCTTAAACACGTATATTTTATTTTGTTTTTTTACATATTTTTTAAAAATGTATACAGGGAGTTTCGAAAAATCTGGTCATTAATCACGATCCTGCTTAAAGCGCTTGACGTAAAAAGCTGATTTTTGGAAAACAGATTGACTTTAGGGTGTTCGATAAGAAGGGATTTTTCGAAACTCGAATTCTAAGGGGGTGAAACTATCCCTCAAATATTAAAATATTTTTTATTTAAAAACCGGTGAGTTTTTCGGAAAAACTCTTAAACACGTATATTTTATTTTGTTGTTTTACATATTTTAAGATTTTTTATAAATTTATACAGGGTGTTTCATAAAATATGACCATCGAGTAATCACGATTCTGCTTAAACTGCTTGGCGTTTAAAGCTGATTTTTGGCAAACGGATTGACTGTGGGGTGTAGAGGTTCGATAAGGAGGGGTTTCTCGAAATTCCAAGAGGGTGAAAACGCCCCTCAAATATTACAATATTTGTTATTTAAAAAAGGTTAGTCTTTCGGGAAAACGCTTGGACAAGCAAAATTTATTTGGGTTTTTTACATATTTTTAAATTTTTTAAAAAATTATACAGGGTGTTCCAAAAAGTTGGGTAATTTCTTAACCACAATTCTGCTTAAAACTGCTTGACGTAAAAAGCTTATTTTTGGCAAACGGATTTTTCGAAAGTCAAATTCCAACGAGATGAAACTACCCCTCAAATATTACCAAATTATATAATAATATCGCCATATTGTTTTTTCTCATGCTGACATAAATGTGAGAAAATTTTATCCAGTTTGTATGTTAATGGAAATTCTTGCTTTGCTTTATCATCACCATTACAAATGATTAATTCGACGCGAACGAAGTCGCTGGTACGCGCTAGTGACGTATAAATCTAAAAAATGAAAAGTATAACCATAGATTAGAGAATAAAGGTAACGTAACCAAACATTACCAAAAAAAACTTTGTTTTTATTTTTTTAAATATATATCAATTATTTTTATATATTAGAGGCCCAGTCTATTGCTGCTGAATAAAAATCGTTAATTTATTTCATGTGACGCACTATGGTATATTTGGCCTATATTTTGGCTAAAATTCCATTTTTTCGAATCTGGATATCAGACATTTTTCTTGCACATTTTGTTTCATAATAAGTTCCTTTATTCAAATCCAGCGCCATTTTGATAAAAATCAAGTGGGCTATGAAACGGCGATTATGAGGAACTGTCACTTTCTTCAAGCAAATTTATTTGTTTTCAATGCGTCATTTTTTCGTGTACTGTTTACATTGTCTACTCGAGAAGTTGATTGTGCAAGTAATTTCCGTGGATGGATTTTATAACCGAAGGTATGTACAGGGTGGGTCAAATTCGACGCTTTTAAAGGGAAACGCCCTTTTCTATAGGTGATAGACGAAAACTGATATCGGTGTCTGGAGCTCAATTTTTATCAAAAATATGATGGTGAAAACCGCACATCGATATCTGTTACCGTTTCGGAGTTACGAGGTGTTTTTCAAAAATGTGCATTTTTAACAAATCGCTGTAACTTTTTTACTATGGAAAATTTTCTATTTTTATGAAAACTTTTCCAAAGCCATTTCCATAAATTCTTTTTACGTAGAATTTAATGGTTTAAGTATTTTTTTTTAATTAATAATTTAAGAATTATCAACAGAAAAATTGATTTTTTATTTGGGACGCTCTGTATATTTTTAACTAAATGAAAAGAACTTAAGATTACCTTTCCAAAAATATAGCACACTTGATATTTTGTGATAATCATCTTCGAAATACAGAATTTTGAAGAGTTGGCCACTTTTAACTAGTAGGCTTTAGACCCCTTATTGATGATCTGCCCCTAATGGAACTCGAAAACATATTTTTCCAGCAAGACGAGGCACCGCCTCAGAATGCTGAAGTTATCAGCTAACTTTTGCGGTCTATTTCGAGAATAATTGATTAGCTAACCAAGATCCCAGCCATTGGCCGTCTAGGCCGCAGGACTTAGTACCTATGGATTTTTATCTTTGCGAAAGAATAAAGGTTCTTATTTTTAAATTGCCTGTATAATCTAGACAAGAATTATAACTACTTAGCGGTTATGCGAGGTCCCCCATTTTTCACCCCCAATGAGATAATGAGTTAATATATTCCGCCAGAAATGTTCAGAACGGTCCCGTCTGTCCATAAACAGAACGCGGTCAACATGCCGAACACCTGAGACATGAGATTTTGCTATCTCATGTCTTAGTTTGCTATATTAATAGCAAATGTTACTGTTATTAGATATAATTTAGTTGTGTTGATGTTGTTATATATAGTTTAAATTCTTATAAAATTCAAAATCTCTAAATGGCAATATTATTTTTGTTTTAATTGCTGCTCATAGCTACAATTTTTTTGCATTACAGCCGTCGCGGTTCAAAGCCTACTTATTCAAAGTGGGCGAATTTTTTAAAACTCTATATCTCGAAGAGGAATCGAGCAAAATATTAAGTATGTTATATTTTTGAAAAGGTAATTTTAAATTCTTTTCCATGAATTAAAAATATACAGGGTGTCCCATATAAAAAATCAACTTTTCTGTTGATAATTCTTAAATTATGAATTTTAAAAAAAATATACTTAAACCATTAAATTCTACGTAAAAAGTTGCTTTGGAAACGGTTTCATAAAAATACAAAATTTTCCATAGCAAAAAAGTTGCAGCAATTTGTTAAAAATGCACATTTTTGAAAAACACCCCGTAACTCAGAAACGGTAATAGATATCGATGTGCGGTTTTCACTACCATGTTTTTGATAAAAATTGAGCTCCAGATACCGATATTAGTTTTCGTCTATCTCCTATAGAAAAGGGTGTCTCCTGGAATTTCCCTTTAAAAGCGTCCAATTTGACCCACCCGGTACAAAATAAAAACTTATGTAATTTTCCTAAAATTGCTGCTCGTGTTTTTTTATACAATAAATTAAAATGCAATGAAAGGAACTCATAAAAAAGTAGCCACAAAATACAAGTAGAGCTACAAAAAAATCTTCATATGACTTCACGGACAATTCTACACAATATTGTTGCTTTGTGTTCCTAGTTATCGAAATTGACTGAAACTTTTGCACCTAGATGCCCTTAGCCTGTGAAGTATTTTTTTTGTGCATAAACATTTCAATGGACATGGCGTATGTAGTGTGTTTATTAAGTACTTGTACAAACTTTAAGGGGCAAATCTTTGACTAATTCTAAGATAAAAATTTCATATAAACATGTGTTAGCAAATGCTTCGTTTTCCAGATACAGGGTGTAGAAAGTGAAAAATACCACACCACGAACGGTGTTCCAAAAAAAAATTATCTGCATGCAACCTGCATTTTTAATTAGGCAGATGCAGATAATAATTAGGCAGATGCAGATAATTTTTTTTTGGAACACCGTTCGTGTGACAAAAAAAAGTGAAGAAACCATTTTTATTAGCAAGTAGTGAAAAATACCATTTTTTTTTTGTTATTTTAGAAAAAAGCAGTGGCGTGCCATTTTTTTAATCGAATAAAAATATGGTGTCACATGTTTTTATGAACTTTTTGTCTTATAATTTATCTGTTGCAATAGTAGTTTCGGCTTATATGATTTTCTGATTTAATGTATGTATTTAGAATAAATCCCTGAATTTCACCCAAAATGTACTTTTGGCCAAAACGAACGCAAATTGTACCATAGTGTGACGTGAAAATAAAATTTGTATTTTTTTCACGTCAAATATTTATCTCTTTGGAATCATTTCCTGTTTTAAAAAATTTCAGCGCATATTTTAAATTTTAGGTTTTTGCTACAGCAGCGCCATCTTAACTCTTCCCCTTTTTATGACCCCCCCATTTTTTATCGCACAAAATTATTTCTCCTTACCTTTACACTCCATAGTCCCGTGTTCCGATGCACTACACGGTATATAAATTCGTCGTCTCTTGCTGTTAACCAGTCTTATTATACCTTATAATCGAAAAAAAAACGAGTCCAGTTGGATTAAAAATGGACAATTAAGGCATTCCCAATGTAATTTTACATATAAAATGACAGCGATCTTCATTTCATGGCCGTCGCTGACGCCATTTTTTTTCGATCATACGGAACCATACAATTTAAAAAAAAACGTCAAAGAAGGCTGGGGAATAACGATCAATAATTATGGCGAGGTCAAGCCCTAGACGTCATTTACTTGGTCCATACACTTCATTTTCAGTTGGCCTCAAAACGGTTGTAATATATTTTTATATTGAGTAAAAATGATTTTTAAATGGTGTAGTTTAAAATTCGAGAAAAAATAATTTTTTAGAAATAGATATGTCTGCCTATAACCATTCTATCCTTTTTTGATCTTTCTATAATTAAGGTCATAGAATTAAGGTTAATTTTTGACAACTTTTGTGTCAATTTTCAGTAAATGACATCTAAAGATTGATCTCACCCTATTTCACCAGAATTATCATCATAGATAAACGCAACAAGTTTAGATTGGAAAGTGCCCATAAGGACAATGTAAACCCTATTTGGCGCTGTTCTTACAACGGTCGCGACCCGAAACTTTTGAATGTTTCGGAGCGGTTCGGCTACGGGTTCGGCTTTTTCCGGATTTCTGCCGCCAAATATTTTTATTCAAATTTTTATTATTATTATTGCTTTACTTTTATGAATAAAAGACAGTCTATTTTATGTAAAAAACTTTATTTTTTACAAAAACATGTATAAAACATCTAAAATAAAAATTATTTAAAGAACATAGTTTAAAAGCAGCAGTATGAAGCGAAAAAAAAACATAGTGTTAGAATTATTATTAAATGTATAATAAGTTATACAATATTTAACAAGAATTTATAATTAAAACATTCAATACATAAACCACTAATTTACAATTAAATGACCTAAATTTAGAATAACTTAACAGCTAGATTTCTTATAGGAGTGAAAAAATACTAAAGAACAGAAGGCAAAAAAAGATCTTTATGAAAGTCAATAATTTAAAATTTAACAGGGTTAGATTGATTTAATAATTTTCTTTATTTAGATCAATCGGGGCAATTTTTTTTTTCGAAGTTTATGATTGATACTAAATAAATGTGGTAGCCGTTAGAAAAAAAAGTCTAAATATACAGTTATTATGACAATTCTATTTCCACAACAAATGTAGAGATTTCGAAACATGGATTGTTAAAGATGTATTTTATATTATTATTTAATATACAACGACTAAATTCACTTTTATGTTCAGTAATATAAATAATATAATAATAATAAGTAATAATAATAATAGGTTGGCATATTGTGGGGATTTCCATACTTGGATTGCTAAAGATGTTATTGTTTTCTATAAAAACGTGTTCTTTAAATTGACGCTTTTTCACCTCGAATTAGTATATCACTGATTTGCAAATTAGAGGAAACCAAGAATGTTTTTCTCATTTTATCAGCAAAGTCGCAAAAAGTCGCAGTATTTTATTTTACTGTATGAAAGCTCAATGTTGTTGAGTTGAGGTTCGAAGTTGAACAATGAGGTTCTTTGGACAACCCGAGCTACCAAGCACTTTATATTGTGCTGCTTTGATAAATACCTGACTTCATTGTTTCACTTTTTTGTATATGTTTTTTGTGTTCGTTAAGTCAAACATTTAGAGAATGTTTTGTTTCTAATACACGATCCAATCAATTTTTTTTAGTGTCAATACTGAATTCGGTCTACAACATTCAAAGAGAAGGGTAATTCAATTAGTTACACGTATATCAAATGGAAAAAATTCCTAATTAATACATGTAGTAACAAATATTCTAGAATGATAAACTGATATAAAAGTGTAAGAAACATTTGTTTTTTAGATTATGTACAATATTTAATATTTTTGTTTTGGTCTCTTTTTATAACTAAGATATTTAGTGTAGGCTTGCTGCTTAATTGGATCTACAAAACATTTTTCAGAATTTACAGCCATAAATTTAAAAAATTTTATATCTGCTCCAGTAATAATTTTGTTAACATTTGTGCACCACCAAAATAAAGAACATTGTATGACAACTTTACATAGTATATCACCTAATGCATGATCTGGACAATAAAGAGTTTCAAAGGAAAATTTGTTTTTAAGAATAGAGTTTAAAATGAAAGATATATTCTGAAAATTACAAAGTCTCGGTATTAAGTAAAATAAAGTTCTTAATGAGTGAATTACTAAAAACAATAAAAAATCCCCTGGTTTTAGTAAATGACCTCGTTCAAATTGTTTTGCTTCTATAAAATCATCAAAGTGAATTTTTTTGTGCCTCAAAGTTATTACTCTCCTACAAGTTGTACAATTTGCTATGGTCTTATTCTTTAACATCATTTTTCCTATGGCACCTGTCATATATGTTAAGGTTGAATATCCTAATTTAGTTTCACTACTAATTAATACATTAAGTGGAGTTTCTGGAATAACAGGGCATTCCAAAAGAGATGTCCTACCTGTTGATTCCCCCTTTAAAAATGATTTCAAATTATCTAGACATTCAGTTGCTGTATCTTTTTGGCAGTTTGAATTTATAGAATGACTAGACATAAAATTATTTATTAATAAGGTTTTAAATGATGTTATAAAACTGGAAGGATCTGGGTCTGTGTTCCTTACCCCATGGCTGCGTATGTAGCTAAAAAAATTCTCTAATGAATCTTGGTTGAATGCACCGGTTAAAATATAGGAAAATCCATTTTTATTTAACAAAATATTATATAAATATAAAAATCCCCTAACAGTAAATATCAAATTTTTTATGGATGGGACCGAAACAAATTTTTGCCTTTCCAATGAAAAAAATTTCATAGAATTTAGTACTTTTAGTGCATTCAACCAGAATTCTTTGTGTTGAGAATTTTTTGTTATTACACACTTCAGAGGTTTTGCTTGAGCTTTAGTCTTTCTTATTACATTCAACGAGTCAAAAAGTTGATCCAAAAATAAAATCAAATCCGCCGTATCCTCAACTTCTTTTGGAATATTATTGTTGTCGTTGATATCTAAAATAATAATAAATATAAGCTATATTTTCTGTATTATGTTTCTCTTGCAATTGTCTTACCCCATTGTGCCACTCTCTTCATTAAAGATCCCACGGTATAGCTAAATACTTGCGTGCAGGTCTTCACTTTCATTTTGTTTATTTTCTCTGGAATAACATGACTATCTGTAAGTTTACTACATATTCTTACTGATGGTAGCGATGTATCCAAGTTGTAGAACGCTTGAATATGGTCCCATTTTGCAACTTTTTTTGCACCATTCAGTAAGAAATGTAGATGTTTGGTGATCATGTTATTCCGTAATCCCTTAAACAGGTGTGGGACGTCATAGAGTGGAACAACCTCTTGTTTGCCAATTAAAAATCCCCAAAAATTCTTTTCTATGTTTTCTTTTATGCATTGTTCACACGTTTCGGCTAAGAGCATATTAATAGCTGCTTGGTTAGCACTTCCCTGATCGCATACTGTAGCCACAATTTGTAAGTTAATTTGTTGGCATTCTTTAATAATAGTGGTAAGAAGATTCTTTAAAATTATAGATTTAATTGGTCCCTTACTAAACGTATATACTATTGGTTGCTTCCACTGCCTGTAAACGCCCCTTAACATGAAAACATTGGTGTGGTCAGCTATTAGAGGTTTTTTCTCGTACCCGTAATCTTCAAGCCCAATTATTTCACCATTTCCTCTGTGATAATGGAGTTTTGATGTTAAGGCCATCTCGTCAAACATCAGTACACAAATCCTGTCGTTGGTTTTTGTTAAACCAGTTACAGATTCTTTTAAATTTTGAAAAATTTTTTTGTTCACCCCTGGATAAAATGGGACTTTTTGTAGTAGATTTCTTAAAGTTCTGGCCGATGGTAATGCAAAAATTTTGCTTAGTAATCTATATCCTTTGCCACTATTCTTATAAAGGGATAGAGCTAAAATCTTGTCGTTTAATGTGTAACGCCTAGATTTATTTTTCAGGGACTGATTTTTCATTTGAGACATAAAGAAATTAAATGTAGGTCCGTTGACATGGCTCATAAAAGAGGAAAATTTTGACGAGGAAGAGACAGTTTCCGTTAATGCCAGTCGCTTTTGATACTTGACTCTGTTTTGTATATTTCGCATTCTTTTGGTCATGCCTTTTAGTTCTATATAGAGGTGTTTAGCCTGAGGTGTTAAGTATTTGCTGCGTGTTACTTCAATATTAGAAAGAATACCTCTTCTTTTTAATAAACCTAGAAAAATATTGAAAATAAGTAGATGTAATTCAAAATAAAATTAATTTGAAATATAATATTAATATTCCTGTCGTTAATATTTTAAGACATAAAAAATCTAGAACAACACTTATTATCTTCTAAAAATAGTAAAGTACTATTTTTTAGAAGTTAATAAGTGTTGTTAAATGTATAAATGTAATTATTACTAAAGAAAACGTAATCAATTCTGGCGATTGGTGACATTATCCATATATTATATTGAATATATATTTTTTTTACCTTTCGGTAAAAATATAATGCTGGAAGTACACACTCGCCGAGGCGACCCGAGGTGCGACAAAAAAGGACGGTTCTAACCAATAGCAATGTACATATCGTTAATTTTTTGTCGCGCCTCGGGTCGCCTCGGCAAGTGTGTATTTCCAGCATTATAATATTACTTTTTTAATATTAATTTTTGTTTGAAAAGAGATTAATTTTCTTAAAATATTTCTTCTTACCTTTCGGAGCGAAGTTTTCGAAATGATATGTAGTGGACTTTGGTTTCAGCAGGAATGGTGGTGTTCTTTCTTCTGGAGGGGTCACCTCATACATACTAGGGCTAGATTCATCTTCGGTCCCAATATCTTTAAAAATAGTATATTTAATAAATATTTAGTTATACCTACATATAATAACTATTGCTAATTTAATGCAGATTTAAAAAAAAATGATAAATTAATAAATTTTAATAATTTAATAATGTTTTAATAATAGATATGCGGAGTAATATTTGTCAAGTAATTACTATAAAAAAATTTAATAAAGGTTAGTTAGTTACCGTAAAAAAATAACAATAAAATAAGTTTATTTAAATAATATTAAAACATCTAAACTTAGTCACTAGAAAGTAAATTCTTGTATCTTTATAGAAGCATTTAAAGAGAAGAGATTTGAATGTAATTTTATATCCTTCTAAATAAAAAAGAGACCGACTGGCAGTAATATTATTTCTGTTGAAGATAGTATTCTTTAATTTGTGAAACTAAGCCAACAATAAAGCCTTAGGACCGCTCAAATTGGACACAAGTTTACATAATAACTTGGCATATCTACTTGTAATGAAATAAAATAAATTAAGCACATAAAAAAATCGATAATATTAAAGTTTACTAATTAATATAAAGCTTGGCGCTCACGTGCCAAGTGCGCCCAACTCCCGCGGATTAATTCTATGTATTATAATGCAGATCAACGAACTTAAACGAAGCAACTTAAGTCCGCGGATTTGCTTTATAATAGGTACATACAATTAATCGAATGTATGTTTTTTCGCCGCACTTCGCACCAGTCAGCGTCAAGTCATATTTTTGAAATTATTAAATATTTATACTGTAAATGTAAACCCAAAAAAGTAAAAGTAACACTAAAAACATAAAAAATATATTTACCTGGAATATTAACAGAAGGTAGCGCATTTCTGTTGAGACCTCTTCGCGTTCCGCTCACAAAGCATTCTGATGCAAAATGATTTTCACAAATATAATATCTATTATATTGCTGTGTTGCAGTTAACGATTCATAGCCTTCAGGTTTCACAATGTTTATCCATTCTTCAAAAATACGTGGATCGCTTTTTGGAAAGCGATGTCTTACCCCACTTCGGTTTTTGCAATTTTTTACATAGCACTTCTTAATTTTTCCCATTTTTCTATAATGATCAGGTGTTTCCGCAAATAAACTTTATATAAATTCACAATATCGCAATAATAATTTTGAAAAAAAGGAAGTTTTAAACGATTTTCAATATTTTTCAGCAACTAACACGGTTTTTATAGCATATATTTTAAATTTTAAACTACGATTTTTAAAAGTTTGTCAACATTTTGTCAAGAAAAGACGCTAAAACGCTATCCTTATTTACGGTTGTCCTAGATACCGTAAAATCCCTAACAACCGCCGCTTGCAGCGCCCTACAACGTACGCGACCCAAAACAATTTTAAGGTTTGGCGGCAAGCCGAGCTTTCCAATCTAAACTTGTTTCATTTATCTATGATTATCATCGATTGTCATTCCCTAGCTATATCGTATTAATATCAATAGAATAAAATTCAATACATACATGTTTTAGCTCATTCAAATCTTGAGCACCTTTCATGGAATAATCTTTTAAACTACTGAATCCATTTTTATGATATTTCATATGTTCTTTGAAAATTCTTACACTAAATGTTTTATCACAAACAGTACACCTAAAATGCTTGCTGGAGTAATCATGATCGTGATCCATATTATGCCCCTCTAAAAAATACTATAAAATAGAAACCTTTAAATATGAATTCTTACCTAATGAATTTTCTGAAATAGATATGGAGTCTTGTCCAGAATGATTACAAAGATGAACATTTAATTCAGATTGTGATGTAGATGCTTGACTGCATACTTTACATTTTAATATCACAGTTTTACTATTATTTTCTACATTATGCATTTTACTTAAGTGTACTTTATGTAAATTGCTGTTAGGAAAATACATAAAGCACAGTTCACATTGTTTTATTGGTTGGGAATGGAGTATTTCCAAATGTTTGAAAAAATCCTCATCATTTGAAAAATGAACATTACATTTACGACAAGCCCTTAAATTTCCAGAAATTTCTGTCTCATTTTCTGTACTATCTATAATTTGGTTTTGGTCCATACTTTCAGGATTCTCCACAATTTCTACTTGATTGTAATTTTCAAAAGTTGTAACTTCATTTGTACCTGAAAAAGTGTCTTTAATAATGTCTGACAATACAAATAAAAAATAATTATCTTACTGTTGCCATCTTCAAAATTGCTTTGAAGATTTTCTACATTTTGTCCATTTTCTAATAAATGACTATTAACAGATTCAATAACGTATTCATTAACATTATCTGGTAAAGTCCTATCTACATTGTTATCACCTGACAACAAATTTAAAATAATATTTTCGTTAACTTGAACCTGTTTCTCTTCATTATATTCTTTTTGGAGTAAGTCAAAAGTTGTTTCACATTTGTCTTTAAAATTAATTGAGATATCCAGCTCATGTTTACATAATAGGCAAATGTATGGAGGTAGACCGTCATCTGGTAAAACCTAAAATAAGTTGTAATATAAAATTATTAACATTTAATTAGATATTAATTAAGCATTTGAGAGATTCAAACTGAAGGTGACTGAAGACTCAAAGGCCTACCTACTTCTGGTACAAGGTACAATAAAATTTTACTTACATCAACACAAGCAATGACTGTTATATGTTGAGCTATTTCTTCCGTTTCAAAAATATTAGACAAATTTCTAGAAGTTAAACATATTCGACAACGCTCCATACTATATTTCTTTTTATTTTATTTTAACAAAACCGGTAATCAAAAATCAAAACAGAGATCAAAATCAAAACAAAAATAAATTATTTAAGTTTTGTGGTTATGTCATGTCAATATTAAAAAAAATATATATGCAACCAGTTATTTGACTTCAAAGGAAAAAACAAAATGAAGAAATAAATATTAGGAAAAAAAATATTTTATAAAATCTCTTCATATAAAATACAATTTAATGGTATAAAAATGTACGACTCAAATTTATACATTAAATGAAATAATAAAGAAATAAAAAAAGTAAGCGCCCAACGTGGGGCTCGAACCCACGACCCTGAGATTAAGAGTCTCATGCTCTACCGACTGAGCTAGCCGGGCTTGTTGAAACAGATTTTAATAGATGCTTAATAGGTAATTGTCCGTAGGAAGACAAATTTTCAAATGAAGAGCACACAGGAAAAACGATGAACGTCGATTTTTTGCTAACTTGATTTTAATCTTAGATTATATATATTTGATATCAATTAAATTTTTAATTATGTAATCGAAGGCGCGATTTTTAAATTCATTGTTGCCAACCATTGACTGACTAAATGGAATTTAAATATCCCGCTGGGGATTCAGGTGTTAGCTTCGCTGTAAAAACCATTGGTAAAAATTGTAAAGTTGTCACATAGTTGTCACATATATATTTATTTATTTCTTGGCATTGTTATTCGTTTTGATACTTAAGTTTTGTATTACGGGTTTTTGGTTTAAATGAATAATGTTGTGAAACTTTAAGCTTAAAAATGTTTACTAGCAGACCTTTCAGTCGAATATTGTTCTTTTTAGAACCCCTTTTAGTGCGAAGTGTACAAGACAGCTTAATAGCCGTAAGAAACTCATTGCAACTTTATTAGAATATTTTGAACGGGAAAGCAGTCGCAGGGTTCGGAAAACTACATGTTACTTTTAAAAACTACATAAACTACATTACAAGTAGTTTATGTAGAGGGTGTAGTTTATGTAACCTACGTATGTAACTTTCAAATATCAAAGGTTTGAGGTGAGGTTATAATAAGTTGAAACTTTAAAAACACATAATGTATTTAAGAAAACAGAAGAAATATGGCTTTAAATATAGCATTTACATCATATTATCTCTATTACACCTCATATAAAGGAAAATTATTCATAAAATCAATACATAGTTTTTTAACGTAGTTTTCATGTAGTTAATGAACGGGAAAAGACGTAGTTTTTGAAGAAAAACTACACGTAGTTAATCAGGTAAATTACGTCTTAATTAACTACTTCCAAACCCTGAGCAGTAGTAATCACAGAGTAGTAACGGCTACGTCTTTCGTGTTCCCGAAATGTACAGGAGGTGCCAAAAGCTCAATGTATATCTCATAGGTATTCTGTGGGGAATTTGGTATTAAATTCATATCAGATTTTCATATCAGATTAATTTTTTTAATCAGACAGCGTTATGACGTCAAAACATTGTCCTTGCAGAATATGCGAATCTTCGCGTCAGCTTCAAAACGTGATATAAATACGCAATTGTTTTGGAATTTCCTGTATAAATTTGATTAATTCAGTAAAAAGTTTGCTCATTTAAAATAATATTTGTCGCAGAACTCAAAATCATAACTGTGAACAACATTACTATGCATGCTATGAACAATAAATCATTATGGTACATGATTCTTTTTTGAGATTATACAGGCTTTTAGATCGCTGTTAATTATATAATTGCACTATAATCTGTCCAACCAGAGGATTCCGGACAGCAGGGTTGGAAAAAATCATGATTTTTTAAAAAAATCAGATTTTTTTTGATTTTAATAGAAAACATTATTAAATCCGATTTCCAAATAATTAGGACTTAATTCCAATTAAAGTCCAATTCCTAAGTGGCTAAATCTTCATAACTCTGCCCGATACTGACAACATTAACAATTTTACGGCGCCTTGTCATTTTCCCACATCGGTCACCAATATATTCCGCAAAAAAGTCGCTCGCTTCAGATCAAAAGGATTCTTTTTAAAATGTCAAAAGAGTATTAATTTTTGTCATTTCAACGCCTAGGCATAAAACTGAAGCACTTTTACGCCTAAGCACAAAAGTACAAAAATATATTATTAAACTGATATTAAGCGTCAATTTCAACGAGTGTACAAATTGTTACTGGATTACTTACAAGGTATTACTTTTTATATTATTTGCAACGTTTGACATTGATTAAAAAATGATTTGTAATATTTGAAAAAATATAGTATATTCTACTCGGAGTAAAAATGGACTTTTGTGCCTCTCTATTAACCTCGTCAAAAAAAATATTTTTATTCCTTACACAATACATGTTACTATTGTTCGGAAATAGTCTTAAATCGAGAATAAAATTAGTATTATCCTTGTTTATATATTCTTCATAAACAAAGGGTATTATAATTATCTATCGCCAAAGTGAAAAATACTTACTGCAGGTCGATGTCGTTAGAAATTTGGAAAGAACTAAAAGATAAATTGATGTAGGCAGAAGTTATCTTGTTCAATATACAGCTGTATCAAAAAAGATATAAAACAGCATATTTTCTGACAACGATTTGAAGATATAGTCTAACATCAAAAGAACCTTTTTCTGTACCTACTAGAGGTTGCGAATGAAATGTATTCGAACACCGTTTTTTTTTGTCACTTGTACATAAATTTTAAAATAAATCCCTGCCCTTTAGAAGTCTTTCACACGGAATTACTTTAAAAATTGGTCCAACATTTTAATTGATGAATAGATATCTACATAGTATCTATTCGTCAATTAAAATAAGTAGGTATATATGTGTTATACATTGCTAGAATACATTATTATTATTATTTAACACACATTTATGAAAACTTTCTTTACTTTTACAGTTATTTTTCGTTTTATTGTAAAGTTTTAAAAAAAGTTGATTTTTTTGATCTAAATCATATGATTAAAATTTAAAAAAATCATTTGATTTAAATTATGCCAACCCTGCCTGACGGTGACAGTTGTGTCTGTAATTTTAATTCACAGCCAATGTATGTTCTGTCATTTTTTTTAATGTTAAATAATGTCGAAACCTTCCCTGACTCATTAAACAGACTGTATATATGACTGAAACAAAGAAAAAATATTAAGAAAATAGAAAATAACTTCAGTTTCACGCTAGTTATACATATTTAAATAACCTTTAAGAAAATAATTTAAATATGTGCGTTAAATATTTCAGCATATTTTGTAATAAGTAAAATGATGACTCAAAAAACCGCGTATTCCCAAAATCCCCGTAAAATTTGTTTGTAACATGCAAAAATGAATAATACAGTGTCAATCTTTATGTCCTCTCAAACATAATTTGCATAATACGGATTTGTTTATTCATGTTAAACCATTTTTTGACTGTCCAAAGTATCAAAAACCAAAACGCTAGTCACTTACACGATCCATGATTAATGAGTAATGTAAATTAACAGGTTTTACACTTTCTGCGCGTTTTTAGGAGTGCGATATTATGTTAAATAGTTCTCTAATTTAAGACAAAGCACACTAATAATGACATGACAGATTATTTGAGTGCATAACGTTTTTATCCGCTTTAATTACAAATGGAATGTATGAATTGTAATAATGAATTTTTAATTAATTGAATTAATGGCTTTTAATTTTAAAATATTTCTACTTTGAGTACCTAATATATCTTCAAATCTGGTTAATATTTATTATAGTAAAATAACGGTAATAGTAATGTATAGTAGTGTTGGACATCACGATTCTTTTTAGTGAGTAGACTCACGCGATTCAATTTTTCTTCGATTCGGTTCAATCGACTCTTACGATTCGTTCATTTAAACAGACTACAAACACATTTTGCGTATCACAGTATAAATATACAGGGTGGCCCATCGAAAACGTTCCGCAAGCCATAACGGCCAGGGTAATTTTTTTTTTCAGAAAATTCAAAAACACGTCAATTTTGTTTGTGAGGGGGGCAACTTTTGCCCCAAAAATGATTGCAAAATCTTCAACTCTCTAAGCGGGGGTGTCATCCCCCAATTTTTTTCAAATGGGAAGGGGGGTCAAGTGGTACCGCAATCGAAAGGGCTTTCTATTCTCTATACTTTCCGGCTTCGTTTTTGAAAATCGGTGGAGTCATTGAGAAAATATGAAGGATTGAAATTTGAAAAGTTTATTTAAACATTTATCAGAGTAAATGATAAGGATAAATTTCTTCGACCAATTTGCTGTTTTTTCTTATTATTTCTAGATGTTTACGCATTTTTTCACTTGCCACAAGGTTGAACGATCAGGTGCGGTAGTTGCTAGATAGCTGTTCTGTGACTTGTGCGTTGAAGTTCTTCTCAATATCGTTAAACTTTTTAACAATTATGGTGTACTCACTTGCAGAAATAGTGGATATAATCGAACTTTATTTTAAAAATAATGAATGTGGCAATCGGTTTGCGCAAATATTCAATAAACGCCATCCTGACAAACACCTTTATGGCAAAATTGTTCGCGACTTAGTAGCAAAATTTCACGAAACTGGTTCCGTTATGAATAAAAAGAGGCAGAGGGAAAATCCTGTAGTAAATGAAGCTATGGAGGTATTCGTATTGGGCCAAGTTGCCATGGGTAGTACGCTGAGTACAAGAAAATTAGCCAATGAGGCCGCGACCGGCGTGAATCGTACAAGTGTCCAAAAGATATTAAAAAAACACAAGTTCTACCCGTACAAAATTCAGTTGGTACAAGAACTCAACGAAGACGATTTTGATCGGCTTGAATGGGCTGGTATTTTTGGAAATCCTATTGTAGGTCAGTTTAACGATATTGAGACCGCACCTGATCGTTCAACCTTGTGGCAAGTGAAAAAATGTGTAAACATCTAGAAATAATAAGAAAAAACAGCAAATTGGTCGAAGGAATTTATCCTTATCATTTACTCTGATAAATGTTTAAATAAACTTTTCAAATTTCAATCCTTCATATTTTCTCAATGACTCGACCGATTTTCAAAAACGAAGCGGGGAAATATAGAGAATAGAGAGCTCTTTTCATTGCGGCACCACTTGACCCCCCTTCCCATTTGAAAAAAG